CAATATCGTTAAACGCGCTCTTGCTCGGCAGCATCAATGCAAGTATCGATTCGATACAGTAGTTGAGAATTTATGTTTATTTTGTTTTTTTCTGAAATAAAGTATTGGCCCTAAATTTTTTTGAAGTTGGCTATTTTTTGTTATTAGTCAAAATCATATAATATTAAAGTAGGTAGAGATACGACGGATTTGATTACAGATTTATGTGCTATGTAAAAAGTGTATAGAGCGAAGAGGTCTCCTAGAAGGTTTGAACACCAAAATTATCCTGAGAAATCCTTTTGATGAGTATGAATATGGATAACTAGGGATGCACCAAAACCAATTCCAGTCCAATTCAAACATAATTCTAGATTTGGATTTGGTTTTGACTGGAATTGACATGAATTCAAAGTTTTCGATTTATTTGTTAATACTCACAGCTAACTAGGCGAAAATATAGGTTGACTGCTAATGTTTGACTATATCAATATTCTTTATAAAGTGGATGTAATTGTCCTGCATTTACACAATGCATTTCAACTGTACGTAACCTGTGCGAGAATCACTTTAAACGGCCGTCGTATTGTTAAAACCATGGTCAGATTTGAGTCGCTCATGAGCTTAGATTGATATATTTTATTGCAGACTCTCTAATAACTATCTTCGTGCTTTGCATTTATTCAGTAGAACTCACGTCTATAGTTCTCTTCATAAGAAGGAGAGACAAAAACAAATTTAACATACATTCTCAACTACTGTATCGAATCGATACTTGCATTGATGCTGCCGAGCAAGAGCGCGTTTAACGATATTGTTTGAAATATAATTTGAAACCATAACGAATTAGTTGAAAAGAGTAGGTCTTTTTGTGGAAACTGTAATCAAACACACTACAAATGACAGACGATTCTGATAGAGTATAGGTTGGTAAAAGTGTATTTAATTGAACAGAATCGATTCTTGGTTTATATTGTGCGCTCTTGTGGCAACGTTTTCACCGCAGTATTTAAATTTCATTCCAAAGCTGTTTACAGAATACAAACTGCGCCAAATGTGGATACATATTTCCATAAATTTATCTTCCATTAGACAACATACGAAATTAACCGGAATAAACTCAGAAGGGTAAGAATATTAACAAAGAGGTACCCAAGGCTTGCCACATTGAGAAAAAATAATTTTATTGATTTATTCGAAATCGAAACGCTGTCTTGCCGCACGATCTGGACGATACCATTACTTTTTAGTATCAACGGAAGAAAAGTTTGAATATTTTTAAAATTTAGCTTTTTAGATTCCGAGGTAGTGTCTGATTACAATACTCTTATTGTGAGATGACCCGAACTCGACAAACTCGAGGAATACAACATACTACAGTCAGGAATTCTATTTCTGCATGAACCTATGACGATCTTGACGAAGATATCGATGGTAATGGGATTGAAAATGATCAAACAATGGACAAAAGTGAAGTTGAACACAATGTATCAATGAACGATGAAGAAGAAGAAGTCAATGATGGTACTGTTGTCAATGATGTTAATACTAACAATACTCAAAACGGCGCAAAGAAGTTGAAGTCAAATGTATAGCAGTATGCAGAAAAGCTTAAAAATGGAACGGCTAAATGTTTCAAATATGAATCACATATTAAGACCACTAATGGTGCAACATCTACATCAAGAAAGCATTTAATAATAGAACATGGATTAATGCATTTAACTTTACCATCTGCTTTGCGCCCAAAGTCAAGTCCAAATAATTCAATTACCCGAGAAACAAAGAATCGTCTGGATTATTTAGCAACTGTAGCCATAATCGAAGATGGTCGGACATTTGGCGATCTTCGTAAAAGTGGGATAACGAAATTTTTAGATGAAGCAATATCAGGTGAATTTTTTTTCGATAAATACGGTGCACCAAAAAACCAAAGTTCAAAAGCAAGTAGAATTCATTGAGTAACGAAAGGTACAAATATAAAAAAGCACGTTTTCTATAAAGAAACGATGGTTTGTTTGAGAAATATCGAATTTGAAGGAGTTTAACTACACGCACACTACTTTCAATCGTTCGAAAATTTTCATGTTTGTATAGAGTAACGTTTTGTATATTAGCGATAGTTTTCAAAAAAATTCAACAAGTAATAGATGATGATTAGATAGAATTTAGTCCAGGGTCAAGAGAATCATATCGGCGAGCGCTACTTTTGTTATTTACTATAGAACTAATTCAACTCCGATAAGGTTGATTACTGGAATAAAGACCGAAGATGAGTTACTTCGTCAATAACTTTTACCCTTAAAACTTCGATCAAAATCGTATGAAAGTAGTGTTAATATGATAGTTTCAACATGGTTCCTCAGTTGTTGGATGATTGAATAATGATAGCCAAGAAAGATTATAGTGAACCAATATGGTTTCTTATACGCCTGCATCCTTTCAATTTAAAATAATACATCTTGTGGGTTTTGGTGAGTTCTACATTATTGAAATTTCGACACGTGAACTAAAACGATGATTGATTATGCGAATGAGGGAATTCTTCTGCATGCGATGATATAGACACATGCACGTGCAGTACTTTTGTCTCTAGCCTAATTTTTTACACTAATTTTCTAGGCGTTTGTCTTACTCAAAATGATGAACCCAAAAGACCTCTACTAACCGTGAAGTCTCGATTCATTTGGAGACACTTTTGTAAATCGTGACAAATATATCATGGAATCACTCACACGTAGGGATCTCGAAATAAAGATTCTGAGATGATTGCAATTGATGCTGAAAAAATTGCTCCGGTTCTTAATCAAATAATGAAATTTGATGGTTCATAAGATTCACTATAAGATGCTTTTAAACATATTGGTAATGGTCTGTGTCGGACAATACAGAGAGGACAAGGTCTTTGTACGCTTTTGTATCTAGTTTCGTAGAACTGGATGATTGTAATGGATCTTGAAAAAACGGCTCCAGTTCTGAATTGAATAGTGAAAGTCTATGATGCTCAATATTCCATTATAGTGCACATGTGATTCGAAGCTAACGGTAGCCATAACTTTTTGTTACCAATCTTTAATTTCTCACCGAAGGCGTTTATATAGTTTCGCGCACAATAAAATTCTCTATTCAATGGTATTTAAATTCGTCTCCGAACCATGTAAAGTTTTCCAAAACGAATAATTCTTTCACTTTCACCAGTCAGAAAGGAGTAGCACTAGCTGAGCACCAAAGTACCGTAAAAGTACGTCTGGTCGAACTGAAATTTGTAGAGATGACTATTGACTCTGAGTTCTTCAATCGTTGAAAGTTTCGCGTAAAACCGCCTGTGTTTCGTGAAATAATATCTAAAAGAAAATATTGACGTTTTTAGGGGTAACAACTTGGGCCCAATAATTATAGTTCAGTCAAAAATGAATAATATTTTTTCGGAATTAAACAAACAGGATCCAGATAAGAATGAAAAACTGAGAGAAACGTTCTGGGTGCGACAAACGAGGAACTATTTCTCATTCATTAATTTCGATAAAATCCCCTATTTGATATTAAATAGATTAATGATGGAGAAAAGACGTCTATGAACCCTCGCCTTCATTTTGCAGTAATAAAAAAATTTCCTCCGATAGAAAAATATAATTTTCTGTTTGTCTTTTTATGCATTCACAATTGAATCTTCGCTTTGAAAAACAAATTTTTTTAATTCAAGTCTCCATCGTATCCTTCTTGAACAAAATGCATAAAAAGTTGATTTGTCCATTCTCCTTCAGGTAAAGCTCCAGTTCTGAAGTGAATAAGATGTCTTCCCATGAATAAGAATCCATCACCAGCATAGAGATCAGCATGAACGATTTTAGATTCGTCAGTTGTTTTGACATTTGCATGTCTCTCTGTATTCATTGTTTTGTCAAGCAGAGGGTCCTTGTCAAATAGAGGGTCCTTGTCAAGTGATAATAACCATGTACGATTATGAGGATAGTGTTCAACATTCATCGAAATGGTAAACTCACATTGAGCTCTGTCAGTATGAGCCTCAAGCGTCGCTCCAGAAACGTAACCTCCAAAATAAGTACAACTTGGCTTTGCATTATGCGCAATAATAGATCTGACGAGTTGAGTTAATTGATTCTGCAGGAATCTTCCAACTCTATCATTATAAGCAACATATCTCTTGGACTGAACATCCCCGAGCTCTAAAACATTATGATCAATCAATTCACGATAGTACTTTGAGACAGCATTAAGAATGAAAGGAGGCAATATCTTTCTTAGAATAATGTAACGATTCTCCAAGAACCAATCTTGAGTTCCAGGCATCAACAAAGCCCATTCTCCAATAGAAGTGGGGGAAAAATAGGCAAAAGTTCCAAAGGATCGGAGCGCATCGAGTGGTTCCTTACTTCCATAATTATTCAGTTCCTGACGATAGGTGGAGACCATAGCAATTCCCCAATAACGTCTCTCTACTTCAACATCAAGAGTTCTTGATTCATCATAACGAGAAAATCCAGATTCCTTGTTTCCTTGACTTTCTTCGGTGAGTCCCCAGAAAAGCTGAACAGTTGCCAAATCAGACTTTTCTTCAAACAATTCAAAAGCCTAAATGATAAAAAAAGAAATAAAAAAAGAATTAGGATTTAAGAAATAAAGTTGATATAAAGACGTTGGAACGTGTTTTCCAAATAAGAGTAGAGAATTTATCCTTTCAAAAAGAGAAGTTTATCTATTCAAATTCTGGATCGTACCATAATTACTCCACTTTAAGGTTAATTTTTCTATCTGTTTTTCTGTTATCAGAAAGTTGTAAGGTTCGAGGAAAGGTATGTTTACTATCGAAATATTTTTGGCACAAGAATCGTTTCTACGGGTATACTTTAGGAAAAACAGATATTCTAAAGGGGACATTTGATTGCGATTTAGTTCGAATTTCGAGGCATACCTTAGAGAATGCGGTCAAAGACGAAGAGTAAAAAAGGCTTTCCATTGATGCGATAGCAAGGTTCATCCAAGCTTGCGCACAAGATGGTTCCACGGTTGTTGCGTTCGTAAAATACCAGATAGCATCTTCTAAGCTTTTAATATTATATCCAGGAAGTGTATTCCATTGGCCATCAAGATATCTTTCCATACTATTCACTCCCAAGACGTTCCAGTCATTGGCAAACGAGTTTGAACATTGTCTAAAAGCCAAATGATTATTTATCTTTTTACAATCTGGCAACCAACAGGATGGCTGAAGATTGTAGTCATAGGCTCCCGAACGTTTTGTTACCAAGAAACGACTATTTTTTGGGAAGAATTCTTTTCCTTGAGAAGCACAAACAACGGATGTTGATTTCGGCCTGAGCCCATCATTACTTATGCCCAGTAAAATGGCGATACCTCCAAAGAAAGCTGATATAATTAACCAAAACAATATATATTTTGTTTCAAACATGATTTTGAATATAAAAAACAAAGAAAAGAAGGTTCAAAATAAGGCCATGTGGAACAACGACTGAGTTGCAAGAATTCTCAACCACGCGTCAGTATTGGACCAAATTTTCTCATAGGTAGGTAGAAAATCCACCACCTCGAAGTGAGGACATGCAGAATTCTTCTCAAGCTGAATTCAAAATTTCGGTGCAGTCTGACCGGAAACCTCAACTTCATTTCTATTGTACATTTACTATTTATCATCATAAACATATGATTATTTTACCAAATGTAATACTTGTAAAGTGCTTCTGATCTGCCAAGAACATGCACTAAAGCATATGCAGAATCTGATCTATCAAATGCCCTCTAAAACCCTTTTTGTATTACATAGGGTAGTCAATAAATCTTCGTAATAGACACATAAATGTTCACCCTGATTAGCTTTTTCCGTTCTGTTGTCATACTCCGGTACAGACATCTGTTGTGTATTGAAATAACAATACGGTGTTTCTCAAGCCTCAATTAGAACTAACCCTTAAAAAATTTTTTGAATATCTCTAATTCCCAGACAGATAATCTGTGTATCTGTTATATATAGAAGCTCGCTTTTTACAAGATCTAAATACTTCCCAAATTCATGACAACGTAGCTACTGTTTATGGATAAGACGTTGCTTCATGTAGTATAATGACTCAAGAAATCCATAGATTTTCAAAGCGGGGAAAGTCTTTGAAAGTTTATGTATGAATTGATAATTGAATAAATGAGCTTGTTTTTACATCTATAGAGAAGAAGTCTTGCACCAAGTACAGCTGCGAAACGCTTGGTTGATACCAGTGATTACGAAGATGATTCGGACGACTATGATGACGATGAAGGTTCGAAAAGAAATGGAAAACGTAAACGAAATGAAAAACCGAAAAAAGCACGTCAAGTTCAGAGTATTTCTATGAAAACATCTATCTTCTCATATGTGTCAGGTTTNTTAGTTAAAAATATACATTAGAAAATAGGGCCGTTGAAAAACATGATAAAAAATATGCTTTTTCAAAATAGAAAAAAATGTGCCCATAATTTTATTTTTGGTGTTGATTGTCCTTACAAAGAAAATTCAAGCTTATGGTTTATCTATTATATAAACCTTACTTTGCTCATTCGAACTTTTGTTTATGCAATTATTTCAAATGAATTGTCGATACCAATATTGATGCTATGAGTTTAACTAAGTTAATAACCATGGAGATAAATTGGACATTTGTTCAACAATACCAAAAGGCGCTATAGGAGAGGATTCAAACGATGAAACGTTCCGCAGAGTATCGTGAGGAGTACTGCAAATAATTACTGAAAAAAGATTAGCCAAATTTTTTTCCTATGAATAAATATTAATATTTGAAGTTCCTAGAACTTATTAATTACCCTATGTATTAATATTATTATAAGAATTTTTGAAGACACTTGATCGATTTCATTATCAGCATACTATAAAACTTTTGTCCTTAGCAGGTCGAAATCACTTTACGAGTACTATATTTGGTAAAAGAATCGTATTTTTACAATGATAAATAGTAGATGTATAAAAGAAATGAAGTTAGAGCTTCCGATCAGACTGGCTATCCCCATATAATATGTCATTAAGAATTATGTTACTAAACCAACAATTCTAATTTGATTGCATCAGAATTGATTTAGAATTCTGTTTTCTACAAGAATTCTGCTATTCTTGGTCTATACGTGACACTACAAAATTAGAATTTTCTTTCGAATTCTATTGTTCTCGAAGAATTTTACCAGAATGGAGTCAGATTAAGAAGAAAAATTGTTTGTAAGTTTGTACCAGGATGAACGATAGAAAAAACATTATCATTACATTGTCAGCACAACTGCTGAGAATCACGCTAAATCTTTCGCTATACTCTGAAGGTACCCATAGGTCCTTAAGTCATATATTACTGGGCTACTCATAGGTCCTTTATTAAAACTGGTATGGTTTGGTATATTTCATCGAAAACAGATGTTTTTTCACGAACTGATAATTCCACCATGGACGTGTTTCCAAACGTTTGTTATTCTTTGTTGGTATGAAAAACTTTCTCTATAATTATTTATTTTATGAAAATTCTTCCCACATTGATACACGCAAAAAATACTTCGTAGGCAGACAAATTGAGATAGTTATGCTTAGAAACGTTTGAAAATGTCCGCTTTTCCTGGATTTATTTTCGTTAGCATTTCGACGCGTTTTTAAGCATAACTGTCTCAATTTTTATCTCTTCGAGTATCAGAGACATTTCACTTGAAGAGAAAAGAGTTTAGTTTACAGACTCATTCTACTAAAGTGAGTAAGTTATGAACTACAGGACATGTTATAAGTCAAAAATTACTTAAATCCGAAGAAATACAATCTAACAAGAAGCGGCATGTTGGATTTTTTTCATGCCGTGCACGGGAACCTGTATTTATTTTGTGAAACTCACATACATTTTTGAAGAAAAAGTAGTGAGTTTAAGTTTTAAGTCGAAAGATTCCGGCTTCCTCCCCATTACAGACAGCACTAGTCACGATCAATGGTCAACGAGTGCATTTTCGTTGTCAAGGACTATAATCAATTGATAGATTTACCAAAAAACAGAATGGTGTAGCTACTTAGAAGACTGCAAGAAAGAAGCATATAGTCCATTGACAGGTTTCTAAGCACAAGGCAGTATAGTCGGCTCTGCAGTAACGGAAAATATAGCAAATGGGACGAGTAAGGAGAGGAAAACAGTATCGCTAATTCAGAGGCAATTTTATTGAGAAAATAATGCCTATATGATAACAATGTATTGAGACTTTTAGAACATTCTGGAACATTCTAGAATTTTGAATACTCTTCTACGGGATCCTATTGACTCACTATTTTACTAAGAAAACAGATATTTTTAGTGTTAGTATAGGCACGTTGAAAAACATGTGGATTCCATATTTTAGCCCCAAGGAGATTACGCTGATTAGCTTTTTATACAAGACATAGATCTCATCAAGACACATATCTTGCAACTAAACTGTAAGGATAAACAATTTAGGAAGCCAAATCGCCATGAACCATACCGTGGATGACCGTATATAGTGACCATTCACTCGACGCTTAGAGTGATACAAGATCTTTAGCAATAAAAAACTGAGTTCCGATTTGCGTCTTGCTTGGAGATATAAATAGAAAGGGTTATTTTGAATGGGTTCGTGTTTATATCTAGCGGAATTACAGTCATAGATGATCTCATGGATTCATAAGACATATATGACAGATCCAGACGTCGTTATTTTCATAATGTAACAGCTCATCGATAATAATAGCTATCGAGTTCGGATTTTTTTCATTCGATAATCCTCTCTATTAGTTACAAAATCATGCATTTAGGAAACTCCAAAATCGCTAGTCACCTGAGACATATCTAGGCACATTGTTCTCGGGATGGTGCTTTTGTGCATTTTGAGACCTTTTTCACACAACTTTTAGTTTAAAAGCTACGATTTGGTTCAAAACTAACATCATGATCGGAATCAGCTTTGGAAACTGAGTCGATTCATATGTTTTAGATAATTCTGAGAAAAATTTTTAGTTTTGAAAAAAGTTTTTGTCGCCCCTCTAGGATGGCAAGGTAAACAATGACAATTTTTTTGATAACTCACGAGGGAACATTCCTAGATGTCAAATTACTTTTCGCTTGTTTCTATTGCCATTTGATTGGCCCTCGTGAGTAGTGAAAAAGTCTATTTTGGTTTGGCTTTCCGGTCTTCTATTATCCACTTATAGGTACCTTGCTGGATTTTTGACCTATGAGTATGAGAATTCATGAGAACCTGAATGTTTGAATTTCGAGCTGAAATTTTGTCCATAGACAGTCCTCATAGTCATTCGAAAATTACTAAAGTTTGAACCAGAACAAACGTAGCCTTGTCGAGATATTAGCTTGTATTGTAAATATCCTTATTTTGAATCATACCCCAAAAGGAAGGTTTTTTAAATATGTGCATATTTCGATAAAGATACGTTGGTTTTAACGCAAACTTTGGTAATTTCCTAATAACTATGAGGATTGTCTATGGACAAAATTTCAGCTCGAAATTTGAACATTCAGGTTCTCATGAATTCTCATGCTCAGGTCAAAAATCCAGTAAGGTGTCCATAAGTCGATAATAGAAGACTGGAAAGCCAAACCAAAATAGGCTTTTTCACTACTCATGAAGGCCGATCAAATGGGAATAGAAACAAGCGAAAAGTAATTTGACATCTAGGAATGTTCCCTCGTCAGCCATTTCTTGACGGATCGTTCTCATCTTCGAACTTGAACAAGATATTGATGAGACAATTCTGCATACAAAATTTCATGGCAGTCGGATGTAATTGTAAAGAGTTATCGTGTAAACGACCGGACGACCGACCATACTAACCAATTTCAGAGCGTACTCACTTTTTGAGCACAAAAAAGTGACCAGGAACAATAGCTAGTATTTATTTGAGCACTAAAAATACTTAAATGAGCATTAATAAAAGATATGAATGAGCAGTAACTGCTGAGCAATAAAAAAGTCATTTTTGATCATTTTCATATTATAAAATGAGTACTAATCAATTTATTAAATAGCATTATTAATTCATATTTTAGCAATAATAAATAGAAAACTGCAGTTTTTATTGCTATTTTTAATAAATTATTGTTCATTCAGTATTATTGGTGCTCAGTCAGTGTTTTTAGTGCCAATTTTCGTTATTGCTCATTTATGTACTCTTAATGCCCACTTAAATATGAGTCAGGAACAATCCCTTAGTCGAGCCTAGTAAAAAAAGTATGTAAATTCTACGGGGGGCTACAAAACGGTCTAATCCGCCCTCCTTCTACCAAGATTTTTAGATCACAGTGAGCTTCGAAAATCTCCAAGGTCAGCTTCTTAATTTTTATCTTCTATATGCATAAAGGAGAAAGTTTGTCTGTTTGTTCGTTTGTTTTTTGTTCGCTATGTATTCAGTCCCTGTAACAGCTATCGTCACCAAACTTTCTACGATATTTCTCGAGGTCCAGAGAAAGGTCAACATGTACTTTATTCTGGGAAAAGCTCAATCCTACGCTTGCTACAGGTGACTTATAGAACTGACCAATAGGAATACAGTATTTCGAAATCTTGCACAAATTGACAGCGAAAGCGGCCGAAGGCCGTCTGAGCGCTCATAGACAACGATCCACGTGTTCTCTACGTGTATGATAGTTCTGTGCATGCTACGGGTAACCTACGAAACTAACCAATAGCGTTATATGATTTCAAAAGATTAAGACAAATGTTGAGGGCGGGTGAACGTGAAGGACATAAGGTATGAAATGATGTAAGAGTGAGAAAGAAATCGATGAATGAATGGGTGGAATGTAGAATGGCTATCAGAGAGAGAGAGACAGGAAATTTGAATAAGTTCTGAGGCAAACATCAGCTTCGGTAGTTCTTTTACATAAAGAGCTATAATTGAAATTGTCGTTTTGTGCGATGCACGTCGAGAAAAATTAAGACCGTCAGCGTACAAACTAGAAGTCTATTGATTTTGCTATTTGCTGCGGCCTTTCAACATGTGAGACGTTCGACATAGATATTTCTCATTTCCCATCGGGTATGCCCGCTAGTTTAATATAAAGGGACATGGCAAGCATGGAATCTTCTATGATGCTGATGCAGAATAAAAAGATTAACGAGTGTCACAAAATGAATGAACCTCTCAGTACTTTGCATCTTTCTCCCTTATTTTCCCTCATAGAAAAACAACTTTGTTCACCAGAAGATTCCTCGTGAAATTCTCTACAAAATCATTATTGATCTTACATTCATAGAATGTGAGAAAAAAACGTTAAGCGGAAAATACTGCGAACATAAAATATACCTCACTTTCAAAGCTACCAACTTTTTTTATAAACGATCAGTACTTTTAATCATGCGTTTTTCGGATAAATTACATAAAAAATTGCAGCGTGAAAAATTCTACAAGATACGTCATTAGTTTTAGTTTATGTATGCAATTTTTATTTTCAAAACAGGATTTGCAACTATTTTTCTAGTTTGCAAGAGATCTCTTAGTATACACATTCGAAATTCGTTATTTTAATTTTATCTCTATTTTACCTTATGTCTTCTAGAATAAGAAATCTGCATAAATAGCATGATGCGTCTTGAAAAGCTCTACAATTTGCATAAGTCATTCTATGCGAATACATCAATTGCATTTTAATTGCGCAATGGCCAATGTGAATAAAACATAAACATTCTTGTAAACTCGAAAAATAACTGTGCACCATTTTCAAAATAAAAAGCATATATATAAACTAAATTTAATAATGCATCTTTTAGATCTTTTCACGCTGCATTGTATGCTGTAGTGCTATTGAGATTATATCTGCTCGATGATTAAAAAGAACATATATAAAATTAGTCACTCACATGACGTTTTCTCCTTTTGAAAGTGAGGTACATTTTATGTTCGCAATATTTTCCACTTAACGTTTTTTCTCACAATCTATGAATGTAAGATCGATAATGATTTTGTAGAGAATTTCACGAGGAATCTTCTGATAAAAAAAGTTGTTTTTCTATGAGGGAAAATAAGGGAGAAAGATGCAAAGTACTGAGTGGTCCATTCATTTTGTGACACCCATTATACATGTTTTTCGAAACACGTTGATTTTTTAGGGTGAAAGTTCAAAAGTTTCTCTTACAAAATCGAGATCAGCGCGCGATCATGATCTTTTCGATCGTCCATCTTACTGCTTAGTCTTCCTATTTTGTTGTATATACATATATTTAGAGTAAATACGGTATTACGCTCATTAAAGGACAGAAAAGAAGGGAGAGTGGAACTGATTGATATATTTGGATTGGAGAGCTACACCAGAGGCCAGCATTCCAATACAAACGATTAATTAAACAGATAATAAAATATGCTTTGATTGCCTAAAATTTAGGTTAAAATTCGTTAATAAAAAAGGTCCAACAGAGAATGTTTCCCTTTTAAGTTTTTACGATTATCCCACACAATACTCTATCAGAGGAAATCAAATAGAAGGATACTGTTAGAGTCGGTTCAGGTGGTGATTTAGACGATCTTTGTCCGTTCGTTTTATTCTCTCACGAACTTTGAACCATGTACATAACAGCATATAAAACAAGACGAGAAAGAAATATAGAGCATGTTAGAACGATGTCGACCACCCTCCCGCCCCCCCCCCCTCTCCCAACAGATACAAGGATCAAATAGAGAACATGAACTTCAGCCCAAGTTGAATATAAAATCTAAAGATCAAATGGATCGAATTATCTACAGACCCACTTTTCCAAAATTTGGGATTGAGCCGACGTCTCGTACTCTCCTTAATCAATCCTCTCTTCTTATGCCTAAACAGTCTTTACTCAAGTGATTTCCTTTCATTGATGATAAGAAGTATATTCCGACATTGAGGTGCGCTATATTTATAATCCTCGCTATTATTGGAGAAGGGAAAGCTTAAAAAGATTTCTTTGACGCTGTGACGAGTGACTTTCCGGAGACTTTTATACGTTTAAATCGCCATCACGAAATTTACTCAAACAAAATCATGTTTTTTCTATGTAATCCTTGTTTTTTAACATCAATTCAAACATTTGTTTGGTATACAGGAAAATATCAACAAACAACCTGGTTTTGGCTAATAAGTGACAAAATCTTTCCCCGTTCTAAACACCAAATTTGCTCATATCTGCCATCATTTCCTTCCAATATCGGACCCAATTATAATCCTTTCTTTTTTAATATGTATATTTCAAAAATATCGTTTTAAATTTTGAGTAATGATTCTCTCAATCTGTTCCTTACCTCTTTTTAGTTCCTTAGTCAAAACTTTCTAGTCAATTCATCGTTCAACGGAATGGAGATATCCAATGTAACAGTATGGCTTAACATGAGGAGGAAGTATATTCTTGGAGGATGCATTGGATTTTTGGTTTTCCTGCTCTTGTTTTCCATCAATCTGTCTTCTGGAGAATTCTCGCTCATTGAGCCTGCCGGTCGTTCTCCATTAACTCAAGAACTTCGACCTGCAACAAATCTGTATTATTGGAATAATCGAAAGGTTAAGACTGTGAATTATTCTTACTGGCCAAGAGCCTTAGAGACCAAATATTTGGCTTGGAAATCTTGGCATGGTCGTTTTAACAACGAGAGGATCAGTTTGGAACTTGCTTTTGTTTTTGCCGCCTTGCTCAATCGTACGTTGGTTCTTCCTCCTGTATACGATTATTTCAACCTCAAGGAATTCATGTATGAGAAGTTCTTTGAAATTGATGACATGAGGAAGGCCATCTCAGTCGTTACCTTCGATGACTTTGCTGCTCAAGAAGGAATCACCGCTGATTATGGAAATATTGCCAGCAAAGCAACTGTTTTACATTGGCCTGAGTTCCCAAATGCTGAAAGTATTTTCGTTTATCCGGAGATCCCTAACAAAGAGAAGGAACCTGGAGAATGGGCCAAAATGGAAAAATTTGCAAGAAAAAGAAGAATGGGTAAACTCCGTGATATCAAGACTGATCCTGCCATGGTCAATGATCGCATCATTTATTTCCCTGATCATCAATTGCTCGCTCACTTCTATGCTTACATATACATTCGGGATCCTCAACTCGACCGATACATGAAGAGACTCGTCAGAGATCATTTACATATTAGAGATGATATTTATGACACTGCCAATGTTATTCTTGAAGCAATGCCCAAGAAGTTCTACGCCATTCATTTCAGACGCGGAGATTTCCAGTACCAAGACCAAAGACATCTTACCGGACAAACCATCCTCAACAACCTCAAGCCATTCTTCCCAGTTGGAAGTACTATCTATCTTGCAACTGATGAAACCGACAAGGCCATACTTCAAAAGGACTTCTTACAATACTTTGGAGATTACAAGATTATCACGTATGGAGACTTTGAGCACCTTGTCTCAAAGTACATCCAGCCACATTGGGTTGGAATCATCGAACAAATCATCTGTTCTCGTGGAGAATCTTTTGTTGGAACTAAGCTCTCTACTTACTCTGGATACATTACAAGAATCCGTGGATATTCTCCTGATATTGTTGACAAAGCAATTTACTTTACTGATACCAAGTATCCTGATGGATACAAGGATGAGAACTTATTCTCGAAAAACTGGCCAAGATGGGGAGATTACTGGCTTGAACATGGATTATGGGCTCGTGAGTTCCAAGAGTCATGGGAAATCGATGGATAATCATTTGAATGTATGATCTTATTGTAGAAAGAAACTGAAATCTCATTTTAATTGATATTAGTAGTGTAAAATAAATAAAAATATTTGGCAGATAGGCGATATAACATTCGCGGGACTATTCTTGAGGTTTTATCTAGTAAATAAGTTGAAATTGGAAAAATCGGTTGCTTTTTTCAGAATCACGGTGACGATTCGGAGGGAAATCTATAAAAATGAAGTAAGCGGAGCGATTTTACCGTATATTTAATCTAGATTATGAGATTAATCATTGAAAAGGATTATCCCGGATAGAGAGAATATATCCCTATTCATGAGGAATGTGGAACTTCAGGGTTTTTTGTTGTTTGCTCCTTTTCTATCATCTAGCCAGGGAAGAAGTATCATGCACCATTCTCTTATAGGAAGTTTTCGATGCCCACCTGACTCTCAACTTTTGTTCCCTGGTTTTGTCTTTTTTGGAGCTCCTGTTGTTTTTTTCTCTTCCTCTTTGGTCTTAAAACGTGGAGACTGTTTGTGTTGTTGCTGGTCTTAATCTTTGGTCTGCAGCCTGTGGAAGTGTTTTATTCATCTCTACTGGCAATAAATCACTATACTTGTATTTGTGAGACCTGGATTTGGCTTGAAACTGACCTTGGAAGTCAAAAGCTTTGAGGTGCTCATGCAGTCAGCCATGTCTCTTTGCATTTTGTGTTTGGATCTGGCCATAAAGCCTTTAACGTTACTCAATATATCGATCAAAGTTGGGACAATCCGGATTCTTCTGGAAGACCTTGGGCTTTCGTTTCCAACAGCGCTGTGATAATCATGGCATACTTTGGAAAGATGAAGTCTCACCCTATTCGTTGTTCTTCTACAACACCTCATACTTCTGACTATAGGTGGATTGCTTCATCGGCCCATACGAGTCTAACTGGATTCAGATTCAATTTTGACAAAAGCACTCCAAGAGATGACCCACTTGGCATACAAACGAAATTTGTACGCCGATTTCATATTCAGTTTGTTCCCTAGCCGTCTCCAGACTCCACCACAAATAAAGAGCCTTTTTGCAGCTTCCAGACTCATTCATGGTACCTCCGTAGTATATTTATATAAAAAATTTCTAATTGACGCTAGTATTTTGTTTATTTCTTACTCAAACAGGCATTGAAGGAGCGGACGCTTGGACATGGAGAATTCAATGTTACGCCAGGAATCGCGGTCTTGTTGACGACTTCTATAAGACACTCACTTATAATTTGATCAAAGTTCCATCGACAAGGATCGCCTTATTGTTTCGTCTACCCAGGGCGCCTCACCAGGATATCTAATCCCAGTTCGGGAATACACCAATGGTAAGATTATCGTTAACGATCTTCAGAGAAACGCAAAAGTTGCTGGTTACAGCGGAAGTGGATATGGACTAGCATATACTTACTACAGGCAAAGACCGTTTCGTGCGTGGTTATCCGACAGCCCTAAATCATAGTAGTTTTAGAACAGCTTTACGTTGCAGGCTCGACATCTCTCATATCCATTGCCGCACCTCATGAGTACGTCTAAGTCTGAGTTTTGATGTAAAACGGTATGTAAAATATAACTTCATTTATGAAATTCAAGTAAGGAATAATATATCTCTCATACTCAGATCGCCGCCGTCGGGAATGTGAGAGTTCCAACTTTCCTGAGGCAACTTTCGAACCTTTCGAAGAGTAAGATGCAAAANGATCGACTGCTACCACAAGAAATCGGATGGATGTTACAAGTGCGGACAATCGGATCATCGCATCCGAAACTGTCCGGCGGTTTTCTACTAACTGGAACCCGTGATGGTGGTGATTCCAGTAACATACAACAATATCCATCAACCACCAACCATACCACAACACGTACAGCAGGTCCCATTTACATCAACGTACAAGTCAACAACAAACGACAACACGCCATCATCGATACCGGATCTGCAATCAGAGATGGGCAGCTCCGGGAGCGGAGCTGGAGCGGAGCGGCTCGGAGGAGGACCGGAGCTGGAGTAGCGCTGGAGCGAGATTTTTTGAAAACAGATGGAGCTGGAGCGGAGCGGGTTGTACTGGAAATAGAGCTGGAGCGGAGTCGGAGCGAGCTTTTACCTATAGTTAAGTTTTTGCTCCTTTTTTCTCATGAATACTTTTTGACGGTATACAGAAAATCAATGAAAAAAGAGTTTGGCACTGTCTACTCATTATATTCAATATTCTGTTCTTGCTTATACATCATCTACAGTGTCTCTAACAACGACTAATCGTTCGTTCACTCATGATTTCATTATGCGACTAATTTGTTGTGCCGACGTCTAGTTAATGTAAGGGAGTGATGCTGGAGTCATGACCGATAGCTTAAATGAAAATAAAACTAAATTAACTTGATTTTATTTCATAAAAATACTCAGCCATATCAATTACATAAAATATCAACGACTGTCGATGAAAGTATGCAATATTCACAGATGAGATGTTAGAGATGTCTCTGCTCTGCGTATACAATTTTCATCGGTATACATAACGAATATAGTAAAAAGAATATTGTTATAGATGGAAGCACGTATGTTTATTCAATTGGTGCATCAACTTAAGTAATCTTATTTGGATGATTTAACTCTTACATTTCTTCTGATATCATTGGTTGATTCGGTTCTAATTCTTTCTTTGTGTTCGAACTCCAAGAAAGAACTGATACAGTGTAAAATTCAACGCATGAACGTGTATAGTCAAAGAATACCCCTCAGTTAACAGTGAATTGAACAAACGTTTATCATGACTACATCACTACATGATCTTAGCACGGATGGATCGTCTTCTGATATTACCGTGATCGGCAATGATCCGGCAGCGTTCGACAATGACAAAAGTCTTAACACTGTTCTTGAACAATTCTTCAAGGATTTAAAAACGCTTGACGATGGATCGAAATCTGCTAGATGTATATTATGCAGCACAATTGTGAAACAATCTACGACATCAACATATAATTATGGGCGTCATGTTCATCGTAAACATAAGAAGGAAATGGAATTATGGAAGGCTGAGGTAGTATCACGAAAAGTTGATGATCAAAAGAAACAACCGACGATTAATCAATCATTTGGCCAGCAATGTGAGCTGTTTTTCATTAAGTTTGTACAATGTACATAAATGTATGTTCATTTTTAGCAAACGAGAAATACAGTGCTCGTAGTAATCGTCAAGTTGAACTTACTGAAGTGATTGTACAGGACTTAATTATCGATTTGGGTTTGCCATTATCTGTGGTCGATCATCCAGCTTTTTTACGTGCCATGAACATCGTCGATCCGCGGTTCACTGTTTTGTCTCGACGCACACTTTGTCGTGATACATTACCATCTACTCTCAACCGTGTTATGACGAAAGTAAAACAAAACTGTAGGGATGCACAATTTGTTGGATTGACTCTTGACGTTTGGACTGACAGAAGAATGCGTGCGTTCATTGCGATTACAATGCATAAAGTTAACGATTGTGATGGATCTATTGAAAACTGTCTTTTGGTCTTTCAATCTCTTTCTGGCAAGTTGATATGCGCTGCGATAATATTTGTGAGAATATCTGTTTTAGGGCCACATACTGGTGATAACTTACGGCAACAACTTGAAGATACTATTGCAGCTTTTAATATCGAAGACAAACTAGTCCGAATTGTTACAGACAATGCATCAAACAACCTAAAAGCGTTCGATGAACTTGTGATACCTGGTTTCGAAGTTTATTTCGAGCCTGAAGATGACGAAGATGAACACGAAGACGATGCTGATTCAGTTGAGAATACCGAAAACCATGCACAAATTGATGGTACCAATCAAGAAGAGCGACTTCGAATTCCCTGCTTCTCACACACATTACAACTTGTAGTTGGTGATGGATTGAAGGACTGTGAGCCCGCAAAAGCATCTCTAGCTAAAGTTGCAGCAATCGCAAAATTTAGGTAAGATAATAAAGAAAATTTCTCGCATTACAAACGATTACTCAGAGAAATTATCACTACGAAATGATAACTTTTTTTGTTTTAGTCACAAATCAACATCATTTGCCGAAGTTTTACAAAGGGAAAATATTAGTATTCCAATAGCGGTGAAGACAAGGTGGAATTCTCAACATCATACTATTTGCAAAGTCCTCGAAATATCTCACATATTGCTGAACGATTTATTGCGCAGTGTTGATCGTACTGATCTTATTCTAACAGCTCGCGATATTATTATTCTTCAAGAATTCGCTAGTATTTTCGCTTTATTCGCTGAAGCCACAACACGCTCACAAGCTGATAAGACTGCTTCCATCTCATTAGTGGCACCAAGTATTCTTTCCATTTATTTCGATCTCGAACGAGAACGTACCAATTGCAAATATCTCGGGTCACTCTGCCGTACATTAGTCAACTCTTTACGGGAACGATTCGGCGGCCTTCTCGAACGATGCGAAGTTTTCGCTGATAATAACATTAAGATCAAGAGACGTTCTACATACGATCTTTACAAAGATGATCTTTTCTTGATTGCTCCCTTTCTTGATGGTCGTTTCAAGTTCAACTGGATTCTCGCTTCTGATCTGCTTGATTCAACAAAAGAACAATTAACAAACACGATAAAGACACTCGTATTGAAAGCGGCGCTACAATTACATGGTTCACTAAATAATACGTTAGAAGCGAATGTGGAATCGTCTACTACTGATCATTGTGACGCGGAGGATGAATCACTGAGCAAATTGCCAAACTTCAAAAGGAAACGACTGTTTTCCGGTTATGAAGGACAAAAAACACCAGCAAAGAAAAAGCGTTCATGCGTTTCAGAAGCGATTGAAGGTGAAATTTCAATGTTTGAGAAAGAAGATAGCGGTGAGTCCAGTTTGATATTCAAAAAGAAAACTACTTATCCATACTTACAAAAACTCGCAACTAAAGTATTTTGTATTCCTGCCACTTCTGCGCCAGTTGAACGCGTATTCTCTTCCAGCGGAATATTAATGCGGCCTCATCGTAGTCGATTATCAAAGAATATGCTTTCAATGCTCACTTTATTAAAATGTAATCGCCACTTGTTGTGATTGATTAGTCTATTTATTATTGTTGTAAATGTGTTTGATGTCATCCTCTCGGTAAAATAAATGTATTGCTAATTTATATACATGTTTTTATGTACATTAAGAGAGAAATTCACCGAATACGGTTAACTGTAGAGTAAAACCAAGGACATTTACTGAAGGAGCTGGAGCCGAAACGGAGCTGGAGCGGAGCCGGGTGTCACTTTTTTGAAAATTGAGCGGAGTCGGAGCGGAGCGGTTTGTCATTGACTGGAGCTGGAGCTGAGCTGGAGCTGACAAGGCTCGGAGCTGCCCATCTCTGTCTGCAATCACCATTATTGATCAGAAACTATTGAAAACCATTTACCACAAGAAATTCGTTCACAAACAAAAATCACACAAATCAGCAAACTGTACCGCGATTGACATCATTGGAGAAATCGAACTTGAAGTAAAAGTACAAGGGTACAAGACGACAATCGTAGCNCGAACCAGCAGTGGAGCTGGAGCGGAGCTGGAGCGAAAGTTTCCGAAAAGGAGCGGAGCTGGAGCGGAGCCGGGTGTCACTTTTTTGAAAATTGAGCGGAGTCGGAGCGGAGCGGTTTGTCATTGACTGGAGCTGGAGCTGAGCTGGAGCTGACAAGGCTCGGAGCTGCCCATCTCTGGTTAGGAAGGACATAATTAATTTCAATTTTTTTTTAAATATTTATTCTCTTCCTTGTTTCTTGTTGTTATACTTTAACCCATTCGACCCGATGTGACCCACCGGTGGGTCTCACTTTTTATTCTCAAAATATCAAACAGGAAAGGACTTTCTCTCCTTGTTCTTAGGTCGTGCTTTACGCAACATGAGCTTTCTGCTTTGTCGTAGCTATTTCTGCGTCATTTATTTTATAGAGAAATGTTTCTCGCTAAAACAATCTCAAGACGAAAAAACTTATCACAATCAGAGCAAAAAGTTTTTATTTTTTTCGCTCCTGTAAGGTTTGATTCTTTTGATTGTTGTTGTCTGATTTTCTCGTAGCATTCAGCACAATGTCGTCAAATATCGCGAGCAGAACCTTCTTTTTCTTGAATTTATGGTCAGCAAGCTTACGTTTTGCTTGGGCAGCTAGTTTCTGCTTCATACCTAGCTTCAGATTCTCGAACGACACACCAAGTGGTAAAGATCGAACAAGACTTTCACGAAACTGCATAATGCTCATTTTGCTTGTCACATAGTTTTCCTTATATATTAGATAACTACTTATTAGTGCCGTTCCAAAAAGCAATTCGAATGCCACTTTATTAATCGCTTGAGGCACGTGTTATATGATGATAATTGATCAGATAAATCAGTACCTATCCTTCCTTGATTGTAATCCAGTACAACTTGTGACTTCATGATACGTTTATTTTTACTATTGATATTTCAAGTCTCCACCAAAGTTGTTGAATGCGATTGTTATATATTATAGATATCATTAAGACGTCTTTTCTTGTCTGTCCACCTGATCAGCTTTACGCCGTCTTTATTTTGCAAACTGTAAACTTCTCCACGCCTGAGATTTCTTTGTACAACTTTGCTGTCTGATCCCGCACGATTACTTCTGAATGTTCCAATAAGGTATGTATCATCTTCTAACAAACGTTTAGCAAGAGGAGTACTAGTGAAGAGGTTGTCAGCTACTACAGTTCGATAGCATCTTTCAAGATTATCCAATAGATGCATCACGACTGTTTGGGCATATCCAAGACCTGGCACAGAACCTTGTTGACCAGCATAAATCAAAAAATTCCAGATATATCCATTGATAGCCGCTAGCTGGTATATTTTTACTCCCTACTCATGGACTTTCCCAGGAATATGTTGTTTAAAGAAATGTCTACCTTGTCACGGTATCATAGCTTCGTCGATAGCCAGAATCAAACCATGTATATATACTGACGAAAGTCTTGCTCTCAATAAATTCAACAGTGGTATCAACTTAGGAAGTCCATCTTGATTCGCATTTTCATTAACATTGTTTGAAAAACGCCAAAAGTTGAGGAGTCATTCGAAACTCTTCCTCGGCATAGCATTTAAAATTATGTCTGAATCGTACAACTGAGTACCGCTCCAGTAGTACTTCAGTTTTGACAGTTGTACTAACCCCATTTCGATAATGATGCCAAAGAACTTCAGCATCTCTTCATTAGTGGTTCGTTTCCATTGATGAAGTATTGACCGTTTACTAATCTCATGGTTTTTGCAAGTATTGCTGAGCGTATCGATTAGTTTCATGAACTGCGAGGTCAATAATTTCGTCTGTTATGAAATGTCGACAGTAGTCGATAGGATTGGTTGTGTTATTGCCTGAAATAGAAGTTACTTTTGCGATAAGCCCATAATCCTTCATGAATTCTGCGTTGGATCCGGGTTCTATTTCATTCTAGGTATGTGAATTCATGTCATCGCTAATACCTTCTTCATTAGAAATGTCATATCCAAGACACATTGCATCAAAACCGTCACACAGAGAATCCACTTCATCGAGTGAGCTGCCGCTATCCTCTGTGTCCATTTCTCCAAACGACATGTGAATTATTTCAAAACTCGGGTCGTATTTATATACAAAACCATACACCGACAAGAGTAAGAGAGAAAGCACTGGAAACTTCCTCCTTTTTTCCAGTACATACTTTGCGTAATATGGGAAAGCACGAAAAAGTAGTCCGAGCGATTATTCAGCTCGACAGAAGAAAATGACTCATTGTACAGTCATATAAAGAAGAAAACGATATATAACCGATAGAAAATAACGAAAAGATCATTAAATATATTTATTAAAAGTTAAATGTCCAAGAAATTGAACATTTTGAAAAATTTTTTTGAGAAAACCGAATCGGGTTGAATGGGTTAAATTTAAAATAAATTTATTGTTCAAATCAGTTTAATTATAAACCGAAATAAAAGAAGAATTCGTATTCGAGATAAAATATATTAAATCCAAGTATATAAAATTAAAATGTAAATAATTTAATTAAATCAATTAAATTAAGCAATTAAATTAAAATTTTTATTTAAATAAAATTTAAAGATACAATATGTGACGTTTCGACAAGCGAAATTGCCTTCATCGGACTTTACACATTTTATATTTCTTCTTTTCCCCTTTCTTTTTCCTTCAGCTATTTTAACATATGATGGCGGGACGGAAGAAGAAGACAATTAGTCCAGCTCTCCTACCAAGTAGCATCCCACCGACCGTTTTTAAGAAAAGAGGAAAAAAGAGAAGCATAGATTGGAACAATCAAATGCTAAGAAATAATTGTATAAGAAAGCGTTCGAAATCGATAAATTAGAGTTTTGTTGAATTTTATCTAGTATCGACTGAAGAATCTTGCAAAGCAAAATAATTTTGGATTGTTTGATGGTTATGTTCAATAAGTTCTTCTTTCACAGATCTTAAAACGAGAAAACTGCGAAACACGAAAGCAAAGAAAACGTCGCTGCAAAGCTTTCTCTCGCCTAATGTTCTTAATTCAATAGACACACAGGATCAAAATCGCTTACAATATCAAAACCTATGTACTTAGGGCAATCCAAAAGTAGTGAAGGAGGTATCTTATTTTCTTAAGCAGAGCTCCAAAAAAGTTTCTTTTTTACTAATAACGGGTGTGTCAAAATGAATGGCGCTCTCAGTATTTTTCATATAACTCCTTCATTTTTCAATGTTCAAGAAAACTTTTTTTATCAAAAGGTTTCTCTTCAAATTCCCTACAAAATGGTAATAAAACATATCTGTCTACGAAGTAAAGAAAGTCAACTAAATAAAGATTATTTATACATATGAAATTATAAAATTTCAAAGCTAACGCCTACTTTTTTTAATGAGTTGTTGCAGTTTATATCGTTTATGTTAAAATCAAAGTGTATTAGAAGATGCAGCGTCAAAAGCTCTACAGGTTACATTAAAAGTCTTAATTTCTATATGTGATTTTGTCTTTCAAAATGGGCAATATTTCGTTGCGTGAATTTTTGACACTTTGCAAATATTTTGATCAACTTTGAATTTTTGTCTAATTTCTCTTATTTATCATCTAAGTAGTTGATTAAAAGAATACCAAATGTATCGCAAGATGCAGCATCAAAAGCGCTACAATCAGAAATAAACAGTTTGTGTAACGTTCGCTCTTAAAATAAGCAGAACCCAATGCAAACAAAAAACATTTGGATTCGTATATTTAGAAATNACAACTAATTAATTACACGAGTGAGTACTTGTGCGACAAATTATGATGGCGACGAATTGTCCGTCGACGAATTGTCCGTCGACGAATTGTCCAGGCGACGAATTGTCCGCGACGAATTGTCTGTCGACGAATTGTCCGTCCACCATTCTCAAGATTGTCTCTCATAACATAGTTTTATTCAGATTCAAATTTCTATATGAATCGAGTCTGAATCAAGAAGAATTCATAGGTATAACACGTTCTCTTCTACAATATAAAAGCGTCATAGAAGATGATGATTTGTCACACTAGTACATCCTCATCATTGGATTCTTTAACATGATGAATTATTTCCGATAGTATACTCACTGTATATTTGTTTGTTATACATATTGTGTTTCATAAGCAACTTGAAATTGAAGAAGAATGAGTTATTATTCTAACCTATTTCATCTTTATATATTACTTACAAGAGTTGCAAAAGATAAATAATGTAATCTCTAATGCAAACAGGCACATGTCAGCAAACACATATTAGCGTCATATTGTTCTACTTTATATTTCAACTTGTTTATCTTCTTTTACTTTTTCATCATCTGACTAATTTATCAACGTTAGTTAAAGTAAGTTATTGCATAGCTTGAAAGATTAGATATTGGCCATTTCGTTTTTTTGACACACTTTTTATTTTGTTGTTAGAAAAAGTAAATATGTTCTACTTTCTTGTTCAGTACAAACATCCTTTTATTCTCAAATATGTATAGATTTTTTTTTAGCCAGACTCTGATTTTGCAGATTTCTTTGCCCTAATAAGAAAACACGTCATTTCTTCCATTTCGTTTTCTTATGATATTTATGATATAAATTACAAAAAGAAAAGAAAATGTTTAAACTAATCATACAGGTAGACTATTGGTACTGATATATAAAATAGCAATTATTGTTAACCCCTTGGGGACGGGCGACGTATATATACGTCCAGCTTCAAATAAACTCGTAAATAATTAAAATATACCTGTTTGTATGTTTTTTATGAGTTGTCACCACATAAATCGTTAATCTGCTATATCACTATTCATACAATGACCTTATTCACCTTATTCCTTTTGCACTTATACCCATAACTTCTGTTCTTTCCTTACGTCATCTTCCACTGATATCGTATACGGCTTATTTCTTATTTCTCTACGCATACATTCTCTCTTTCATTATGGATTTTCTTTATTTTCTAGTACATTGTCTTCATGTCGATTTCATTTATATACATATTGTTACAGTCATATCTTCATACGTCTTTACGCATTCTTTCACATCACATCTTGTTTTTCATTATACACATTCTTTACTTCTTTTTCTTTTATTCTTCATTCGAATAAGATACAACGTGAGAATGGCATTCTCTCATATATATAAATGTATTTTTATCTGGTAGTAGTGAACTACGAATTTTAAATAAAGAACGTAATAAAACACTTTACACGCTTTCTGCATCTTTTCTAATTCAAAATGGCAACATCCAAAAAGCGCAGCTACAATGAAATTGATGAGATTTCCAGTGATGAATCAGAAACTGAATCAGAAATTGAAACTGATGGTGAAACTGGAAGTGAAGACGACTCTGGTAACTCGGATGTTGAGGATGATGAAAATACTCCTTCAGTTCACACATACAATCACACATCAAAATCGTGGCAAAAAGGCAATTTTGGACCAACTTTGTTTTCATTTCAAGACAATAATTGTGGTGTAACTGCTAATCCAGATAAGAATACACTGTTAGACTTTTTCAAAATAGTTTTTGATCAAGAGCTGATACAGGTGATTGCTGATAAGACAAATCAATTTCAAGTAGATTCTGCTGATAAGCATTCATCTCCACATCAAGCTAAATGGTATTCAACTAATCTTGAAGAGATATATCTTTTTTTGGCGACCTTCATGTTGATGGCTCATATTAAAAAATTCCGAATCAAAGATTATTGGTCCGTTGATCCTTTGATTGCAACGCCAATATTTAGTGATATTATGCCGAGAGATAGATTTTTGCTCCTTTTGAAATATCTGCACTTCACTGATCTAACTCAACCCAAAGGTGACAGATTATACAAAATCAAATTTGTGGTTCAACATTTGAAAGAGAAATTCAAACAAATTATGATTCCGTATAGAAACCTCTGTATCGATGAAAGTTTAGTACTTTGGAAAGGACGTTTATCTTTTAAACAATATATTCCATCAAAACGACGTCGCTTTGGAATAAAGTTATTTGTTCTATGCGACTGTCGTACTGGATTTATTTTGGACTTTGTGATTTACACAGGATCTCAAACAGAGATTCAACGTGATAACCATCTCGGAATTCCAGGTTCGATTATAATGACACTTATGCAACCGTACCTTCAGAGAGGTCATAATTTATTCGTTGATAATTGGTACACAAGTCCACGTCTTTTCGAGCTGTTGCATGCGAATTCTACTGGTGCATGTGGTACAGTTCGACGAAACCGAATCGGAATGCCAGCTTTTACGAATAAGTTGAAAAGAGGTGAATACGAATATCAACACACTGATATTCTACTTTGTGAACGATGGTTCGACAAACGTGAAGTTACAATACTCTCAACAACACACAAACCACAGATGGCAAGTAGTGGAAAAGTTCACTACGCTACTGGTGAACAAATTCAGAAGCCTGAGTCTGTCAAGGACTATATTGAAAATATGAGCGCTGTTGATAGGTCTGATATGCAGATTAGTTATGTTGAATGTGTTAGAAAGACAGTGAAATGGTATAAAAAACTCTTTTTCCATTTACTGGATATATCCATCCTAAACTCACACATTCTATACAAGCAAAAAACTGGTAGAACGATTCATTCTTGTGACTTTCGATTACAGCTGATTCGTCAAATTATCGAAACTTACGGAAAACCAAAAGCGCCGACAGGACGACCAACCACTGGAGACAATCCTGTTAGACTTATCGCTCGCCATTTTCCATCACTTATACCTTCAACATTGACCAAACAAAATCCTCAAAGAAAATGTGTCGTTTGTGCGAAAACAACAAGAAGAACTAAAAAGCGAACTGACAGTAGATACGAATGTACTGAATGCGATGTGGGACTTTGCGTTTCTGGTTGTTTTCAAGATTATCATACTCTAAAGTACTTTTAGACGTTTTTTCTTATTGATATGAATAAATATATACTTCAGAGCTTCAAAACTTCCCTTTGCTTTCTTAAAAGTAACCCCGTCCCCAAGGGGTTAAATTGTTATTATAATGGCAAATTTTCGGTAGAATCTGTTTTTGCGGGATACATGTTGGTAGCATGGGCATGTATGTTTGTAAGCATTTTTGGAATAACTTTTGATAGAAACGAGATAGAGAACTGTGATTTTCGTCATTGGGAAGAAGAAATAAAGATGCATCGGCTTAAGCTTTACTGATTTTCCCCATCTGCTTTTTGTAAGGTTTTAGCTGACCTTTTAAAAAGGAAACTTATTCAATGAGTTTTTTACAGTGGGCTCTCAAGAATCATGTACACATCCAAACCGCCAGTTGAAGATCTACATACTGCAAAAAGCTCATCTGTTTAACTCGAATGACGTGTGGATAATATCTATTCTAGATGAACTTCTACTACAATATTCTATCAAATTTTTTGCTTTTCTTTTTTTCTAAAACAAGCGTTTTTCCAACGGTTGAAAACTTGAGTAAAACATCTGTTAGAAATCATGTTACAAAAAATCGATAGCATATGATTCGATGCGTCTTTATCTCCTCTTTTCAAAGGCGAAAAGCACGATCCTCTATGTCGTCCTCATCAAAAGTTATTTCAAAAATACACACAAACATTCATACTATCAGCGCGTATGCGAGAGAAACAGATTTTACCAAAGTTTTATTATTATAATAACAGTTTAATAATGATCAAATAGCATCGAAAAATAGAGTGAAACACGCTCTATCCATGCATAAAAAGAAACTTTTTTAGAGGTCTGGTTCAGGAAATAAGGGGCCTTCCTAACTACTTTTGGATTGCCCTAAGTACCGTAGTATTATATGTGGTGTATTGTTTTATTCTATTTTTTATTATTAACTATGGGTTTTCATGAACTATTTGATGAAGTGGATACGTGTGGTACATAAACCCAATATTGTGTTTGACAAAACCATAATGAAGCAAAATACAAGTTATGCTTTGCGACTAAGTTCATTTTGCTGTGAAACATTAGCATTATTAGTAACATATAATCATGACTAAAATGCATTGCGCATTGAAGTGTAATGAAATATCCTTCCGAATCGCCCCATAATTTCCTTCTCATATGAACTAAGACTTTTGACGTCAAACATTCAATTTTCAAACGGCTTGTCACTCATAAACATAAATCAGTAGATTTCGTATCAATCTACAATCCGATTACATATCATGTCGAAAAAGAGAACTGAATATTCAGTATGCCTTCCGCATTAACAATAGTGACATGTTTCTAAAACATGAAAATACGGCATATATCACATCACAAAATTACACCCAGTCGTTTGGAACGACTTTCAACCATATTTCTCACGTAAAATCCAGTTTTTTTCACCTATTTCACACAGCTCATCCAAAATCATGAAGGTAATTGGAAGGCTACTTAAATCGCATTTTCATCCGTCGACGGCAGGCTTACCTGGGATGCCTTTTGGATGCTTTTGGTATAGTTAGAGAAATGCGGAGAAGGATGTATTGGATTTCTGGATACGGATGCTTTCCGTTTATTTACGGTAGATTTTGCGATAGTTTCCTGATGGATCTTATGATGTTTCCTTTACCTTCCTGGCGGGTCGGGTGCGTTTTCCCGGTAACGGAGGTTACAGGAGTTCAAAGATTCCCTTTCCAAGAAATTCCTGCAGGAATACTGCTTCCATCTTCCGTGTGCTATTCATGTAGGATACGTAGTAAGCCCGCATGGAACCTGGAGAAAGATGCGGGAAAAGACCTAGGGTCGTTCAGGTTCCATACGGATCAAAATTTCGGAAGCATCACCTTGGGTCGGTCTTCCTCCGCCTATCACTTCATAACTATCCGTTGCAATTCATAGTTCATTCCCGCGACCAGCATAACTTGAGTTACAATGAAAACACCCTCAATTCATTCATCTGTCGAACATAGATACGCGTACAAATGACAGAAACGATTCAATTGTTTTGAAAGATCATCCCAAGTAGTTTAGGTTCAATACTCGACGTTTTATTCTAAAATAACTTATTCGATAAACGACTAATCGGTCTACCACTCACGGTCAGTTATTCCCAGGTTTCTCTTGCGATCTATCGTTCTCTTATGGTTCAATTTCAGACGTAACAGCTACACCTAACTTCCAATCTTTTATTAGTTCGACTTTAAAAAAAATTGTAAAGCCCAAAAGATTTGATAGATGTGTTTGTTTAAAACACATCATGTAATGACTTTGCAAAGGTGTTATTTCTTGCCTAGAGGTTGTCTCGGATATTGTACAAAAGTCTGAGCCAAAAGCAAAACCAGTCATTTTTACAGATCTCTCAAAAGAATCTCCTCCGGTTAGACTCACAATTACGTCTTCTACATCGTAGTGTATTTAAATTTCCAACATGCAAAGCGACTCACTGGTATCGCCATACAGTAGGGCCCGAGGATGCAAAGCATTCCCCTAGCCTAGAACTTATGATTCTGCGGATATGGAAAGCTGTGGGCTTTGACCTACGACATACATATTTACGAAGTTCTATTTTTCGACACAATACCCTCCTTCCGATCAACGGAAAAAGATCCCGAGAAAATTTTGAAAAACTAACATCATATTTATGTCCCTTGACTCTGATTACTCTTCAGTCAAGTTGTATTTTGATTACTACAAAATCCATTCTTATGATCTCTGACCCTGACACAGACACACTAACTTTTTTGTATGACCTTTCTTTCAGCCGTGGAAATAGCTCACCGAGTTTACTTTAATGATTCAATTGAAAATATTTCTACCACCTAACTTTGTCCAGAGAAATGGCAGTTCATTTGACACTTTTAGTGATTGAGTTTCCTCGTTTTCCTCTTTGCGTTTGAACAGCCATTATCTTGAAGAAATATCATTCATTCCAAATCATTGTAGCCTTAAGAAATAATTTTAAAGACGAAAACGAAATGTTAGTTATAAGCAAAGTTTGTATCAGGTTTATCGCACTTGTTACGAAGCAGGGATCGTTTTTCAGTATGAGTGACTCTTCCAGTAGTATGCGAGAATCCATATAAAAAGCTTGCCTGATCAAAGACTATGTCAAAGTTCCATATGTGTAGAAGTCGAAAGGGTAGTTTGTGTATTATATTTTTACATTCGAGTTTTAAACTTGTGAATTTTGTGATTACCACTGACACTGTCATTCCTCCCATTTGTATGGGTGCCGAAAAATCCATGGAATGACCGAAACACAGCTGTAGCACGACTGGAAACTGGAACTCTGAATTTTCGAAGATGAATAGTTGAACAATTTGAAAATCGAATACCCGAATTATAAATTTAGCAGTTGATAAATCTAAAAGTCGAAGAGAAGTTTAATACTCGAATCGAGTTAGTGATTTCCACATTACTTATAAACAACGGATAGTCATCCCAAATGTATATGTATTCAATTTCATCTTTTGTTATTAAACTATTGTTTTATACTTTTAGTTTTCTATTAGAGTTTTAAAAATATTTCTGTGGTCAACTCTAACAGCAGATAGTGTATTTCTACACATATCAAACTATAGCTCAATATCATTTACACATGCAACTGACACCAATTAAGTAAGTCTTTGGGTGATTTGACTTTCATATATTTTTTATAGTAGGCAAATGTTTACATTTCGAATACCAATATTTTTGTCTGGAAAGATGCTACAACTTCGAACGAGTGTTTAGATAAAAATGCTGAAGTAGGGAGCATTTTGTTCTTAAGACAACCCCCCACCCAACCCTATTTTCGTTGCTGATTGTACGATATTGCTGAGACTTGCACCAGATATGTATCTGCATCCGAGGTCAGATATACCACAGTAAAACTTTCAGCGCGAAATATGAAACGTACTCTGAGATCCGGTCTCAAAACATGGTTTTCTAGCATCCCAGATTGCCCGACCATTTTGAGAGCTGAAGATGTCGGGCTCTCTTTAAACGATAGTCGAGATCCGATACTACAACTTAAAAGAGTCCAATTTTTCTTCTTTTATCTTGGTATTATTTTTCTATCAAATTTCTTAGAAAATGTTCATAGAGAGTGTGAGTAAGCGGTAAAACAGATGACTTCTATTTGGTATCAGAGAGAAAATAAAAATCCAACTCTGTTAAGATATAGTTGATCATCCTCTTCATTTTAAAACCAAGTCCAGCTCTCTAGCACTTACTGTTATGGAGAAATCTGTGACGCAAAAAAAAACTCTATAGTAAAAACTTTGATTTTAAGAAAAACGCAAAAGAACCTTGACAGGTGTAATTTATCAATTTTTTCAGCATAAAAGGGCATGGAAAGAAAATCTTAGGTAGCGTATGGCATAATATTGAGGAAAACAAATCGAGCTGAGATATATAACTTTTCTATATACAGTAGAGTGCAAAAGTCCTTGCCTCTTGTATGAACCACTCTTCTGAAATCAGATCTGGAGCAGTTTTCTTCAGTTTTTTAAAATAACTTTATCGAAAGTAAGAGCAGATCAGAATGTACCTACTTACAAGGAAAATCATCGAAAAGGCGTTCGATTAGAGGAACAAAGCAGTCACGATAAAACCTCACTTCATCAAAAGTCGAAGAAAAATCTCATTTATAGTATTAAGATGATCGACCGTTAAAATGTTGTCAGAAAAACTATCCACAGAAAGCTCTATGTCCGAATTGTGTAAATATTTCTTCGGATGACCAAAAACGATAAAGCGTAGAGGATTGAAAGAGTACATTAATCTAAAAAAAGGACGAACTCGGCAAATCGACATTCCACAAAATTGATATTAATTCTCTAAAAGCCGTATAATCCGTCGTAAAATCTCGCGTTGAGAAAAAAAACGGTCAAAACTGTGTGATTTCGCCAAAAATTTTTGAGAGAGGCGTGAGAAAACTAGCTGAATTATTCTAAATTATTTTATCAAATCGGTTGAAACTAGGTATGAGGGTGAGGGTTACTGAAAGAGAAATATAATAAAATAACTTTTCTGCTAGTTTTGAAACTTGAACTTAGCCCTGTCTATGATTACAATTTATTAGTACAGCTGACATATGCATGCAGAGAGGGATGTGCAACATGAAGGGCAAGGATTTTTGCACTCTACTGCAGTATATTTTGGTCTATTTCATACCTTCTGTCTCCTCCGTCAGCAAGGTAAATAGGCATTACGACTGTAATGCATCTGGATACATACTGATTAGTTTATATGATAACATAAAAGTGCTTTTGATGATCAGGAAAGTGTTAGAAAGCATTTTTCGTGTATCTAGATCAATGGATTCTGTGAAAGTTTATTATCTGATCTTTGCAAAACCAACATAAAAAATATAACGATAACGCACGATAAATGATTGAATACAGCACAGTGTGAGAAATGTAATCGCAATTCAATCAAAATAATTAATCGTTGATAAATATAGATAATGTAAAAAGTATACATTAATCATCACCTCCTGGTTAATAGTCGCTCATAACGCTATCATTTTGTATTTCTAAAACCATCAAACAATTAGCAATGTTCATTAAATCATCATTGATTAGATACATAGAAAATGCAAATTCATCATCATCACTCTCACCCATCGAAGCTTGAGCGCCACCAGCCATTGTTGTTTTTCTTTTTTTGAAAATCTCGTCGTAATTTTTGATCCGTAAGATATAATTTGTTCAGTAAGTCTTCCAAAACATTCTGCAGAATAATGAACCATAGATGATAATATACTGGTAAATAATTTATCCAAGCCATTGTAACTATCAGTGAAGATTATTATTGTCAGTACTAGACCGATTCTCAGAATCGTAAAAGAGCAGTATCTGTGCTTAAGAACCATTTTCCACAGCACAGAATGAAACGCCTCATTGGCGTTGTGCGAGCCGCCATTCACAACCCCGTATCAAGTTGTTCACACAGCATAATTCATCGAAAACAGGTCTTACTAAATCCAGGCAAACTCGTGGTATAATCGATCTTGAATTATGATTATATTCTTCGCCAGTTGTAGTTGCTTGAATGTATTTGCAGCATCGTCCATCGCACCAATCGTGCATAGGCTGTTTGTTTGTAGAATAGTGTTGGTGAAAGATAGCCAACGATCTTTTGTATAATCCTTTTAGGTCGTGTTTGCTATCGCAGATAGCTTTAGCAAAATGGATTTTAAACTTTATTGCTAATGAATCGGTAAAGCGACTTTTCCCGTTGAACCGCTTGCCATCCGATAAAACCACACCTTTACTTTCCTTTTTGGCTTTCACGATTCTATTGAACATTCTTTTCGAGAAATGGTTCGCATCCTACAGTTTTTTTTTACACATTAATTAGAATACGGTGGATTATTTATCAGATGTTTGTGAACTTTTGCGTCACTGTCGCCAACGTAAGAACTGTATGTAACGCTGTATTCCAATCGGGATCTGCCAAACATTTCGTGTATCATCTCTTTCTCCATTCCACCGGACGAACCTGAAATATGGTGATTAGCATTAGATGGTGGTTTAGAAGAGCTAATAGAAAACTTACCACTATAATTTAATTGACAGTCATGACTCCGTTGAGAAGTAGCAAACAAATCAGGATCTATATGGCGTAGACTCTCTGCGCCTTGGCACTTCGTACATTTTTTTGAACATCAGCTTGTGTCAATAACTTTTGATTGTTTAGTTGCTGTACATAATGCAGCGACTCCGTGCACATTTGAGTGACCGCGTGTGAGCCATGTTCCGTCGCTACTCACCGTGAGATTTCGAACACGACCATTCTCTTGAACAGCTGTTTCAATCGCGGCAGTCATTGAATTATATTTAGCTTTTACTGCAAAACTTACAATGAATTCTTGTGTAGCTCGATAACTTTGCTCTTGAATGGGTGGTGATAAATTGAGAGCACCAACGAGTTTGACTAAGCCACACAGTGTACCACCAAGTGCCAATATAACATTTATATCATGACGTTTACTATTTGGCAATGTTGCTGATGAAAAAAGACGAGTTGGAGCTTCACAATAGAAGCATACAAATTCAAACTGAACATACAACCCATTTCTTTCTCTCATAATTGGTGAACCTTTCCATAAGCTATTGCATTGAGAACATTTGAAATGTTCCAGTAATATAATTAACGACTTAGTATGAATAATCGTATAAGAATCCAAAAACCTTTTCACTTTTTGCACCTGTTCCACCCTTTCTGAATTGGAAGTATTTGATACTGATGATGAACTTCGTTTTCTTTTCGTTGCGCCAGGTCTAATCTTTCTCATAACTGATTTTCTACTTCTCGTTTTTCGACGAGTTTCCATATCGGCTCTTGGAATTATTTTTTGTAACGAAATGAGTATAGGTATTTGACAAAATGATGATAGAAATTGATGTTAGGTTAGGAAAATGAAAGAATGAGAATACGATGTTAGCTATATGAACTAGCGATAGCTATTTATAGACAAAGTGGAACGTCCGACAACGTGAAAGAAGAAAGTGCATGACTAATAGAAGGAACGCAAGAAGTGGAAATGCACTCAGGGTAGAACGACAAAGTAGCATGACGTCATATAAAATAGAGAAGACATGAAATTTCCATGGGTGATACTACCAATATCATTTATAAACAATTAGTAAATTGAATAGGTCGTGTATAGAAAACTTAGATCTCTGTAGACCCCTGGTTCATAGTGTTAGAGGTTGAAACTTTCATCTCAAAGTTCATGAAACGCATCGACATTTAATATTCTATCAATCAGCAAAAAACGAAACTAGAAAGACTTTAGTCATTAAAATGTTTTAAAAAACATTTATCAAGAACGGTGAGTCTTAGAAAAATTTCTATAACATACGGAAAACCTATCACAAACTGAACAAGTTATAGTTCATTCGATAGCGGAGAACTTGTTCTATCAAATGCAGCAATAAAAAAAACATCGAAAAATTTGACACAGATTCACGTTTCAGAGGGGGGACTACCTTGAATATATTATGTAGTAGTGATATGTTATCTTCATCATTCCTGATCTGTGAAATATATGATGCTGCTCAATTAAACTAGATGCGAAACCTTCATTCTAACATCTTGTTGTGTGTTTGACATTCATTTCATTCGAATATGTTCCAATTTGTGTGAAAATTTTCGAGAGAATGACTGCTCCTTTCAAAGATACAGTTGGAAATGCAGCTGAAAGAAATTTGGTTTCATCATTAGAATTAGTAACTCTTCAATTTGTTACGTCAAAAGGATATAAAATTTCTTACGAAGGTCTGAAGTTCGCCATAAAAGGCTTTTTATAGCTTTTAGTATTAGATTCATTCGAAAAAAGGAAGAATAGCCCTCACGTTTTTTGTTTATGAGCATGACTATTTGAAAATTCATTCAGTAATTTTTTCTGTTTCGAAGCAAACTTAAATGTCTTGTTGGCGGTGGCGCTGGTTTCATTGGAAGTCATCTAGCACGGCGATTGAAATCAGAAGGTCATTATGTAGTTGTGGCAGATTGGGCACGAAATGAGTATTTCAATGAAGATGAATTTTGTAATGAATTTTTTCATATTGATTTACGTGTGCTGGACAATTGTCTAAAAGCATCAGCTGGATGTGACTGGGTATTTAATTTAGCTGCCGATATGGGTGGAATGGGCTTTATCGAATCGAATCATTCTGTCATTTTGTGGAACAATACAATGATCTCATTTAATATGCTCGAAGCTGCTCGTCGTAATGGTTGTAAACGTTTCTTTTATTCTTCTACTGCTTGTATTTATCCTGAATGTATTCAGACGACAGAAGATGCGAAAAGTCTACGTGAGGATGATGCATGGCTTGGAAAACCACAAGGTGCATATGGTTTGGAGAAACTCGTTTCTGAAGAAATTGCCACGCATTATGGTCGTGATTTTTCAGTCGAAATTCGTATTGCTCGATTTCATAATATTTATGGACCTCAGGGTACATGGAAAGGAGGTCGAGAGAAAGTACCAGCAGCTTTTTGTCGCAAAGTGCTTGTCGCACACGAAGGAAATAATAATGGTGCAGTGCAAATATGGGGTGACGGAAAACAAACACGTTCATTCTGTTATATTGATGATTGCGTCGAAGGTGTTCTACGAATAATGATGAGTGATTATAATCAACCTTTAAATTTAGGTAGTGATGAAATGTTTTCAATCAATGAAATATGCGATATAGTAGCTGAAGTTGGAGGTGTTTCTATTCATAAGAAACATATTCTCGGACCTGAAGGAGTACGTGGCCGTAATAGTGACAATACACGTATTCAATCGATACTTAATTGGGCACCACATATAACTTTTAAAGAAGGTATTCGAAAAACGTATGCTTGGATCAAAGATGAACTCGAAAAAGAACGATCATTAAGGAATATAGCTCAGTATGCCGAGTCGATCATCGTTGTGGAAACTAATGATAGCATGCAGCATACTAAGCAAGTTAAAAGTTGACATTTCTCTTATTGTCTGATTTGATCGGTTTTCATATTGATTGCACAATTTTTCAGCTTTTCACATAGTAGCTAGAAATAAAACAAAAAGATGCAACAGGTTCTTTGAGAAAATGAGAGACAACAGATACTCATACAAACCTTCTTATTCACATATTTGTTGTTCCTTCCCCCTCCCCCTTGCAAATTAGACGTACAAAGACACATACCCAGGTGTGTCCCGATGATTTCAATGGAAATCAGGTGGATGTGTTGACCTAAGAATACCTATTTCAGGTATGGAACAACTAGGTGCTGTTACTACCTTAGTAAAAAAAATATAGCTAAAACACTTTTCATAATATTAGCACATGTATTTCGCTACATAAGTTGCTTTTCTTATAGCGTTTTCTTCAGATATTTTTTTTTTGAAAAGGTATTTTACTCGTGATGATTGAAAAGTCGCATATCGTTTCATAGAGAGAAAGTACATCTAATAATAGATTATGTCGTTTATTCTTGCGCGGCGCCCACGGAAGAAAGATCTATTGACCATTTTATTAGGTTGTTAACAAGGTTCTTGCACTGTTTTTGAAAATGTTCTAAAACATTCTAGAAAGTTCTCGAACTTTCCATACTAAAGCTATATAAAGGCAGTGTGAATATCTTCCGAATGATGATAAAGTGATCGATATGGACGCTGATCATGAAGTGAAAATGAATCTTTCTCGTAAAGAGATTCGAGTGCTTTTACTTCATGAATTTCGTTTGGATCACAAAGTAATGGAAGCAGCTAACAACATATGCAGTACGATGGGTAAGGGGTTTGGGTGAGTCAAAGCACGCCATTATCGCGATTTCATCCCGGCCAAAGGAATTATCAGATGGCCTGAGATTCCATAAGGTATCCAAATGATCCGAAGATCACAGATAAACTTACATAATCTGCGTAGTTCGACAGATAGCCGATATGAAGGCCATTCGGTGTACTGTTCACATGGTTGCGAATGATACAATATGTAATATGTTCGCGTTTTTTATATATTGAATTCGAGCGCTGGGAAACAATGAGGTGAATGATTAATAACATCGTATCAGAGTGATATCTGTTGTTATAGTATAGATTTTGTTTTCAGTTGTCTATGGAAGGACGGCGTTGTCATGTGGGTGGTTAACCTTTAAAAGCCGAAACGTCCCTTCCAAGGGACATTGCATTAATGGCTATAGAACGAAGGAATTAAGTCGTATCCACAAGAGCTACTATTTTGTCGAATGAGAACAGCCAGAGTGATAGTATCATAAGAAAAAAATCGTGTCAAAATAGTGGTCAGACATCAAANATACATGATGAGCTTTTGAGTGTTCGTATGATATAATCTGATTAATTCTATGGAAATTGTTTCGACGTGTTTATGACAGAATATTTCCAAAAGCACTTCAATGTTCCATGTTTTTTCACCGTTTTGTAATGCATTTGAGTAATACAGAAATATACGATAGGATGCAACTGATCTGACTCTGAATTATAGAAGATATATTCAATAGTTTCAATGTCACACCTAACGAAAAGACATATGTTCAAATTTAATCAAAAACTGGGCTATATTTGAAGAGAAAAAAGTTTCTATAAAGAAGAAATGTTACCGGGAAAAGGATTTCACTTAATATGAGTATTAGAAAAACGGACTCCATAAATTGTTACGTATTTGAAAAAAATAACGGGTTAGTCGAAATAAATGGCACTCTCAGTATTTTTCATGCGACTCTTTCATTTTCAGTGTATAAAAACAATTTATATCAAAAGATTCCTAGCAAAATTCTCTGCAAAATCATAATTAATCTTACATGTACGGAATGCTAGGAAAAGCCATTAAATGACAAGCATTGAACGTAAAATGTATTCAACTTTCAAAACTAACAACTGTTTTACAAACGATCAGTATTTTTATCTAAGCATTTGTTTAGTAATAAATTACAGTAAAAGATGCAGTGTGAAAAGTTCTACAATTTGCATAACCAGCCATTCTAAGCGAACAAATCAATTGCTTTTAAACTACGTAAAAGTCTATGTGACGAAAACATGATCATTCTGGTAAACTCGGAAAAAAGCTGTGCACCATTTTGAAAATAAAAAGTATATACTGTATGTGTCAATACTAGTAAGTATAGAGTTCATTTTATCATTCCTAACTTTTATATTTAGATTTCTACTTGTCAGGCAAGTGTTAGACTTAATTCACTAAAGATCATAACGATGGAGCAAATATGACTGAAAAGTTCAACTTCTGTTGACTTTTTAGTATTGTTTTTTTCGTGTAATGTGTGTTCTTTCTATGTGAAAAACTGTTCGCTCGACTGTAAGGAGGGTCATATGAAAAAAAAAGTTTGTCTGTTTGTTTGTTTGTGTCAGGGTCAAAGGTCAAATTAAAAAAAACACATTTTTCTGATGGTGTGAGGGTGTTGGGGAAGTCATTGGTGGGTGTGGAACCGTGGATGGAGGTCGTCGACAGTTCGATTAATGTGTCTGTGAATGTGGCTGAGTGGAACCACGAACCAGAGGCTCTGTCCCTTGCATTGTGGATTTTGGTTTGGTTTGGCCTTTGGTTCGTGTTGATTTGTTTGTATTGAAAGATGGAGTTGATGTGGTGCTCGAGTGGCGAGGAGGTTTGTTGTAATGCTGTTTGAGTGGCTGCGATGTTCCAGCTTTTATTCTACTGTACCTAATTTTAGGAGTATTTATAGAGCTACAAGGAAACGTGTGTATTACCGCAGCTGAATGCGCTGAAAGCGAAAAATAGAGATATCGAAAGAGAAGTCAGTTAAATCGGCGTGTGTCAAATGGAGTCCGGATCCCTTGAGGTAAACCTATCGAACCTATGATAATTGTGGAAAGACGAAGAAATAAAATGTCTGCAGGTAATTGATGATTACTATTGGTGTTTGAAGTGAATTTACATTAATGTTAAGATTATTCTCTGGTGGTTGAGCGTTTGTTCCGTTTGGATTCATAGATCGGAGTTGGGGTTGGTTGCCTGTGTCTGGATGGAATGGTGAGTGGCCTCGTGGTAGTGAAGTTGATGGGCTTAATTATGTAGATGAGGGTGAGGATGCCTGGAAAGAGATTTTCACGTATAAGAGACTGAAATTGATGTTTGACGTTCTATATCTCTGACTCTTGTGCATGCTTCGTAGTGCATGTGATGTGTTGTGTATGGTTATGATGCTGTTCGATTGAAGTGGTTCTAGTGCTTATTGTATTGCGTCCAGAGCTGAGCACAGGACAGGTCGTGCGGTGAATCCTGCCCTCCTGTCCTGTCCTGAGCTGTCCTGCAGGTGAGGATCTCGATTTTTGTCCTGCCCTGTCCGCTCTACAGGATGGATGAGGCGGAGCGGCAGGCAGGACAGGATGAACCACCTTGTCCTGCCGTGCGGTATGATAATTTTTTATAAATTTTATTTTAACGCTTTTACATAAGTTCTGGTAATTCATAACGATCAGTCTTTCTATTTCTACTATAGAGGTCATTAAAAGACAATGAAATATTGTGTGAATACGATTCGTCGACACACATACGAGTGCTGTATCATATACAGAAACAAACAAACTTGTTATATGTTAAATACTGAATATGTACAGATAAAAGTCATCGTCGACTATTCCTCTCCATCTATACAAGTGTTTCTTTCTATTATTTCGACTGTTTTTTTTCCACATTTATACTAAATACAGAATAGTGAATTATGAATATAGCAGATGTCTCTTCATCAAGTGAATTTTCTTTGAATTCTGAAAAAGTCAAACAATTACTTCGATCGGATGATAAACTTTACAAAGTTATAAAAAACGAATCATCATCTGGAGCAACCTGGTGGAATACATTTGGATTTCCTGCTAAATTAGATGAAAATAATGAATATCAACGAATTTTCGGACATGTTAGTTGTTTCAAGTGTTATCAAACGTTCAATTATTCTTCAAAAAGTGGAACAACTCGTTTAAAAGCCCATGAAATGAAATGTAAATCAGTTGCTGGATTATCATCATTACCATTAGCTTCTTCCATTGAAATTGATCATTCTTCTTCTTCATCGTCGGCACAAAGCATTCTTACTCAACATGGATTTCTTAAGTCAAAAAAATTAAGTGAAAAGGATGCTGAACATATGAAGCTATTATGTACTCAGTGGATCAGCACAGATCTTCGTCCATTTTCAATCATCGAAGATTCAGGATTTCGTAGTTTAGCTCAAGAATTAATTCGAATTGGTATGTTACTTTATCTTATTTTCATTGCATCGAAACAATACTATTTTGAATTGCTTTTCAGGACACAAATATGGTGTAATTGATATCGATAATGTTTTGCGAAGTCGCCATACATTATCTCGAAACGTGTATGATCTTGCAGATTGTCTTAGAGAATGTATAAAAGATAAACTACGTGAACCATTGCAACATCGATCTGTGACTATATGTCCAGATTTTTGGACAGATCCGTACAAAAATATTTCCTATTTAGGACTGAACATATGTTTTGTTGATAATCAACATCGTTTTTATTCAATAGATTTATTCTGTCGACCTTTTCTTGGTATTAAATCAGCTGATTTAATTGTGAAAGTAAGGCTACCTTTTCAATACATCGCATTTTCCATGTTGATTTTATAGGCCCTTGAATCTCATTTAAGTGAATTTGGTATTAGTAATTTAGCCATGGTGAACATAATATCTGATCGAGGTTCAAATTTTGTTAAAGCTTTCGAACCATTTAGTCCTCTTTTCTGTTTTGGCCATCGTTTGAACAACGTATTAAAAACAACCTTCTTTCACCACGAAAAGAAGAAGAAAAAGCAATCTGATTCATCATCAACAACAACAATAGTGACAGCATCAAATAATAATAATAACGTCGGTGTAGGAAATAATGATTCAATACCAAAAGAACAAAAATATGTTCTTTCAAGTGAAGAATCATCCGATGATGATGAAGAATATGTTTTACCATTAACATCAATTCCAATTATAAAAAAGAAAAAAACGAATACGTCAACATTAGTACCGAACGATAAACAATCATTACGAAATGTCTTGATTGATGATATTCCAGTTGAAGCAAAATATGTACTTTCTACATTAAAACAATGTAAAAGAATTGTTAAATATATAAAAAAAGTTGGTATAATGACTTTCTAATATTTACTCGAAGAAGAAAGAATTTTTTAATCTTTTTTAGTCTGGTTTGAACAAAGATATTGAAAATAATGGTGGATCAACAGTACATCAAGCAATTGATGTCCGTTGGCTATCAATCATGAATTCATTGAAATCAATATTGAAATCGTATAAGGTTATGAAGAAAATTTTGATCAATAAACAACAACAGAGATTATTCATCAACGTTGATGAAAAGAAAATCAAACAAATTATGCTATTGTTAGAACCATTTCAGGATGTAATGAAAATGATTCAAACTGGTAATTCACCATCTTTACATTTAGTTTTACTATGTACACAAACATTAAGAGATGTTTTAAAATCATTCGATTCATTAGTCAATTACCACGAAAATAATGGTGAATATGAATCAAATGACATAGACGACGAGCTGTTCGAAGAATTAGAAGGTATATAAGGGACAAAATAGTATATCAATGACTATTTTTTTTTATTCTAGGTATAAAGTTTTTTCTTAATCGAATGAGAGGTTTATTCAATGAAATGTTTGAACTTGATATCAGACATTATTCTGCTACGTTATTACATCCCAAATATCGTTCATTAAAAGCCTGCACTTATACCGAACGTGCTGAATGTTACAAATATGTGCGTCAACAAATGCAGCTAATCTATATCGAACCAAATGAATCAAATCAAAAGGAAGTTGAAGAACCTGCAGCAAAGAAGTTTAAAGGTGATTTGTTTCGTCGATTCGAATCTGATGGTTCCGATGTTCGACAAGAAGATGGAGGTGAATCTGGAAATGAAAGTGAAGAATATCCAATCTCATCAAGAAAAACAGATGAACTTGATCGTTATTTAAATTTAGAGTTCGAAAAACTCAAACTATCATCAAATCCATTAACGTTCTGGAATGATCAACATGACAAATTTCCTCTTTTATCTTGTCTAGCTCGTCGTATTTTTTCAATACCAGCTACTTCTACCAGTGTAGAAAGACAATTCTCTGGAGCAGGTTTAGTTATACAAGAAAGAAGAACGAGTTTGAATCCTGAACAATTGGACAACATTTTATTAATCAGATCAATGAGGAAATACGAACATTTATTTGAACAATAATTGTCTTATTTCTATATATGAACTTCCACTATTTGTATTAATATATTCTTGAAACACATATTCTTATATCTTCTCAATTTTGTATCATTGATACTGATCATAGTTATTACGACGTAAGGTTACGTCATTCTCAAGGAGAATCTTCTATATAATATCTTTTCGTTCATAATACGTGTTTGTTCAAATAGTTGTTCATTCTTTCTTTTTTTGTATTTATTTATTTGATTCATCGTATTAAAAAAATAGATGTGATATTTATGATGAAGAGATGAGTTGTAAAATGAATAGATGATACGATCAGTGTCTTTTTTAGCTAAAAAAATTCATGTATGTCCTGCCAAAAACCTGTCCTGTCCTGTCCTGTCCTGAGCCTGTCCTGTCCTGCAGACGAGGGTCCAAATTTCGTCCTGTCCTGCCCGCACCACAGGACGAATGATGCCGGAGCGGCAGGCAGGACAGGATGAAAAATGTTGTCCTGTGCTCACCTCTGATTGCGTCATCGTTTCTTTCTTCTTATTGCATGTTCGATTGATGGTATAAAATTCAGGTTTTTATATTCCTGTCCGAAAAGTATCTGGCGAATTAGATGAATGAAAACAAAAAGCATCATCATTAATACGAAGATTAGAATAAAGGTTGGACTTGAAGTGTGACAAATAAAATCTTAACGAAGAAATTTGAAATCTGATTTTTTTTAATCACTGGATGGCGTTCAAAATAAATGTCTCTTAAAAATATGGATATTTATTATAGATCTACATGCATTAAGAATGAAGTTTTGATCAACATAATTATACATTTATGTTTAGTTTTAGATCTTAAGGGCGAGGAGTGAGTATTCGTTTGTCCATGTCACATCCTCACCTTCATCCATCCATCGTAAAGACAAAGAAAGAACAAGGCAATTTTCTCTTCTCATATGAAAATCATTTTAATTTTTTATTAAATTTCATTCTATAATCAAGAAATCTAAAAATAATCGTAAAACACAATCATCGGACAGTTATTATTCAAATGCTTAGACGCATTCGCAGATAATATCTCTTGCCAATCCTGATTTAACCAATCGGGTAAATTCAGACAAACTAATTTGTCCAGATCCATCTGTGTCAGCCAGAAAAACACAAAGGTCAACACAATACTAAAAGAAATAATCATTAAAGACAAATAAGCTTAACTTTTCAATTAAATTCAAAATGACCTCATCGGTAAGGACTGATAAAAAGGCTCGTAGTTCATCGGGTGAAATTTGACCATCCGACAAAGTGATTGTTCGATTGTAGAGGCCTCTTCTACCTTGGTCGAGAATGTCGAAAGCGCGTGCAATGTCAGATTCGCGTTCCTGACTATTTCCCAACATGAATACTTGCAATACCAGCAAGAAATCATCCCATGCCAATTTCGGAGCTGATGAAGTAACATCTTCTGTAATAGAATGAATTAACAAAAAGATTACATCAGTAAAATGACTTCGAAATAGATTATTCTAACTTCTTCTATATTCTTGTTTGGTTATTGTACGAGAATAAATAGTTGCGCCATCATCAAGCAATTCCAAAGTAACACTTGTTGTGCGACCGTCAACAACTTGTTCCCTGTATTTAGCAACTCTTCTTGACCACATCGTTGATGAAGGAAACGAAAAGTTTGCTATTCATTTAATATCATTGAATAAGTAGAAATGATATGAATGAACTTACTCGGTCTTACAAATTTTCGGTGAAGTTTCATGCCAGGAACATCTAATATTTTTATTAATAAACAGCAAAAGCTTTTAACTACGACATGTAATGGAAATTATATGCTTACAATCGGATGGAAGCAAGCCATATTGAGAGAAATCAAATAATCCTCGTCGTCGAATCGATCTACTGCTTACGTATTGTGTACCTATTTCAATATTTTAAAGTGAAATCGAGTAAAAATCTTGTGATATTGACTACAAATGACAAATCATATTGATTTTGGACGATGATTTTCCCTTTAATTTATTTTGTTTTTTTTTCTCTTCTCGTATTCAGTGTTGTCGAGAACTTAGGATCGCAGTTAATACACAACTGTCACCACAACATATCTCATCATGCATACCGAAAAAGAGGTGACTCAGTCTATCGAGCATCTAAGATCCACGCTTTCTTTTACAGATCCTACTACAGCTATATATGTCGTCCCAGGTTGAACTTAAAAAGTCGCAGGTGTGTCAAAACTTCGAAATTTTAGAGAAGAATATGATATAGAAACTGNGTGGGTAAGGATGGCGTGGATGAAGTCTCACCCAAGTGGTTCTATAACTGAAAAGGCCGCGAAACTTTGCATGCTGTTTCCATATGTCTAGAAAGCATCAAACGACTGTTCGCATACTAGTCAGGATGACAAGTGTTGACGACATGGGTGGGGTCTGGGTGAAATTTCACCCACGCGATTTCGTGTCAAGACAGCACGCCAAACCTTCCGTACTGCTTTTGTGGGCATAGGGAAGGATAGATGGGTTGTTAGGGAGCCCGTAAGGAGATTGACAAGGTCGGCGTCTGTGAGTTATCATCCAAGTGATTCTATGACAGATGAGGTTGTCAAAATTTGCATGCTGGTTTTTGTGTACTCAGAAAGTGAGTATACTATAGAATGGGTCAGTAGGTCCGTCTGCCCGTTAATCCAATAACTCCTGAAAGAATAATCCAATTGTCATGAAATTTAGTACATAACAGTATATTGTCAATGTCGCACACGAGTTCGAAGATGAGCGCGATCGACTGTAATACTACTAACTTACAAAAAAATTTCTCAGATTCTTATGCGTTCCATCTGATACACTTTTTGAAGTACACATAACTTTCGGATAAAGTCCGAAGTTTTCGCATTTTTTAATTAACAAAACTAATTTGATTTCAATATACTTTTTGAACATCTGCAAGTACTGCAGTGAAGAGTGTAGCTTGAGGAAAGAAAAAGAAAATTATAGATGTTTTTATCATGTATTCTATTAAATAAAGATATCGTTCTTTCTTATTGTTCATAAATTATTATATTAATACCGATCTCTACTGCAACTGTGATCCAATCGGAGAAAGCTCTTATCACTAGTAATGAAAAACAGGGCAGTTAGCTGATTACTATGCTTCATCGAAAAATAAAATTGGTAAAGAAATAAGTTCGTTTTTAATTAAACTAAAAGCAGATGAAGGCGCCATCTGTAATAAGGTAAAATAGATTGGATGAATCATTTCAATGCATTAATTTTTTGTTCCTCTTCTGTAATGAACCATAAAACGAATTTTGAAAGTATGCATTTATTTTTTCTTTGATCTGATGCACACCTTCAGACACATTCTAAAAGAAATACTTAATAACAACAAACTGTTTATTTTCTCATATTGTTCTTTTTTGTTTAGTATTCAAATATTATTATTTCTTGTAATGGCAGAATCCAAATTGGATATTATTATCACACAAGACAAGGGACGATGTTTTGTCGTAAATCAACATGTATCTCAAGGAGAAATTGTATTTATTTGCCAACCATATGGTATAGTTCCATTCGTGATAACAAAAGATTTCATATGTGCAAACTGCATTTGTATTCCAAAGGAGAGAACTTCTTCGAATAAAATGATTGAATGCCGACAAAAATGTCATCATACATTTTATTGTTCCGATCAATGTGAACAGCACGATTGGGACAAATTTCACAAATACGAATGTTCATTCCTTGACAAAATATTCGAAATTGGCTTCACGAATTATATTCTTACCTATACGCGACAAATAATGCGCATGTTAACATTACGATTTTATGAGATTATGAACAAATCTTGTGTTTCCAAATTTGAAGATGTATGGAAACTCTGCTCAAACTATGAGAAATTTACAATGAAAACGAAAGATGAATATGAAGCAGTGGCCAAAATATTGACAGAATATGTTTTAACTCAACTCGTTCCTCATTTAACATCGGGCGATATGGATTTTACTCGTATGGTTTACTCGTTTCTACCTGATAGAGCAGATGTCGAGAAACTTTCGATCAATGTTTCGAATTCATGGATAAATACAATGACTCATACATATTCAATTTCGAGTGATGCCTGCAAACAGTTATTATTTAAAATATATATTCTCATTTGTATCGAAGAGATCAACTCATTCTTTCTCACAACATTTCTATTTGACGGATGGACTCAATCATGCTCGAAATATGCTGTAGCAGTCTATCCACAAGCCTCTTTTTTCAATCACTCGTGCTCACCGAACTTGGGTCGTTTCTTCATTGAAAAGGATGGAGACACTTTTCGTACCGGCGACATTGTTTTCTTTGCCATGCGTTCGCTGGAAAAAGGTGAAGAAGCCTGTATTACGTACACGAATCTCGAACCTGAACTTTATATACAAGAACTAGTCGATACAAGTGAAATTATTAAATCTCAAGCAAAAAGAAATGAAAGATTAAAAGAAATCTTCCTTTTTGATTGTAATTGTGTTCGATGCATCAACGAGTCAAAAGGAATACTAGATTCATCTTTTGTCACTTTAGTAAAAGAATTCAAGTGTTCAAAGACAGATTGTACTGGTTGGCTGATCCCAACCGTCGATGACTGCAAGATATGCGAGGCATGTGGGTCATCACCATAGCGTCTTCTCTTTTTTCTTCTGCTTTACTCGCTTTATAGGCTCATGCAAAGGAAAACTATCGAATGAGACAGAACTAGAGTATAATTTGTAATAACAAAAGTTATGTAAAAAGTTCACTGACTTGTCTTTTTTTTCTGTAGTAACTACAACTTTCTAATACGTATATACTTTCTTGTCTTTCTTATTGTCATATTGTGTATCTCTTGAAAGATAAAATATGTAGTGATCAAGTTTTTTTTCATTTTGTCAAAGCAGATAGGATGCATTATTGATTTGGATTTTGCTAACTTAATGAAAACAGTTAACCCAATTCCTGTGGGATTATGAAATGTGAGACGCGATGCACTTGCCATAATTTCCGTAATTGAATGATCGTTGATCTGTGCGAGGAAGAAGCAAACAGAATGTTAATAAGTTTTTAATGGTACACACTTTGATACTCTCTTTGCAGATCATGTTTTGAAAAATCTGATGAGACAACCGTCATATTTAATAAGGAATGTCTCTGAAAAAATATCATCTTTATTTTTCACATGTGTCGCTATATAGACACAAAAGTGGTCATATGATGCGTTATAGCGTTAGCCGGGAAATTCCATGTATTTCAGATATCGATTAATTTCCCGGAAATTCAGTTTTCCCTTCAGATATACTAAACCAAAAGAATATATACGATTTCCCCATTTTCATCACGGACGTATAAGGCATATAGGGCATATGATGCCGGAGGGTGATGTGAGTCTTATGTGCCCGTAATAAACACGGCAGGATACAGAGGTTATTGTCTTTACTATATATTTGTTATAAATCCCAAGTCTATAGATATGTCGAAAATGAGTTTCCCGGAAAACGCTATAACACATAAAATCAGGAATGTTATCCGTTTGAATTTAGGGTATTCCGTGTAAGACATTACAGATGACTTTCAATAGGACCAGTCTACTTATCATCGAAAATATGTGTCTAGACTTGTTTGATATTTATGATGTCTGACGAATTTCGAAAAAAATGTTTTTGGAGAAGGTCTCTGTGTTTGTCCGTCATTTTTTCTCTATATAAAAAGATACGATAGATGCTCCGAAAAAGCACTAGAAAACTCGGGGTTTTCCATAGAAAAGATCTATTTTTTCCATCAAAAGTGTTTTCTAAAGCGGACTGGCTTTTCGAAGCGAAAAAGACTTTTCCAAAAAAGTGGATGGATCCGCATGGATTGACCCTAATGATTTTAGTCGAATAACAATCAAGAAAATGAAATAATTACAATATTCTAGTCTTTTTGTTTGATATTTTATACATTTATCAAGCGTTATCGAACATAATCAGATAAACACCCTGAGTTTAATTCGCAAGCTATCTGGAGAATTAGATTATTGCAAAGATTAGAACAAAGGTTGGACTTGATATGTTACAAATAAAATCTTAATGAAGATATTTGAAATCTGATTTCTTTTAATCACTGGTTTGAGGGTGCGGGACGAGTATTCGTTTGTCTATGTCACGTCCTCGCACTCATCCATACACCGTGAAGACAAAGAAAGAACAAGGCAATTTTTTCTTCTCATACGAAAATCAATTTAATTTTTTTATTAAATTTCATTCTATAATCAAGAAATCTAAAAGTAATCGTAAAACGCAATCATCGGACAGTTATTATTCAAATGCTTAGACGGATTCGCAGATAATATCTCTTGCCAATCCTGATTTAATCAATCGGGTAAATTCAGACAAACTAATCTGGCCAGATCCATCTGTATCAGCCAGAAAAACACAAAGATCAACACGATACTAAAAGAAATAATAATTAAAGACAAATAAGCTTAACTTTTCAATTAAATTCAAAATTACTTCATCGGTAAGGATTGATAAAAAGGCTCGTAGTTCATCGGGTGAAATTTGACCATCCGACAAAGTGATTGTTCGATTGTAGAGGCCTCTTCTACCTTGGTCAAGAATGTCGAAAGCGCGTGCAATATCGGATTCGCGTTCCTGACTATTTCCCAACATGAATACTTGCAATACCAACAAGAAATCATCCCATGCCAATTTCGGAGCTGACGAAGTAACATCTTCTGTAATAGAACAAATTAACAAAATGATTACATAAGTAAAATGACTTCGAAATAGATTATTCTAACTTCTTCTATATTCTTGTTTGGTTATTGTACGAGTATAAATAGTTGCACCATCTTCAAGCAATTCCAAAGTAACACTTGTTGTACGACCGTCAACAACTTGCTCCCTGTATTTAGCAACTCTTCTTGACCACAATGTTGATGAAGGAAACGAAAAGTTTGCTATTCATTTAATATGATTGAATAAGCAGAAATGATATGAATGAACTTACTTGGTCTTACAAATTTTCGGTGAATTATCATGCCAGGAACATCTAATATTTTTATTAATAAACAACAAAGACGTTTAACTACGACATGTAATGAAAATGATATGCTTACAATCGGATGGAAGCAGACCATATTGAGAGAAATCAAATAATCCTCGTCGTCGAATCGTCCTACTGCTTACGTATTGCGTACCTATTTCAATATTTTAAAGTGAAATCAAGTAAAAGTCTTGTGATATTGACTACAAATGGCAAATAATATTAATTTTTGGATGCTGATTTTCCCTTTAATATATTTTTTCTCTCTTCTCGTATTCAGTATTGTCGAGATCTTAGGATCGCAATAAATACACAACTATCACCACAACATATCTTACCATGCATACCGAAGAAGAGGCGATTTAGTCTATCTAGCATCCAAGATCCACGCTTTCTTTTACAGATCCTACTACAACTATATATGTCGTTTCAGGCTGAACTTGAGAGTATTATAGAAGAATGTGATATAGAAACTGCAAAATAAGGATTCTCCTATATGTATTTGTCTTTACCTGATACTCCGTAATCAATAGTACTTGCGCGTACGCTCGAATATGATAGTGCTGGCAGAGACTAAAAGAAAAACGTTGATAAGATATTTTTGACGCTTATTTTGGACAAAAACTACCAGATCTTCATGAATGCCAGCATTACGAGCTGTTTCAACAAGTGTCGTTGAATCTAACAGTGTATTTCCATAACGAGCTACATAATCGGCAGGATTTTCTCTAACGACATCTTCTTTTTCCAATCGTCGAACTACACGTGGTTCAACACGTTCATAAATAACAATCTGATTGCGGCATTCTGAACATGATACAGAACTGGCACCCTGCGCTTCTTCAACAATTGTACGACGTTCAGGTGCAGGCCCATAAGGTAACCAACGTTCGATGATAATATCACCTAAATAATAAGAAAACAATGATCTATGATTGAAAAAAAAGAGAAGTGAAATAATTCTTTTTACGTGGTTTTTCCGGTGGAGCTGGAAAACGTTCGACAATAATCGATCGTGGAGGAGGAGGTAGACCAGGTATTCGGCGAATAACTATAAAACGAATATATTCAGTAACTTCACGTATATGGAACTTAAATTTGTTGTTTTCCCTCACCCGTTTCGCTTGGAATAGGTGATGGTGGCAATGGTGGCCGTTCACGTAAGACAAGTGGAGGTGGTGTAACAGCAGGTTCCGCGTATTGACGTATGACAAGTGGTGGAAGTGGTGCTGCTTGAGGTTCACGCACTTCTTTAATAATGAGTGGCTAAAATCATATAAAGATTAACAACATTGCATTTACAAAAATTTCAATTGCTTACTCCTGGTGCTGGTGCAGGTGGTGGTTGAAGATATCGAACAAGAACTCGTTGCTGATATGTTACCGGTCGGTCCGCTACTGTTTTTCGAATAACTATCGGATCAGGATCTCTGCAAATATTGGCTGTTCTTTCAAGAAATCTGTTAGTCTCTTCGACACTATGTGTTTCAATTACGGTTTCATTCGTGAAACCGTTTACTACTGCTACACTTTCGCGTGTACTATATGCATTTTGTTGTAATCGTCTGCCACTAATACTACCATCAAGGTAAATTTCACTTGATAATGTTTGATAGTTGTTCCGACCCAATTGAGCAGCACTGATTTCATGGTCATGCAGACGACTAGCCGACGTTTCATATGTTGTAGAAGATGTTCCTTCGATATTTGAAACCAATTCTCGAAATTCATGTTTATTAATGCTATATACACATCAACTTATTATTGTGACAAAAAATGCTTGATTCTTACCTTCGGTTCTGGTTTGGATCACCTTCTTCAAGCGAACTATTACTGTGAACGCTTTCTGGCATTTTCCGAAATCGACAAAGTACAAAAAAGTTCTTGAAATAAAAAACAAAGTAACGATAAGATATCGCTTAGAATGAATGAGGATGACCTTGAGGGTGTGGGTGAAATTCACCCAGATGGTCCAATAATAGCTAATGTTACACAACTTTTCGCATCGGTTTCTATGTTCAGAAATATATCAGAATGGGATTGAACTCGCTAAAACAAACATTACGATGGGAGTACCTACCTATCCTTCATATATACGAAGAAGAATATGTGTGTGTGCTATGTATTCAGTTCCTGCAACGAATACAGCTATCAAAGGCTCTGCGGTGCCTTAGTGAGTTGAGGGTAGAATCATAATGCTATTGTAGTTATTAAGAAAGATGAGAAGGATGTAGCTGGGTGAAACTTACCCCGATGCGTTTTCATCAGCAGGTATCGAAAAAATTTCTACAGAATTTTCTCCTTAAGCTAAAAAGGATCCTTAAAGAAGATTGGCGCTACTAATAGGAGTACGGGAATAGAAGGTACTTGCAGAGAAAATTGAAAGAAAAAAAGAATGAGTTTATCTTCTATGTGGATGGTGGTAAAAGTTGCCATGATGGCTATAAAATTTCCAGCAGCATGTTGTCTGTCCTTGCATTGCTCGTCGTTTTCTGATACGTGAGGTTTTCAATTTTCGAGGTTCTGAATTCACATAAGATACACCGGCTAATATATATACAGTGGTGGCCAAGATGATAAGACTACTGAATTTCAATGGGATTTTTCACTTCTTTATGGTTAAATTTTATCTATTTAAAAAAAGACCCTGATAAAGATATGTGGTGAGATATGGTCTATTCAACTGTGAGGTTAGATTTGGCTACTGTTACCAGTAAGTTGAAGAAACAGAATGTTTATTAAGTTTTGTTGATTTTTATCTAGTCAGTATTGTAAGACCACTATCATACTTTCATTATATGTGTAACCGGCAAAGTCAGTTTTGTTGATGCATCGCATTGATAAGAAGAGGCCTTTTTATCTCCAAGTTTTCATTGCAAATATTTTGACTTAACACCTATGTTTTTATTTAGAATGGAATGTTGTTGATCAACTCGAAACAACATGAAAGTGTTATCGGACTCCTGTTAACATGAAACATACAATAGACGCAATGGGATGCGTTTCATATTGTAAACTGCATCTAGACACAATTAAAATTATATTCTATCGCATTCAGTCGTGTGTTTTTGTCAAAACTCGCGTTCAGACGCCATTTCTTGTTGCGAGTTCGATATATTTCCCCCAAAGGGTGAGGGTGAGGGTGAGGGTGAAGGAAGAATATTTTTAGATCACGCCGTCACCTTCAGGCAGCTTGACGATAAAGATTCTTATGAAATGTTATATATCAATAAGATATCCATAAAAAGTTATTTGAATCATTATTCAATAGAAGTCATATGTCAAAATTTAATCATATAACTCTTCGTCTTTTTTTTTTCTAGAAAGTTTTATTTTCATTGAATCTTTTGAAGGATTCTTGAGTGAATAGATTTCAGCTAGAGGTATCGGTTCATCACGTAATAGGACTGGATCAACACATTGAACATCGGAATGAAATATACAAACGATGTGCTGATGCATCACATACCCGAGTAATCCACCAGAGAGATTTAATAGATTTGAAACAGCTTGATTTCATGCAGCCATATCAGATTTTCGATCACGGATGATGTTGTCAGCATCTTCAATAATGAGAATTGAATATTGAAGATTCATGGAAAATGATTAAAAAAACAGATTTAGTCATATCCTTGAACAAATAGAGTAGTATTTTCAATGGTTTTAGAAGACAAATATACGTTTACTATATCCAGTGGGACATAAATAAGACGTTAATCTTTTTATCTCATTGACCAAATAACGTAAATAATTAAGCTTTACCAATGCGCGTGGAGAACCTATTAGCTTATAATACTTCCAATAGTTGCTCATGAATTGACAGAAATTCACCACCATAATGCAGTTTCAGATTAGTGAAATGAGGCATTTTCATACGGATAGACATTGTGTCGAAACCACATCGAGTATTGTGACCAACCATGTGCAAAGTAGCTCCAATTATTGTAAATAACCGAAATTTCAGCAATTCTTTAATTAATGTTCGAGCATCTTCTTCCTTTTGACGTACATGGGAAACCTATCTAGAGAATACGTTTCTGTGAGATTATATATTTCATTGCGTGACAGAATCTTGACGAATGATTGTGCAAATTTTCTTTAACATCGTCCGCTCATGTGATCATTCAATCATGCATTCAGCATTCTTTTGCAAGAAATATTCGCGCCACTGCAACACATTCTCGACAGGTGTACCATTTAGAAACACTTATCAGCTAGTGAACGATGTAAATATCTGCAACTTCCCAGAGCGAACATACAAGTGATGAAAAATACACTGACACCTCTGGATGTTCCCTTTAGAGCATATGTTGAAGTTATTATATACTCTTACATCAACCTTCTCGAATAGTCATGATTGTTTCTTTGTCTTAAATGCGTAGTTATGTATGTTACTTATTTCTCATTGATATACATATATGAAATACATGTCACGATTTGAAATCTTATCTGGTATCATGTTGAAGTTTGTCTAGACAGAGCGGTTCAACAGAAATTTAAGTAAAAACATTAATAAGTGTTTAAAAGTATCGAGATAATTATCATAATTCAGATCAATAACATCTCAAAACGAATAAATATGAGTTGTGTCGAGTATTATGTAAAATAATCGAAATCTTCAACTTAGATTTGATTCAACGAAGTCAAATTATAAAATACAATTTTTTTTACTTCTTAAATGTTCTTCTTACATATGCGTTATCGTACTGTTTAGGTTATTTATCTAGAAAAAAAATATTGCCATTCATTGAGTAAAATAAAACAATGACGAATTTATCATCTGAACATCAACGCGATTTGCGTATGGTTGAATCTATACTTTATTGTCAATCTTTTGATCACAAAAAAAAGATTCAAATTTGATTGCTGATTATATGTATCTTGAAGTTATTGTTAATCCTAATCTCAGATTTAATTAATTAAATAATGTTCTTTACTTAAATTACCTATCAATAAATGACGTTATTTCTCGATAATAGTAGTGATAATATAGGTCTATAGATTTAATTATGTTATCAGCAGTAATGTAAATGAAACTAGTCAACGTATTTATACATTACAATACGTTTAATCTTTGGCAAAAAATTGATTGTTACATGTCTTGTGTGAAAAATATATCTGATTGATTTATTTCGAGTAATATTTATCGTGAATAAATGAATTGTTAATGTTAAATATCATCTTAAGCTTTATTTTCTTTCTTATTTTTATTACACAGATGTGTTCAGGAGTTCCATAACAATATAACCTGTTGACACTAACGTAGAACTGATTATGACTAAGGAATGGCAATCATTTGCTTGAGTTACACACACTCAAGATGAATAGGTTTATAATAAAATGTTCAACAAATGCTGATTGTTACTTTTATCAATTGTATAGTATATAAGATTTTCTTCGGCCAATTTATGTAGTTTTTTCATACGGTTTGGGCATCTGAGTTGAGCATTTGAACAGACTCGGCTCGTTTTAAGTTTCAAATGAGTAAGATGAACGAAATTTTCTCGTAGATGTCGAATTAAATCTGACAATGCTGTTGAATTTTCTTCCAAATATTGTGTTAACCAAGGCAATGTAATGGTTTTCAATAGTGGAAATATTTCTGCTAATTCACGAATGTAAATCACATCCAAATAATCATCAGACGATGTTTCTGTTATGCATGTGAAAGTATCGATTGTTCGGTACTGATTGAAATGTAATTCTTTCAACCATTTGATAACTATTCGTATATCGTAGCGACCATGAAACGAAATTATTTGTAAATTTGGTGATAAAGTAAGAAGTTTCGAGATGAATCGGTTTGTCTCCGATGACACATCGTGAATATGATGATAACAATGAATTTCTCTCATATTTCGAAGTTTCAAGTCATTGTTTAAACTGTAGTACGACAACAATCGATGAGAAATAAATTCTTTCTCTAAAACATTAAATTTTGTGCACAGAAATAGTTTTTGTGGAGTTAAATATCGTGAAAGCGTAAGTTGAAATCTTTGACGGAAATGTCCATAACGATGATCAAGAGTTGCCATATTTGACAAACAATGATCTGGTTGATCACTGCTATACAAATAATATTGAAAGGTTTCCAATCGAGAAAAATTCGCTATTAAACTTTGCATTTTCTCATGATCAACAGATTCTGTACCAGTACAAACTCCGATTAATATCAATGATTTTAAATTATCTTTGAATAAATTTAAAAAATTTTCAAATTCACTCACATTTCGTCCATAATGCCGACGACAAGTGTCATTATTCAACGTACCAAATTTGAAAATCATCTTTTCAAGTGAAGAAGGAACCTGTAAGTCATCGTTTGCACGTGTATCAAATGTGCAACTATAATCATAATTTAATGTAAAATTCAATTCGATAAGATTCGGCATTATTCGGAATATATCCTTCAAACAAAACAGATGTGATTCGATTGAGAGACGTTTTATAGAAGGTATTTGAGGCATAGTAGATAAGGTGAAACAGTAAGATATTAGTAATAAAGATAATGTTGATAGATTCTTTGATGCATGATTTGCAATTACTTTTAGAGTTGCTTTTCGTGGTTGAAGTGAAAGGTCAGTTAAATTTTCCAATGAAAGAACCTTGACGAGAAATTGATTTAATTGAGATGCACAGTATGATTGACGGCTTTTATCAGATTTTAATTTAAGAGATTTTAAATTGAGGAACCGATGAATGTATGGTTCAAAATATTGTCGCTGTCGCTCGAAATTGAAAGTGATAGATTGAATTTGATGACCATGTGAGGGTAAAACATGATTATAAAATGATCGAAGAGTTTTACAATTAACATCATCCACTCGTGTTACATCAATATGAGTTAAATATGAGTTAATTATTCGTTGAAAACGATAATTCAGATTGTTAAATGCACAAATAACATCAAATTTTTTTAAATAACGAAAGATAAGTAAGAATAGTTCATCAGGTAGAGATTCCATGCTCGAATGATTTGAATAACGAATGTAAACGAAGAAAACCATCGACCTGACGTCATATACTCGCGTTTATTTATCTTTTCTAGCGCACGCCACTTCCTATCAACTATGTAATATGATATTCACGAAAAGGAATACGTTTCAGCATTTCAATTTTCAACAGTTATCAAGTATAGAAATCGAGAAACTCCGTTCGTTTATATGAAATCTAGTCGGTCACGCAAAACACTGCCGATGTACTAAATTGCTTGACATTCGATGTGTATGGATTGTTTGGAATGTAAAGAACAGTAAAAATTTTACTGAATTACATAAGTCTTTTCGTCAACTTATTCGACCATCTCTAGATCTCCTAGAATTTATCATCATTAACACATTCCGAAATATAATTGTATACATATGATCTAGAGTAGACAATTTCCTTCGAAATACTGGCCGGAAGAAAGATGTTTTTGTATGTTACATATACAAAGAATATCTTATTTCTTTCACGAATCGATACTTAACACTTTTGAAACTCATCCGTCATTGGAAAGTTATGACTTTACTCATTAATTGAATTCCCAATTGTCGAATGTTTAATTTACTAAAAATCAAATGTTTACGAATCTAATCGTCTATTGATTATTCTTAAAAGTGTACTAATGCTTAACTCGATGCCAGCCGATTGGTTTCTAATTGATATTGTCCAACTATTATTGACAAATATAGTTTATCAATGGTTTTTGAAGTGTACATTAAATCAATTGTTGTCAGCGCTCATAAGAAGTCATTTCTTTCTAATCGAAAACAAACTTCTTGACACAGAAGATCACTTTCTTGTAGAAGTATTCCATACTCTCTGAATATACTGATCAATAGATATTTCCCTTATAGGAAGAGATCGAATATGGATAAGCGATTTGTAGTAAAACTTTTACGGCTTGTGGTACACACTTGATGTTCGCCGAAGAAATTTTTGTATCGGAAATGTTCTTTTTTCTCTTGGAAATTGGCCTGTCTCACTATAGAAGCAGCAATCTTTCCTCGATGTTTCATTTTCTCGGAATTTTGTACATAAGTAACTATAGCGCATGATGAATACGTCATCATTTCTTTTCAGATATCATTGTATTACAATTGGCGATACAAATGATTTAGCTATGTCTTGTTTTTCTGTATATCGGCTTATGCCATTCATAGGTGTTTAAATCTCGTGTGGTTTCTTCTCGGCTAGACTATGAACTTGTCCTTGTTGACCTGACAACTCAACTCCTCTCAACAAATCTGATGGAGTCGTTCAAAGAATGTGCCATCGAATGCAATCAGAACGTCATGTGCCGGGTTTTCAATTACAACGCAGTGAACTCTCAAGAATGTCGATTGTTGGAAGGCGACACGAATGCTCTAGGCGATATTGTTATATCTTCTTCGGCCCAATTAGCAGTTGGCGCAGTTCATATCTCCGCGAACGATTTCATTGAATATGTCCGTCCATGTACTTCTTTTTGTAAAAGTCGTTATTTGATGTGCGGCAGCAGTTTAACATGCGAATGCATCAAACATACTTATTGGGACCAAGTAACATCCACTTGCTAACCGCAATCACCAGTTTTTGCATCGTCTTACCAATTGAACGTCAACATGTGTCGATAAGATATCATTTACACTTGTCTACCATACAGACAATGCGGACGTAAGTTGTTTTCATTGGTACTTTGTTGTTTCTAAAGTAGCTTTGACTTATATCACCTGCACAACTGTTGCTGGTTACGGCAATGAATCGTCGGGAAATGATGCAACAAGAATTTATGCACATCGTTCTATCTATGTTTCGCCGATTGATGAAACTCTCTATGTCAGTGTTTCGAAAGATTGTCGAGTTGAACGTTTCGATTTTGAATAATCCACTGGAGTCACTGTATGTCGCTGGAAGGAACGGTTGTGGTTCAGCAGTTAACAAAAGTGTATCAATTTTTGGGCGTTCAATGCTTCACAAGAAACAACAGTCACGAACGGTGCCCAATTGTGGGGTATCATTAAGGATTAGTACAACAATTTGTACACGTCATCAGTAAATCTTCATGAGATTCTGCGCGACAACGATACGATCGTTGCCAGTGTGTACTACACCAAGGGTAACAACCCAATGACATTAAACTATCCTCAAGGAATCTTCTTTGGTGTTCATACATCATCATTATTTGTTGCTGACACCTATAAACATCGTATTCAAAGATTCACGATAAATAGTTCGGTTGGAGCAACGGTGAAGGGTCTGATGCACATCAGTTGAACACACCATATTCAGTTTGAATAACCGCGGAAGGCCACATCCACATTGCAGACATTAACAATAGCCGCATTCGAACACGGAGGATGAACGAGACGGAAGGAGTCACTGTTGCAGGCACTGGAGCGACCGCACCATATGATGCAATTGTGAATATGCAAATGAAACTTATTTATATGTTTGCGATACAGGTAGCAAACGAGTACAACGCTCTTCTTCATTTGTGTAATAGATCATCAGATATGATATAATATACGAACTAGCTTTAACACTTTCATAGTTCGATTCATCATCANGTCACCACAACAAATCTCATCATGCATACTGAAAAAGAGGTGAGTCAGTCTATCGAGCATCTAAGATCCACGCTTTCTTTTACAGATCCTACTACAGCTATATATGTCGTCCCAGGTTGAACTTAAAAAGTCGCAGGTGTGTCAAAACTTCGAAATTTTAGAGAAGAATATGATATAGAAACTGCAAAATAAGGCCTCTTCGTTATGTATTTGTCTTTACCTGATGCCCCATAATCAATAGTACTTGCGCGTATGTTCGAATATGATAGTGCCGGCAGAGACTAAAATAAAAACTTTGATAAGATATTTTTGAAGATTATTTCGAACAAAACTACCAGATCTTCGTAAATGCCAGCATTACGAGCTGTTTCAATAAGTGTCGTTGAATCTAACAGTGTATTTCCATAACGAGCTATATAATCGGCAGGATTTTCTCTAACAATATCTTCTTTTTCCAATCGTCGAACTACACGTGGTTCAACACGTTCATAAACAATAATCTGATTGCGGCATTCTGAACATGATACAGAATCGACACTCGGCGCTTCTTCAATAATTGTACGGCGTTCAGGTGCAGGCCCATAAGGTAACCAACGTTCGATGATAATATCACCTAAATAATAAGAAAACAATGATCTATGATAAAAAAAAGAGAAGTGAAATAATTCTTTTTACGTGGTTTTTCCGGTGGAGCTGGAAAACGTTCGACAATAATCGATCGTGGAGGAGGAGGTGGGCCAGGTATTCGGCGGATAACTATAAAACGAATATATTCAATAACTTCACGTATATGTAACTTAGATTTGTTGTTTTCTCTAACTCGTTTCGCTTGGAATAGGTAATGGTGGCATTGGTGGTCGTTCACGTAAGACAAGTGGCGGTGGTGTAACGGCAGGTTCCGGGTATTCACGTATAACAAGTGGTGGAAGTGGTGCTGCTTGAGGTTCACGCACTTCTTTAATAATGAGTGGCTAAAATCATATAAAGATTAATAGCATCGCATTTACAAAAATTTCAATCGTTTACTCCTGGTGGTTGCACCGCTGGTGGTTGGAGATATCGAACAAGAACTCGTTGCTGATATGTCACCGGTCTGTCCGCTACTGTTTTTTGAACAACTATCGGATCAGGATCTTTGCAAATGTTGGCTGTTCTTTCAAGAAATCTGTTAGTCTCTTCCGAACTATGTGTTTCAATCACGGTTTCATTCGTGAAACTGTTTACTACTGCTACACTTTCGCGTGTAGTATATGTATTTTGTTGTAATCGTCTACTATTACTATTGCCAGCAAGATTAATGCCACTTGATAATGTTTGATAGTTGTTTCGATCGAATTGACTAGCACCGACTTCATGGCCATGCAGACGGTAACCCGATGTTTCATATGTTGAAGAAGATGTTCCTTCGATATTTGAAACCAATTCTCGAAATTCATGTTTATTAATGCTATATACACATCAAATTATTATTGTGACAAAAAATTCTTGTTTCTTACCTTCGGTTTTCGTTTGGATCACCTTCTTCAAGCGAACTATTACTTGCAACGCTTTCTGGCATTCTTCCAAATCGACAAAGTACAAAAAAATTCTTGAAATAAAGAAAGTAACGATAAGATATCGCTTAGAATGAATGACGATGTTCTTGAAGGTGTGGGTGAAATTCACCCAGATGGTCCAATAATAGCTAATGTTACAAAACTTTTCGCAACGGTTTTTATGTTCAGAAATATATTAGAATGGGATTGAACTCGCTAAAAAGCATTGGAACAGGGTACCTAGCTATCCTTCACATATACGAAGAAGAATATGTGTTTGTTTGCTATGTATTCAGTTCCTGCAATGAATACAGCCACCAAACACTCTGCGATACCTTAATAGATTGAGGGTAAAATCATAATGCTATTGTAGTTATTAAAAAAGATGAGGAGGATGTAGCTGGGTGAAACTTACCCCGATTTGTTTTCATCAGCTGGTATCGAAAAAATTTCTACAGAATTTTCTCCTTAAGTTAAAAAGGATCCTTAACGAGGATTGACACTACTAATAGGAGTACGGGAATAGAAGGTACTTGCAGAGAAAATTGAAAGAAAAAAGAATGCGTTTATCTTCTATGTGTGTGGTGGTAAAAGTTGCCATGATGGCTATAAAATTTTCAACAGTACGTCGTCTGTCCTTGCATTGCTCGTCGTTTTCTGATACGTGAGGTTTTCATTTTTGGAGGTTCTGAATTCACATCAGATACACCGGCTAATATATATACAGTGGTGGCCAAAATGATAAGACCACTCATTTCAAAGGGATTTTTCACTTCTTTATGGTTATATTTTATCTATTTAAAAAAAACCCAGATAAAGATATGTGGTGAGATATGGTCTATTCAACTATGAGGTTTGATTTGGCCGCTGTTACCAGTAAGTTGAAGAAAAAGAATGTTTATTAAGTTTTGTTGATTTTTATCTAGCCAGTATTATAAGACCACTATCATATTTTCATTATATGTATGTGTAACTGGCAAAGTCAGTTTGTTGATGCATCACATTGATAAGAAGGGGCCTTTTATCTTCAAGTTTTCATTGCAAGTATTTTGACTTAACACCTATGTTTTTATTTAGAATGGAATGTTGTTGATCAACTCGAAACAACGTGAAAATGTCATTGGACTCCTGNGAATATGATGATAACAATGAATTTCTCTCATATTTCGAAGTTTCAAGTCATTGTTTAAACTGTAGTACGACAACAATCGATGAGAAATAAATTCTTTCTCTAAAACATTAAATTTTGTGCACAGAAATAGTTTTTGTGGAGTTAAATATCGTGAAAGCGTAAGTTGAAATCTTTGACGGAAATGTCCAAAACGATGATCGAGAATTGTCATATTTGACAAACAATGATCTGGTTGATCACTGCTATACAAATAATATTGAAAAGTTTCCAATCGAGAAAACTTCGCTATTAAACTTTGCAATTTCTCATGATCAACAGATTCTGTACGACAAAACCCGATTAATATTAATGATTTTAAATTATCTTTGAATAAATTCAAGAAATTTCCAAATCCACTCACATCTTTATTATAGTAACAACGAGCCATATTATCCAGCGTACCAAATTTGAAAATCATCTTTTCAAGTGACGAAGGAATCTGTAGGTCATCGTATGTACGATAACTGAATACGTGTCTATAATCATAATTGATTGTAAAATTCAATTCGATAAGATTCGGCATTATTCGGAATACATCCTTCAAGTCCAAACAAGACAGATCTGATTCGATTGAGAGACGTGTTATAGAAGGTATTTGAGGCACAGTAGATAAGGTGAAACAGTAAGATATTAATAATAAAGATAATGTTGAGAGATTCTTTGATGCATGATTTGCAATTAATTTTAGAGTTGCTTTTCGTGGTTGAAGTGAAAGGTCAGTTAAATTTTCCAATGAAAGAACCTTGACAAGAAATTGATTTAATTGACGTGCACAGTATGATTGACGGCTTTTATCAGATTTTAATGTAAGAGATTTTAAATTGAGGAACAGATGAATGTAAGGTTCAAAATATCGTTGCTGTCGCTCGAAGTTGAAAGTGATAGATTGAATTTGATGACCATGTGAAGGTAAAACATGATTATAAAATGATCGAAGAGTTTTACAATTAACATTATCCACTCGTGTTACATCAATATGAGTTAAATATGAGTTAATTATTCGTTGAAAACGATAATTCAGGCTGTTAAATGCGCAAATAACATCAAATTTTTTTAAGTAACGAAAGATAAGTAAGAATAGCTCATCAGGTAGAGACTCCATGCTCGAATGATTTGAATAACGAATGTAAATGAAGAAAACCATCGACCTGACGTCATATATTCGCGTTTATTTTTCTTTTCTAGCGCATGCCACTTCCTATCAACTATGTAATATGATATTCACGAAAAGGAATACGTTCCAGCATTTCAATTTTCAAGTCGGTCACGCAAAACACTGCCGATGTACTAAATCGCTTGACATTCGATGTGTATGGATTGTTTAAAATGTAAAGAACAGTAAAAAACTTGCTGGATTATATAAGTCTTTTCGTCAACTTATTCGACCATCTCTAAATCTCCTAAAATTTATCATCATTAACACATTCTGAAATAGAATTGTATACATATGATTTAAAGCAGATGATTACAAAGAATATCTTATTTCTTTCACGAATCGATACTTAACACTTTTGAAACTCATCCGCCATTGGAAAGTTATGACTTTATTCACCAATTGAATTCCCAATTGTTGAATGTTTAATTTACTAAAATCAAATGTTTACGAATCTAATCGTCTATTGATTATTCTTAAAAGTGTACTAATGCTTAACTCGACGCCAGCCGATTGGTTTCTAATTGATATTGTCTAACTATTATTGACAAATATGGTTTATCGATGGTTTTTGAAGTGTACATTAAATCAATTGTTGTCAGCACTCATAAGAAGTCATTTCTTTCTAGTTGAAAGCAAACTTCTTGGCGTAGAAGATCACTTTCTTGTAGAAGTATTCCATACTCTTTGAATATACTGATCAATAGATATTTCCCTTATAGGGAGAGATCGAATATGGATAAGCGATTTGTAGTAAAACGTTTACAGCTTGTGGTACACACTTGATGTTCGCCGAAGAAATGTTTGTATCAGAAATGTTCTTTTTTCTCTTGGAAATTGGCCTGTCTCACTACAGAAGCAGCAATCTTTCCCCAATGTTTCATTTTCTCAGAATTTTGTGCAAAAGTAACTTTAGCGCATGATGAATACGTCATCATTTCTTTTCAGATATCATTGTATTACAATTGGCGATACAAATCATTTAGCTATGTCTTGTTTTTCTGTATATCGGCTTATACCATTCATAGGTGTTTAAATCTCGTGTCGTTTCTTCTCGGCTAGGCTATGAACTTGTTCTTGCTGACCTGACAGTTCAGCTCCTCTCAACAAATCTGATGGAGTCGATCAAAGAATGCACCATCGAATGCAATCAGAACGTGATGTGCCGGGCTTTCGATTACAACGCAGCGAACTCTCAAGAATGTCGATTGTTCGAAGGCAACACGAATACTCTGGGCGATATTGTTATATCTTTTTCGGCCCAATTAGCAGTCGGCGCAGTTCATATTTCCGCGAACGATTTCATTGAATATGTCCGTCCATGTACTTCCTTTTGTGAAAGTCGTTATTTGATGTGCGGCAGCAGTTTAACATGCGAATGCATCAAACATACTTATTGGGACCAAGTAACATCCACTTGCTTACCGCAGTCACCAGTTTTTGCATCGTCTTACCAATTGAACGTAAGATGTTTTCATTGGTACTTTGTTGTTTCTAAAATAGCTTTGACTTATATGACCGGCACAACTGTTGCTGGTTACGGCAATGGATCGTCGGGAAATGATGCAACAAGAATTTATGCACATCGTTCTATCTATGTTTCGCCGATTGATGAAACTCTCTATGTCAGTGTTTCGAAAAATTGTCGAGTTCAACGTTTCGACTTTGAATAATCCACTGGAGTCACTGTCGCTGGAGGGAACGGTTGTGGTTCAGCAGTTAACAAAAATGTATCAATTTTTGGGCGTTCAATGCTTCACAAGAAACAACAGTCACGAACGGTGCCCAATTGTGGGCTATCATTAAGGATTAGTACAACAATTTGTACACGTTATCAGTAAATCTTCATGTGATTCTGCGCAACAACGATACGGTCGTTGCCGGTGTGTACTACACGAAGAGTAACGACCCAATGACATTAAACTATCCTCAAGCAACCTTCTTTGATATTCATACATCATCATTATTTGTTGCTGACACCTATAACCATCGTATTCAAAGATTCGCGATACATAGTTCGGTTGGAGCAACAGTGAAGGGTCTGATGCACATCAGTTGAACACGCCATATTCAGTTTGGGTAACCGCGGAAGGCCACATCCACATTGCAGACATTAACAATAGCCGCATTCGAACACGGAGGATGAACGAGACGGAAGAAGTCACTGTTGCAGGCACTGGAGCGACCGCATCATATGGTGCAATTGTGAATATGCAAATGAAACTTATTTATATGTTTGCCATACAGGTAGCAAACGAGTACAACGCTCTTCTTCACTTGTGTAATAGATCATCAGATATGATATAATATACGAACTATCTTTAAGACTTTCATAGTTCGATTCATCATCAGCTGTACCTTTATTGATATATAGCTATGAACGATCAATTTATGCAAAGATATCTTTTAAACTGGACAAAAAAGTCTGAAATCTAGGTCAAATTTTTTTTTCATTTTATCAACTGGAACAGATCTTAAGATATTTCATATTTATTTGAAAAAAAAAGTGAAATCTTAAGAGATAGTGCATGGTTTCACCGAGAAATCAAGGCATTCGTAAAGAGTTTGTTTCTTGATTTATTTTAGCGCTTTTTATTAAACCGTTGCAGAAATACGTTAACCTACCAGGGAGGACTGTGAAATTTGTTTGAAAAATTTTCGAAAGTTTCGAATCAATAAATTCAGACGTTTTTCAACGTTAAATACTTTATCGGATTTTTAATGGAATATACCAAAAGATAGAGCGTCGAAAGTCGAACGACAACTGATACACTGAGAAATACTTTTAAGCCAATAGAAAAAGAGGACTAATTTTTCATTAGTTTCACCAAGTGTGCTGAAAATTTGGATTTAGAAGTTTCTAATGACACAAAACACAATGCAATTGTCTAATCGCAACACAAAATTTTGATGAGTGTCTCGATATATAGAAGAATACTTGATGGACTCTCTTAAACGCCCAACAAACATTTATATAACCATGTTCAGAGGAAGAATAATCATGTGACGACGAACAAAGTAACGAGTAATATTTTCTCCATCCATTGTTATTTGCTGAAGTGATATTGTCTTTTTTCTATGTTGAAAGATATTTTTTATCTCAAGGTTAAATTCACACAACTTTAACTCTTATCAAAAGGGTTGGTGTGCGTACGAACTAGAATAAAAGAGTGGACGCACATACACCACATTCAGATGTAATGAATATTCCATCTGTGTTTGATTATTTTGGTTGCAAAAACTTTAAACTGCGTATGCAATTTATTTATTTGTGATGTTTGAGAAAATTCCGATAGATAACGAATCATGTTGGAGGAAAAAACCAGTAAATAATTGATACGATATAATCCATAGATGAGACCGGTCGGTCTACCGATGTCTGCCAGTAAAAAATTCTCCTTTAATCTGATAATTAACACATTCCCCGAGCATTTTACTAGTTTATACTTCATCCAACGTTTGCTATCTAATATCTGCATTTCATATAGTTTCTTCAGATGCAACAGTATCAGTATAGGCGTAAGCTAAAATAAAAACAATTTGTTCATTAAATCAATGTATATAAAATAATTCTGTTTGATCATATCAATATGATGATTCATAACGAAACAACGTCAAGAGCAACCACTGTGTTGTTGTTTTGGGTTTCAGCTTTTTCTTTATCAGCTTCGGATGAATAATCAGACCAGTGATCATTATTATAGCATTCATGAAGAACAACTAATGACTCAACCATCGACGCACTTGCTCGACTACGTTTTTCCGATACAATAATACCATCAGCTGAGAAATGACGCTCCGATTCGGAGCTAGATCCTTCTGTAACAATTCTTTTAGCAGTAATAGCTAATATAGGTAATCCTTTTTCGTTTGCACGCTAAAACTCAAGAAATAGTAATGATGGATTAGCTAAAGCTGGAGTAGTCAAAAATGAAAGTTTATTATACTGAGCTAATTCAACAGAAAGTTCATCTTTAACGCTTGATTTTGAAGGTTCTGATGATGAATTAGGTAATTTAGCAAATAGACCAAAAGATTCGTCAGTTCGAGGTTTTTCAATGGCGGTTGTTGAGCAATCTACAAATTCGCTTAAAACATATAATCAGAGAAAAGTTCGCTTTTACTTACCGTGTTATTAATGAGATCCATTCGATCGTTTTCGACATCATTTGCCATATAAGGAGTAGACCATCTTTTATCGATTTTAATCGAGTAGTTTGGTAGAATTTGTCGGTGATAGCCAAAAGGGCGAATCCAAAAATGTTGCTATCCAATGAATTAGAATGACACTTTGATTGGATCTAAATATTAAAATCAAAGTATTGCCAAAGAATAATCACACATAACGTATTTTTCATCGAGCGTAGTCTGTAAATTTCTTCTGAGTATTTTGATTACAGATCTTACCTGCCCGATGAATTGTACCATACTCACCATCGCATAATATGATGGAACGACAATATGTATTATAGGTGTTATGCTAAATTCCAATGAGTCGAAGATCGGTACAAAATCTTTCATCAGTTCCACTATGTCCAACACTGCGTTTGAATATTTCCACTTCGTGCAATGAATGTTCGTAATTCTGAGATATAAGTTACTAATTGATCAGATTCTGAACAAATACATCTTGTAGCTTCCCCCCAAGCAGTTTCTAATGTTGTTGACGACCGGTGTGCATACACGGAACCTGTATTTCATTTTTTAATGCTGCTTTGATATTGACATCTTCATCTGTTGCAATTGGAGTATCACTAATGAGAAAATCAAATTCATTAAAAATCGATTCAATCTTCACCTATAAGTTAATTGCAGTTTTACTCTGCTCTTGAAAATATTTACAACGAAGAGGAGCAGGGTATTGTTTCCACCAATGATCAATCCAACGACAAATTCAATTAATGAATATGATAAAAACAATTCACATTTACTCGTACTACTCACAACACAGTAAAGCCAAGGTAATATCGACGAACACCATCTTCTCGCCACAAATCGGTTGTGACTGACAGTGTACGTTCACTAGCATATTTTTGTATTTCTTTCCCAATTTCATTTCTAAACAAACTAAAGTTCTTATCACATTCACCTCGAATTGACTTTCGGCCATTCCAAATATCGTGAACATCGAGCACCGATGTCAATGCATGTTTGAGCAAGATTTTGAAGACCAGTATGTTCAACGCTTTTAAACGAATACATCGCTATACAGAAAACAAAACATTATGTCGAACCTTTGTTAGCACTATATTTTATCTCCGACTTCTTTCCACTTTTTTAACAAAAATGGGAAAATTTTCTTTTTGTTTGTGAGGAACTGTGAAACTGTAGGTTGCGAATTTGATGAAGTAGAATCGAAAGAAGAATTTTGCTTAGCAATTTCAGTCGTTTACTTTTTTCGAGACGAGCGTTGTTCTAAATGTTTGATATAGGACATGAGAACATGATTTTCCCTTTTTCCTTTATCATTGATTTTCGTATAAACACGAAATACAACACAACAATATCGGCAAATAGCCTATCTAACTAATAGTGTCTCTGAATCTTTAGCATCCACAATAGAACGAAGATCGGACCACTTCGATGTTCGATCTTTTGTATTGATAATCATTAACAACTCGACATTTTTCAACTTCTCTTTCACCATACAATCGTCCAGTAAATCGAGATTCATACTGATCGTTACCCAATACAACCGATTAAAAACAAAGAAATCTTGAATTGTTTATTAAGACAAGGCATATGCTCAAAATGTTTTGTATAATTCGTTGTTAGAAAGTCCCATTGAAATTTCACTAGGAAACTTTCATGCAGTTATAACTAAGACAAATAACAACGCTCGACGCGTCTTTATGATAAAAGTTGGACAAGGGAGAACTTGGACTGGTAAAAAGCCCGGCACCGGTTCCATCTATGCTCCATTCTATAATACATTACCGGACGAACATTCTTTCACTTCAACGGAATCGATATTTTCATCTGGTGTCGCCGACAGAAATACGGTTAGAACAATGATTATCGATGAATAAATTACTTCGGAGAAAATGTAGTTATGTCATGCTGTTTTCTCTCGATTGGTATATCTGACGATCAATCGTTCGATCTGCGTTATTAACATATAAGAGTAGCGCGTGCCATTTGTCTTCTCTGGGCATTTCTAAACAGTGGAAAGGTTTGCTACACTCAATGAAGAATTTATCCGTTAGCTGCACGTCTTTATATTTTCTTTTTCAATAAATTAGTGGCTTCTGTCACAAGCCAAAATGAAAGAATTATATCACTAAATCGGACAAAAGTTCGGTGATAGTTTTAATGAAATATTATTCATTAAATTCGTTTCTCTATACTTAAAAGCCCGTCGTAATGCGCAAAATAAAATCAATTGGTTCACTGCTGGAATTATTAAAAGAAAAACATCTTCACAATTGTATATGAAAAATATTCGATGTGATGTCATGTCACATGGTTCAAAGAACGTAATAAGTGAACGTGTGTGAATTTTCTGATGACCACCATTTAATCTCAGATGAAGATAAACTTCAAATCGATTCGGTCACTCTGACCTTCTCGAAAGAATATAGACAATCTAAGGCAATAATATTCCCGAGCGAAGTTTCGTTGGAATGGTATTAGTCAGATTTATTTATTGGACTTTCGAATGAAATTCTGTAATAAACAAATTTGACAATTAGAAAAAAGGCAAATTTACTCGTCGGAGCATGTCTTGACATCCATGGGAAATTCATATTCTGATTCGGAAATTTCCCCTAAATTCCAATTCACAAATACATCTGAAAACTCAAATTTAGTCTCTTTGGCTTTTGCGTCGTACAGTATTCGATCTTTTTTGATTGGTCTCATATTCGCTTTTCGAACAAACAATCGTTTGTAGACATTTATTCCCAATAGTTGACTAATGTATTCTTCTGACCATATCAAACATTCACCATTACAATCGTCATCGACAACAATTTCTGCATATTTTTTATTTTCTCCACCATAAGATTTCACTATTTGTGACCAATAATCAATGGAATCGAATGGTGAATCTTCACTTATTGTGCATTTGGGTGTAAACCCTTCAAAGTCAATTTTGTATGTTCGGTTATGACCTGGATGATAAATTTTTTGTTGAACAAGTTTTCGCTGATTATTTTTCAATTTGTACAATTTCGATGACCCTTTTTTCAGAATTCGGTCAATTGAAAGTTCGCGTTCGTCGAAACCATCGTTTTCTTTAATAGTAATTTGATATCGTTGAGGATTTGGAATTTGACTTGCTATGAAACAGATGGAAGAGCAAAGGAACAACAAAATCAAAAGATTCTTCATTATTTTCGTTATTTTAATATTGATTTTCTCGTTTCACCGACATATATATTTGTTCGAAACGAGGATTAGACCACGCGTCTTTTCTTCCATATCGAATTACAAATGGACGTTATTATGACTGACTGAAGCGAGGGAATAATAGTCAACTAATCCCAACGAAAAACCTTGAAATTTCTATTCGATCCGATCGATAATGACGAAAATCAAGAAATGATTTCATCGTTGAGAAAGATCTGAAGTTAGGAAAAACATTGTGAGTATAAGTGAAGAGTGATCGTCTATGACTGGTTTTTAATTAACATCTTTGAATCAGCATTTCCAACTGAACTTATAGCGTCTACTGCTCACACCATCACCCTCAAGATGTTCTTTATTACCGTTAGATCAAAATAATTAGCCTAGCACATCTTTCGTCCGCGGAAGCAAGAATGAAAATTTCGTTTGAGCAAAGACAATCTGTATCAACTACTTAATGCAAATCAAATTCTTCTTCAGTTTATCAGTGAAATTGAAAAGTATTTCAAAAATATTGTTGTTAATTTTTATGATTATCTTTGCATAAACAAAGATCAGAAAATTCATTATGATAAGTTTCAAGATCACGTCTATAATAAGCAATATTACTACCATCCTTAGAGTGATAATAATAACGATGAAGAGTAACACCAATAACCTTGGTACCATAAAGACCTTCACGATGATAATCACGACCCTCATGGTGAATAACGCCTGAAAGAGGACCAAACTCACTCCTGCAAGTTGCATCACCACATTTCTTAAAACGGCTGCAGATCTTACTCTCATAAGTATTATAACGAAGCTTTTCATTGTTAGTCCAATGTTTGTAACCTCGCAGCCAATCGAATGTCGTCGGATCCCCAGTAAAATACCAATCACGACATCTGTTACATCTGATGCAAGGATGACCTTTACAATCTAACTTGTGTTTGTCAGATGTCTCAATCTGGCTGACATCTGAATAGCGAAATAAAAATAATAACTCGCATGACTTCACAAAAATTTTAAATCATAATAAAGAGTAACGAGACAAATGGTCAGATGAGATCTGTTACTTGAAGGAATATCGTGACCATTCAACGATCGAATCAATCGACATAAAGGTATCTCATTTGTAAGACTGTATGTATGGTGCATGAAGACAATCCTAACCTCAATATAGATCTAATCAAATGCAAACTAAAACAACAGTGCTCGAACCAAGGAGATTAGCTGCAGTTTAACTTCGGTAAACGAAATTTTAGCAAAATATTCTGTCTCTGCTAATAACACTACACGGTGAGAATCTTTATCGAAATACTCGAATAGGAAATCGCAACCATTAGCTTGAAAAGTTTTACAAAAACAAAACAGCAACGTTGACTGTAAACCTATTGTTTTTATTCCAATTAGTTAATATAGTTGTGTATTATTAAGAGACAAAAATGGCCAAATAACGACTTCTACTGTGTTGATAAAACACTAATCATTCACGTGCAACCATAATACCTGTATAGTACAGAGTTCAAGATGCACAAAATTACTCATCTTCAGATCAAAATTCTGATTCCTTCTCTGCTCACGCTAAAGACTGATCAAAGAAGCAATTTGAAAGACTAACCAGAATCAAATCGTTTCATTCGTTCCAATTGTTCTTTAACACAACGATACAATAATAAATATTGTTCCTTTCACAGAAAACAATTGGCACTTCGTTTGTTAAAAATAAACTCGAATTACCTTTGTTTGAACCATTCTATTTCGTGCTAATCTTAGCTGATGAACAGTACCCATAACATCAAGTTCCACTGTCGATGAGTCCGAATTAGGACAATCGAGTAAAGACATAAGTACATCTATTGCGATGTAAGTACCTGTTCGACCAACACCAGCGCTAAGGAAAACAATGAAAAACAAATCATCTCTCTGATTGCGTTCGAATTCAGTAAACCTGCAATGAACAACCATTGGTGGTGATATTTGATTTCGATTACTTTTGCAAGCGTCCGACGGACAATTTTCTGTGCGATTCACCTGATCGATGAGAGCAAGAAATCGTCCTGGTTCGATAACGTCGAAATCTGGCCAACCAGTAAAATAAAAATGAATAACAGTATGTTGATCATTATGCTGAAAAGAAAAAGAAGAAGGTATTTGTTTTTGAATAACTCAACAAATGAAAATACTCGTGTTATTTGAAGATGACGAATTTCAAGATCTTTCGTTTTCAAATCAATATCTATAACTTGAACAATGATTGAACTAAACTTTAACGCAATGTTGATTTCTTTTGGAAAATATTGAAAGCATTTCTCCTGTATGAAATACGAACTTGAATAAAAAATATTTTCACTACACTTAAAAACTTACAACAAGTTTGGAAGGATCGTCAGGATGTCGCTCATGAGTTTTAGTTAACATGACTATTTTCGAAATTCGATATTGAAGAATCATGTCCCAAAAATCTTCGCATGTGTTTTGTAATGGCCCTTGACAAGCGATGTAATCGCGATCTTTATGAAGCATCTTCAATATAATAAAACTAAAATAATCGACATAATTTGAAACAGATGATTAAAATAACCGTGATTAAATTTGCATTGATATAATCATGTTTACGGTGACTGCCTGTCAAATGAATCGCAGTGTCTTTCCCTAAAGACCAATTGAAATGAATGATGAGAAGAGTTTATTGACTTACATGGGCCTCGAGCACGGATATCTACATAACGATATTTGTCCAATTTCTTCGGATCTGTATTCGATTCACTGAACATCGCACCTAATCGCTTTTTTTCATAAATACATGAACAAAAGTCAGAGTTTAAAGAAATTTTCAGTGTGTTTATTACTTCGTATTCTTCAAGTATTCGATATTCTTGAAAGATTTCTTCTTCGTCATTTTTAGTTAACTTGAGAAATTTCTGAAGACGCTTTGGTCTAAAGAAAATCTCTTTTTGGATTTCAATTGAAACAAGAAATTGAAGGGAAAACACCTCATTATTTTTATATTTGGTTTGAATGGTCTTCTATTGTTAATAAAACCAGATGAAACATTTCGTAGGAAAACTGTTTTTCCATCTACGTACTTGCGTGAACTACTTTCAGCCATAGAGTAAGAACTTGAAATAAGAAAAATTATCTTGACGATTGACTTCTTTTTATTAGATTAGTCCACAATCAGAACAAGTACTAACAAAACAAGTAACTTCCACGTAGGGCACAAGCAATTCAAAAATAGAGGGTAGGCTTTTTCTAAATTATTTCGGATGAGTGTAGTAAGTTATAAATGTCACCTCTATACCTTGAGGCATATCTATATCCTTATTCTGAAAGGAACTAAAAACTTTTACATGTTAGATTAATAGTTATATAAGGATAAAATTAATCTCTCTTAGACACTTCAGGAAGTTTCTAATATGTATGGGTACGAAACTTGTTAAACTTGATACGAAGTATATAATTGTTGAAATTTTCATGTAAAACTTCGCTGGCTTGGTCGTGAACCAATTTCCTCACAAAATATTCTCGTTTGTTTTTTACTCTCCCAAACTAGGAAATGAATCGCATCACGCACTTCTTACCAAGGATGAAATAATTGGAGAAAAAATTCTCTTATTCAGTGAAAATGGCTCTCGGCTTTGCTTCCAAAAGGAATGCTGAGATTTCGACTTGGTTGAATATTTGTTTTAATTGGGAGAGAACGCAAAAAATAATGTTCCTTTCAATGTTTTTTTATTCGATTCGATGTTTCAAAAATAAGACACTTCAGTAACTTTCGATCGTCAACAAACAGAAAAAAACATGGTTTTCGACAATGTGACGGTATAAGAGTGTGCGTAATATATGAACGTTGTTTTTATCAGAATTGATAGACTTTACCAAGGCCGATCTGAACCTGATGGTAGAATTACGTTACACAGCAGAGAAGTAAATCCGTCCGGGTTTTCTAGAAGGAGAAGGAAGATCTTTGAAAATTTTCCTAGTGCAATCGGTAGAGTAGTTGAAACGAGTAAATCTTGAAAAACCTCGAATCGGATGCTAAGATAGATATCTTACGTGAATATTTTACTCAAGAACAGCCTATAGATTAACCCTGTTAGTTTGGCATCGAGAACTTTCATTGGATAGTCAATCAATGAAGAATCGATCAAACCGTTTTTTATCATTCTGATAGTCTGTTGAAGCATAAGCTCTGTGTATCGTCACAGCAATAATGTGACTTTTCTAGAAGAACAAATAATCGCACGGCAAGGTCGGAAGGAAAAGAAAAAAAAAGAGAGAAAATGTACATCAATCCGAAATTGAAAAACGAACTGATCGATGTGTGTCCTAAAAATACAAATCCATTAGATAAAGTACAAGATGCATTAGTGCGTTCTATTCTAATGTTCATTTATTGTTTTTAGATTGAAAGTACCAAAAGCAATGTTTATCAAATGTTTAATTTAAATCAATTTCTTCGCCAATTGATACTTGAGCATAAACATAATCATTATTGTTGACTTTTGTTGTTTTATGTTTCTTACACAGTACATTAATAAGTACAAGAAGTATAAAACCACATAGAGCACCCAATAGAAAAAACACTGGTGCATAGCCTCTACCAAAAGATCTGTCTCCTTTTCCATTATTTGAGATATCGTTGTTCATTGCTAATACATCTATTGGTTCGTCGATATAACTAAATCAAAGAAATGCTTGAAAAACTCGAGTTTGTAAAAAAGACTCACTAACCGTTTGACTAAGACACTTGCTGTTTTTCCAATAGGTGCTTTTTGACATATAACTGTTGCTACTTTTTCATCAGTGAATTCATCACATGAAATCGACGGTTCTCCATCGTGTCCAAAATCCATGTACCCGTAGCTAAACTTTATGGACTCCGACTTTAAACCGAGAAAAATACGACGACCTGATCTTTCACATAGATCATACATATCTCTTTTATTAGTTGAGTACTCCAATGCGTTCACATTTTTATCCACATCCCGTACGACAGTACCCTTCCGACCATCATAAACAAGACCAATATGTACTATGCCAGACCAAGTATAAATACGATGATATAATAAAAGTTCTTTCATTATTGTCATCGTTCGCTTTGTTTCAGGGACAAAAAGTGACGCATTCTCGCGTTCACATTTGTCTTTTGCTTCATTCCAAGTTGTTTCATGAGAATCGATTCTATAACAATAGTCTTCTATCAAATGATACTCATTATCATTCCCGCATGTGTAATCAATTAATGTATCGATCGATATAGTCGATGGAGAATCATATTTCATCGGACGAACAATAGTTGCGTTAGGTTCTAGATGTTTCATGACACAAACCGGTGTCGCCGATTGCGATGGACATTCATCTGATTCAGTTAAACAATGTTCATAACCAATTCGGTCATTAATCCGAACTTGTTCAAAACGAAGAACAACACAATATGGATCAGCAGAGCTCGATCTGTGAGTACATCTTCGAATAGCACGATTCGTAGTTGTGTAATTTGATACACGATCAATCCAGAAAAATTTTTCCATCTTTAGTAAACTGGCAGAATCCGTACGATCTGAGGAATCGAATAACTCAGTATCTAATGCATCTTGAATCTCGACAACATCGCCCACTTTGGCAAGTCTTGCACCCATAGATTTACAATGAGATTGAGCATCGGGAAATTGATATGCAACTAGTTTTTGTTGTGCTGGGAAAGCTACTCCGTGAAAAAGACATGTCCATATTAAAACATAGGCCCAAATCGAACATTTCGAATTCTGGTGATTGAATAAATATGACTAACGCTGAAGATTTGACCAATGAAATCGAAGTTCAATTTGGTGGAAATGTGTCAGAATAAGATGTCAACACATTTCCGATAACTTTATCGTACATTGAATTTGCGACCACCAGTTTTGCATCATTTCACGATACGTTATAAATTCTTATTGAGGATCATCCAAATAAGCAATATTGATACTGAAAAGTTTTGTCGCGTACATAATTTTATTTTTCTACACATACGAATGATTCAAAAGGAGAAGGAGGAAAACAGTTACAATAGATAAAAAAAAATATGGAAGAACGAGAAAAACGAAGTATTATGTATTCATAAGCTTGATTGTGATGTAATTGTGGACGTAAATGAGAAGCGACGAAGGAAAGGGGAACATTTTGTTGTGATTTTTTTAGGAAAATTCTTCGATCAAATTTCAATCTGATCGATCATATCCAGTTTTCCAATAGATCCGATATAATTGTAAATGTTTCTCAATCGATCGATCGTATTGAAAGTTGAACTAATTTTTTGAACAGTTTATCAAAAGACAATTTCACAAGTCGTAACAATGACGTCAGCATTTATTTTACCCTATTTGTTATTGTATCGTTTATAAGGCAGTATGACGTCTCTTTTTTTTCATCCAATATGTGAAATTACTTGTGCGAAACATTATTTATTAGCAGTGAACATATTTTCTACTTGATATGATTATTAGGAAAACTTTTCTTTACATTTATCATCTGTCTATGATGTTTACATTCGAGGCATGACTGAAGAAGAAAATTGTGTAGCGAGTAAAGTCATTAAAAAGTTCCTACTTTACTTCACTTTTAAAATGGATATTATTCGAAGGACTACAGTCGACCTTTGTCATGTTCTTAAGCGACTAAATCTTTTCAATACATATTCAACAAATGCAAAACAGATCCAACATGAGATTCTCACTACTCGTATCTATCTTATTCTACTCCCAACGGTTCTCACCATTTTTATCGTTTATTCAGCACAAACGAAGTTGTATTACACTGTTCAAGTGAGTAACCCAACTCTCAATACTTATCGACAGTTACTTGATCTTTATCCTGATACTCTTTCCTGTCCTTGTTCACAACTTTCCTTATCGTATTCAACTTTTGTCACTTTAACACATCACCTTCATCCAGTATGTTCGAGTGACTTTATAACTGAGCCGTGGTTTTCTTATCTTTACTATGACAACGCGAGTTCGTACAAGCCAATTGATATTCGATCGGTTGGAAATGCGCAGTTTCAACTTTTACGTACCCTTTGTGAATTTTCAGAGCACATCATTGAAGATGCCTTCAAAACAACATTTGTTGCATCAGTTTTTACTAATAACGACGGGCTGTTGTTGAAATTAGACGTCCTTCGCGTTCAAGTCGACGCATTTGCGAGTAGCTTTATTGGCGGCATTATTAGTGAACAACGACGTCAACTAGCTTTGTTCACCATAGCTTTCGATCGCAACTTCCTTGTTTCTGCATTAGAAACATCTGCTATACCTATCATTGGTTCCAAATTTAAACTACAAATGAAAATACCTCAATACATGTCAACTTTTGTCGGCACGATAGTTCAAACTCGAACTGTATGCCAATGCGACTCAGCATATACATGTGTATCACCACTTGGCATTGCTGATAATTCGATCAGTGAGTCGGTGCCTTCGCAATCGGTTACTTTAGTTACGCAATCAAACAGTTTTTTAGCGACTGTGAATGGATTTCAATCTGGTTGTTTACCTCTCAATTCATTGCTTCTGTCAACACTTGAATGTTATAATAATCAAAGTTGTTTAAGCAATTTTATGGATTATTTACCGGGCACTAACGTTTCGTTTCATATTCTCGATAGAAGTATGTTAAATCAATCCACTCCGACGACGCTTATCAATACAATAGCTGATCAACTCATGGTGGAGCAATGGTCGACGAAAATGAATTATTCTCGATATTTCGAAGAATGCCATCCGATATTGTGTTCTTATATCTACATGGAAAGGTTTAGTATTACCTACGTTTTTACAACAGTTGTAGGTCTTCTCGGAGGAATCATCAGCATTCTTCGGCTTCTTTGCCCATGGTTAACCCGTATTTTGTATAAGACACAAAGTTTTGTTCTTTCCAAGAACAAAACTTGTCCTACTGGTCCTCTGCCAACAGGTAAAATAATAGTAATGAATCCTTCAAAACTACGTCAGCCATTAAAAGCACGAATCCATGAACTATTTACAAAAACGTACAATGAAGTATATACGTTGAATCTTTTCACACGTCGAAACAGTTCTGCTTTTGACATTCGAGAACAAATAATCAGCACACGATTCTATATTGCTTGTTTAATCATGTTTACCTTAGTTCTCATGTCCGTGACTACACTTGAACAGCGAATGACAACAAATACTGTCTCGAAGCCAACTATAACCGAATTCGAGAATCTCTATCAAAGCGGAAAATTGACTCATTCATGCTCATGCTCTCGAATCGCTATTCCACGCTCAGAATTTATCTCTCTTACACAAACTTTCCATCAAGTGTGTTTTAGTCAACTACTTACACCCGATTGGCTAGATCGTTTAATTTATACAACAAATACTCGATCGGCGTATTATTACTTAGACATTCGTTCGTATGGGCTGGATATGTTCCGAACAATTCTCTCATTTTGCTCATTAGTCAATGAAACCATCCTTGATGCATCCGAGGAATTTCTTACTACTGATTGGATTAGCACTCAAGTATTGTCTCGTCAACAATTTTATGAACAAGTCGAAACAGTGATTGCTGATTTTGAACTTAAAGTGAAGAATACGTTTAAACAATCATTTATCATCGTACGTGAAATCCACCAAGCTGATCAAGTCCTTAGTAGTCGAGTTTCGAATTTCTTCTTCAATGGAATCTTCGATAATAGCAGTCATCTAGTCGATGTGCAAACTTATACCGGAACGTTGTCATCGGTTACTGACGTGTTGCCAACATGTTCCTGTGTATTCAATACATGTAATCAACAATTAGGTTTCTATCAGACGAAGCGTGGTGGGCAGACATATGCATTGATTGTCAATGTTCCCGGCATGTTTAGTGCGTGTTATCCAGTAGATGGTGTTCGAATGTCGACGTTCGAATGTTGGTTTAATGAAACTTGTATTGCATTAGTTTTATCGAATCTTGCGCCGTTTCCCGTGAAAGAATATTTTGATCCACTACAAACTAGCAAGTTGATTCGCTTTTCTCCAAACACGAGAATCGGTGACATTATTGATGATCTCATGGTTGAATCGTGGACTAATATTACCAGTTACGAAAACTATTACAACAGTTGTAAACCGTTGATATGTTCGTACACAACTTATCATCGATTTAATTGGTTTTATACTATTACAATATTGGCATCTGTTTTTGGAGGCTTATCTTTGTCTCTTCGAATAATCTGTCAATTTACAATAAAACTTTATTTCAAATGGCGACAAAGACGAACGACAGCAATGCCAGGTAAGTAGTTGAGCATTTAGCTAGTAGCATGTTCAATTTCGTATGTAAAGGTCAACTAGCAACAGTGAATGTTAATCTTATGTCCAGAGTTATTACTCAAGTGCGATATACCTTATCGACAATGAATCTGTTCAATTCAGACTCACCGCATGCACACATTCAACGACGTGAGCAACTTTCTACACACCTCTTTATTATTCTATTTGTGACTACTTGTTTCCTTCTGTTCATTTACATGTTATTTGTAACTCATACTCGTGCAGTAACTGAGAACAATCCATCATCGGCCCGCGTTGCCTATTTGAATGATAAATATTCAATGACATTGTCTTGTCCTTGCATGCAAACATCGATACCATATTCTAACTTTCTCTCACTAGAAGTAAGATACTTTGAATAACAAATAGACTAAAATAGAAAAGTATTCTTGTTAAAGGTTTCCAGTTATCATTCGATTTGTTCAAGTTCGCTATTGTCACAAGAGTATCTTCAAGCTTTGTCGGGTGGTGAAATGATTATTTTACCTGAATCTAAATCTTTTAAAAGACAATTTCTTGCTGCCCAGTTGTCTCTACTCAGTAGACTTTGTCTAATGGTCAAACAAACAGTCAATACTTCAATTACACACTTCCTACAGCAACGATTCATTGCTGCACAAGTCTTAACAGCAAATCAGTTTTACGAACAGATTAACATAACTTTCAATCGATTCTATCTCGATATATCACTTGCTCTTCGCCATTCTATCGATTTCTTGCAATCGGTAACACATGGTAATGCAATTATGTCAAGTTACGTTAGTAATTGGCGATTTCAACCAAATTCAGCAACAAATTCCTCCACGATTCTCACAAGACCAGTCTCATATGCAAACTGTTCATGCGCAAGTTCAACGCAATGCTCATTGCCATTGAGCATTGATAACGTAACTTTTCCTGGCTTAGCCATCGGATGTTTACCATCCACTGTTCTACTTCAAACAACTCTGCAGTGCTTTTACAACCAAACATGTCTCGATGCACTGCATAGTACAATTTTTAAAAATGTGACGATTCCATCGTTACCGAGCAGTCTTAATAAATCAAAATACTATTCATTCAATGCATCCGTGGGAGGACTTCTCAATGAACTGTTTATCGAAAGTTGGTCTCATCAGAATGATTTCGAAGCATTCTTTCAAACGTGTCAAGTCTTAGCGTGTACTTATACTTACAATGTCCAACCAGATGTTCTTTACATAGTAACAACAATGATTGGCATCATCGGAGGGTTAACCGCCATATTTCGGCTCGTGTGCCCTTTTTTAATACTCATATTTCTGTATTTAATCAATCGAATTCGAAAGAAACCATCAACATTGACCGAAATGTAAGCGATCTTTTGTTTTCGACATCAATTTTCGTTCTGAATTGAAGCTTTTCCGATTAGAATCATGCCTTCAATTGTACCAATAAATGTCGTTAGACGTATTTCATCACCTCAAGATACAGTGGTACGTGATATACGTTCATTTTGACGTGTTTTTGATGAATATTTACAATAGATCAGCGACGAACAAACGACGCTCGATTCAACAGATCCTTGGTGGAGAAATGATCGTCGCCTTAAAACAATGATTGCAGTCGTTATATTCATTGTAATCATTCTAACTGTACTTCCAATCATGTTAAAAAGATTACTATCAAGCTCTTCTACAACCAATAGTCCGTATTCATCAACAAGTAAGTTTTTGATCGGTCATAGTTGATGCTCGTTAAGGAAAGTAGAAGTGAACATTAACACACTCTAGGTAAGAGTGTTTCATATTGTTTTTCTTCTTTGTTTTAGTCGTGTCTACTCCAGAATCAAAAGTCAGTACTATGAAAGGTATTCTAATACTTTTTTCCTAAAGAAATAAAACTATATCGTTCGTACTTAGTTCCACTCATGTCGTTGTGCTCTGCAAACGCCACATGGAATAATAAGGCCGTTACGGTGGCTGGTTTTACTAACGGAACATACTCAGAGTCACTCACTACTCTTTACTCTCCGTATGATTTATTTATTGATAGCATTGGCAATATGCATATTTTAGACAGTTTGAATTATCGAATCTTATATTGGCCTAACAACTCAACTGAAGGTCGTATAGTAGCTGGCACCGGTGAGCCTGGTTCGGATGCCGATCAATTGTTCTACGCCGTATCGTTTGCAGGTAATGATGAATGTTGTTTCTGTCAGCAGTTCTTCTCAGGAATAGATCTACTTCGTTTCTTTTCCTTTTTTTTTTGTTCTCGCCTAGTTGATTTTTCAATTTCCTATTTAGTGGGACAAGGTCAAATGTATGTATCGGATACAGCCAACCAACGAGTGCAGGCATTTCCGTTCACAACATCATCAGGCTCGCCTAATGCTACGACAATATTAGGACAGAATTTTGTCGGCAATGAGCGTAGTATGCCCATTATAGTGTTAGGTATGGCCTTCGCTTATAAGTCTGGATTCTTATACTTGAATGACTACTTAAACCACCGTTTATTAATCTTAAATATAAGTGACGACAATGTTCAAATTGTCGTTGACTCTGAACTGTCCATAATGAATAGTTCGATTTCGTTGCACCCAACCGGCATTGTAATTGATGAAATAGCAAACATATTTTATGTGTCCGACGCCATTTCAAATATTGTAGTAAAATTTCAAATCAACTCGACAATAGGTAACGTCGTCGCAGGTCGCTTAATCAGCAGCTCAATTTATAATCAGCTCAATCAACCTGTAGGCATGGCAATTGATTCATCAGGATATTTATACATTGCTGACTCGGGATATAATCGAGTTGTACAACTAATCAATGGCAATGGAGATTTACGTACGATTGCAGGTAAAGTTGTGCGAACATTCTTCACGTTTTCTCATGAAGCTAATGCTATTTTTTAATAGGCGTGGGTTTCATCGGTGCCACTGTAACACGTCTGTTTGGTCCAACTATGATAAAATTCGATCAATACTATAATTTGTATGTTGCTGATAGCAATAACAATAGAATACAACGGTTCGATTTACTTGACAATGGCTGTTAGTGTGGGATATTGACAAAAAAAGGACTCAAATACTTCGCTTTCTTGTAAATGTTGTTCAGTGAATCATTGCTGCGTATAGCTCGGAGAAAAAAATATTCATGTTCATCGCTTTATTTGTACTGCACTCATAAATTAACTTTTTCGACTTTGCGTCCAGAATTAATCTGCGATTGACTAATTGATTTCGAATTCGTTAGACTCACTTCGAAGACTTAACGATTTTTGCTAAATATGAGCAAGTGTACCAACAGATACAAAGGAAATGTTCTACTCTCTTCGTTATCTTCGTTAAAAGCATGTCTACCATGAGCGACATCTGATAAATTGGTTTGTGTACTTTCGAAATAATGCGTTAGATTTTGAGTGGTTCTTTTAATGATACTTAGCTTACCTTGCCTACTATCTCGTTCTTACTTATATTTCATAAAATATTTCGTCAAACGTACTTCCTATCGACAAATACAGATGCAATTAGATTCACTGCCAAACGAATTGTTTTTGGATGTGTTCAAGTGTCTTTCGACTTCTGATCTTCTTCGAGCGTTTTCTCAACTCAACACTCGTTTCGACCGTCTCATTCTCACCCATCTACAAGATCACAAATGCATTGATCTTCGTGCGACCGCAAAATATCACGTCGATCTTTTCTGGACACAACTCCTTCCACCATTGGTCACTCAAATTACTTCACTTACTTTGTCAAACGATATCAATACTCCGAATCAAATTCAACAATTCTATTCACATGGCTTCACTTTATGTCAATTCACTCGTTTGCAGACACTTTCACTGTCTCATGTTCACTCAAGTGAAACAATGGACAAAATATTAAAAGATTTGTCTCATCTGTTGACTCTATCTCATCTCACGTTTAATACATGTAACATCAATCATGATTGGTGGGTGAACATTGTTTGGAGTCTTCCTAAACTTGTTTATTTCTCCTTCATTCCGCACTCTGCTTCACGAAAACATTTTTATACACCGCGGTTAATTTCGTCAACTATCAAATCTATACATGGCTTTTGTGATGAATATGCCACAAGCATAATCGATCTGACAAAACAGACACCACAACTTCGATATTTATCCATTAGTGCTGATAATCGTCAATCTTTTTCTGATCTATCAACATACTTCAACTCGATAACAAAATTGAATTTATTGTTTGACAGCTGTAAATTTAATTCACTACTGAATATTTTACGTCGAATACCGAATGTAACACACCTCAAAGTTGATATGAAAAGTCATTGTATCGATGCACAAATCTGGCAACGATTGATTCAGAAGCATATGACGAAACTGAAATATTTACAGTTTAGAATGACTTTCACAGTTCTTGCAAATAATATTATTATAAAACAAGAAGTTGAGAAGGTTGTTGATTCTTTCCGAAATCCATTCTGGCTTGATGAACATCGATGGTTTGTTCAATGTGATTGGAATCCACGTAGTAGAAAGTGTTACATCTACACTGTACCATATACATTTGATAGTTTTAATATCGACTTTCAATTATACTCGAAATCTACGTGTGCACCTGATAATGCTGAGTGTCACTTCGAGTGTGTGCGCAGATTGACATTCAGTACCACTTCTCATACACTTCATGAATGCTTATCATTATCTCACATTCATTTTTCAAATATTGAACATCTTACCATCGAGCTCTCGAGGCCAAATCATTTTCTCTATAGTAACGATCAATTTAACCCATTGGCTTATGCTGACGAAATGAACTGTCTCAATCTGTTGAAATGTGTATTAGAACAAAATACTCATTTAACTTCATTACATTTTCATAGATGGCCATCAGCGATTCTGAATTTATCCCAATGTGATATTAAGAACGTGTTAATATTTGAACTGAATTTGAGGGGTAGTGCTGGGTGTGACTTTTATTATACTGCACAACAATGTGATCAAATTAGTCGTTCAACACTTGGTATGCAATGTCGAATTCTGACTATCGATGTCAAAGATTTGACGTGTGTTTACGATCTCATTATGAAAATGAACAATCTACAAATACTTGATGTTCGATGTCGATGTGATCAACCAAATTCAGGTGAAATCACAATAAAAGAAAACCTTAGGGAATGGCTACAAAATAATATACAGATTGTACCGTCTGACACAAGAGATCCCAGCCGGAGTACGGTTGCAGATGGAAGTCGTTTATATATTGAACGTTTATAATTATATATCGAAACTCTTCTTGAAATCTTAATTCATTTTTTCTTCTTTTCTTGTAATTTATTGAAATTTCCTTTCAGTTCTAGCTTTGACTATGAACTGATCATCATCTTAATCGATGAAATCAATACGCCTTTTCGAATCTGTTACCATTCAATAATTAAAAGCTGAAATTCCTGTATGTACATGATTGATCATTGCAATGAAATATGACATTATCAAATCATATAAATCAGTCAAATACTCACATAATCACTTGACTATAAAAATCATTTCGACAATGTTTCACTCAGATCGAGACTCACACATACACACACCATCAATTGGAAAAAGATTATCATAAAATATTTCGAGGTTTTTTTCTTTCTTTCTTAATTGTATTTGAAAATACATGTGGACAGTAAAACGATAGAAAGTGCTGAAAACTTATTGATGAGATAACATACTTTTGTTATAGTATTTTAGACACACAACAATCATATGTATTCCGTAAGATATATAACATTCAGTCTATCGTCAATAATAATAAGATCTACAGAGCTGATTGCCATCGAAATAGTCTGAGAGGTAATTAAATATGCAATCTGTGATGAAAACATTCTATTACCAATACTAGTGAAAAGATCTACATTGTACTCAAAGTTATTGCTGACAGTAAGACCCAATTGACCATCACTATTGAAAGCATCAGCGATAATTACACTTGGATCACTGAAATCTCCAGTTACATAAGTTACTTTTTCTTGAAAACTATCCACGGATGAACAAACTGGTTTCTGATTTCTGGATTTCAAATTCTCTTTTTTTTCTCCTTGGTTAAACATCATTCTTTCTCTCGTGGTAAATTGAAAAAGCATCTGTATGTATTGATCATCACATTCGATTTTCTCATTACTATTTGGTATAATCTCTACATTTTATCTACAGAATAATATCTATTCTGGTAATTATTACGTCGTCTTTTACAAAATTGAAGAATACATCACTCATACAAGTCTTAAAATGACACGAGTTTTTCTTACACTTGCCTATTTCGACCGTTATACTCTCACTCTAGATAGTGATTCTTTAAGAAAATTCGCAACAGTCACTGTTGCACGTCAGTTTGTTCTTACCGTAATTTTATAATGTTGTTTAATTGTCATTCATTTGTTTATTTATCTTAATGCTGTTAACCATTCGTGTGCAGTTCGAAATTCATCGGATCAGCAGGTGATTGAAATACTTATTAATAGAATTGCGCTTTTACTTATTTATATTTATACTTTCATCAAAAGCTTTCCGGAGAGAATTCACCGGTGTATAAAATTTACTTGTATTGTATCGCGTTAGAAAGGCAAGAAGAACCACACACGACTGCAAATGGAGAAACGAACACAAATGTAAATAGTAATCGAACAATTTGACTATAAATTATGGTGCTGTTCTATGAACATGTGAAATGTGTACAACAGAGAATGTAGGGAACGATTTACAAAAAATATCTTCAAGAATTAAATCAAAGGAAAACGTTACGGTTTGATCTAAATATAATGTACCTACGTATGTATCTTCCCCCGATATTGACTGAGACTGATGCGCAAAAATTGATTATTCTCATCACATAAACTTTTTGCGGTTCTAGGTTCATATGGAATTAGAGTGGCTAGATCTTTTATAGTTGATCATCCTCAACAATCCTACATCAATGATGAACAATTACAATTTATTACAAAATTATGCGAAGGCCATGATGATTTAATACGAGCACAGTTCCAATCTCGTCATTGAAATCGTAAACAATATGCCGCCACAATTCTTTTCAATGTACAAAGTGCAAAACGTGTGACGGGAAGATTTTGTACTCGTTCCATTAGCAGCCGCGAAGTTGGTATGTGTTCTCATACAACTGCACTACTATGGCATATGGGAGTAGATGGAGAAGTTATTTCATCAACTCATCTGCTACGAAACTACTTGCAGCTATCGATAATAGCATGCTCTTCTCCGAACAAGAAGCCGATTCTGATGATTTCATAACATCTTCAACTAGGAAAACTAGCGATGATGCTAATTAGTGATAGGTTCTTACTGAATCTTTTTTATATCAGACATCCGTAGTTTTCATATTCTTTTTTCTTTCTTTAATTTTTTGCATTTCTATACCACAAAGAAACATCTTTTCGCCTTTTGCGACCTTTATCACAAATCTGAAGAACGCATCTATTACCCGCTTTCATTTTCGTTTTACAAACTTTGAAAGCTTGCTTGATGTAATACACGACGCATATTTGATAAAATATAAAACAATTGAAGTTTGAAAAAAGTAAGTCTTTGACAGAACGATAGTCTGCGCAATTCTGTGCTGAAATACTCTCGAATAATTTCAAGCCTTTTATATTTTTCTCTAAGGAATTTTGAAATTTTAGCCCCAAAATCCCATGGACCTAATGATATTCCCAACTTTAGTATAAAAACATTCAATTCATTTATATCTATAATTTTCTGAACGAGGTGGTCAAACTTTTAATTCAATTCAAAATCAAAAGAGGCGAAATCATGATCTTATATATAAGTCCCATCATTTCAAGTAGATTTATAAAGGAGAAAATATCGACGTGTTCTCAGTTTTTCTAGGGTTTCCAGAGAGGAAACATGCGTGTAATGCGACGATCTTCATGATATGTTATGTCAGGATTTGGATCAATAAGTCCATAGGCAAAGAGAACAACATTAGTTCCCGACTAAAGAATAATATGAATGAAATACTACCAAACGAGAATAAAAATTCTCACTTGAATTGGAAGATCCATATTATCTTTCGTATCTAATGCTCGCTTGAATTGAATTGCTGTCCAATTGTTTTCTTCTTGACCTTGCAAACCAAACCAATCTTGTGTTGTTGGGTCTTTAATTGGTAGTACAAAACCAGAACTGTGCCGATCCTTTTATTATTTATCAGAACAGAAAAAAATCCAAATACTTCAGTAACAACTGATTTTACTTCGAAATATAATTTTCCATTCGTATCAATCCAACCAATACCTATATCGGCATTGTTAGTCACATCTTCTGCTACAAGAAAGATAAAGCAAGAAATACGAGTTTCTTCGAAATACGTCCCAAACGCAATTTTTTTTGTATCAATCAAAATGAATATGAAATCGTACCTAAACCAATACCAAGAGCAATCCATCCAGTAGTTCTGACGTGTAATTCGAAGGTAATCTCCATTCGAACATCGTCTACTGTCCACCACAAATCAGCAACATTTTCGATGAGTTCAGTTTCATTACGATATGTTGCAAATGGTTGAATTGGACTCGATGTACATTCAATGATACTTGCAAATTGCAGGAAAACTATCGAAATTGAAACGAGTATTTTCTACATGACACCAAACTTAACTGTTAGTATAGTCATGTATTATTCAACTTACCATCGTATTTTTATCGAAGTATTTTAGGAATATTTTGGTCACAATACCGACGAGAATGTGAAGAAAAGGGCTTATCGTGCCGTATTTGCATACCTCTGACATTATCAAATGGATTATCAGCGAGTAAAATTGAAAAATCGAAGAATAAAATATTCAAAGAAAAACAAAGAAAGTAATCTTAATACTGAAGGTATAGAGATATTTGGAAGAATGAACCAAATTACAGTGAGAGTCTTGAGTTGTCTAGGATTATCTTTTAGTAACTTAAAAACGAGAAGCATCTTGTGGAGCAATTTGTCAACCATGAAAATCAGTAAACTGATGGGCTGTTNGACTCAACCATCGACGCACTTGCTCGACTACGTTTTTCCGATACAATAATACCATCAGCTGAGAAATGACGCTCCGATTCGGAGCTAGATCCTTCTGTAACAATTCTTTTAGCAGTAATAGGTAATATAGGTAATCCTTTTTCGTTTGCACGCTAAAACTCAAGAAATAGTAATGGTGGATTAGTTAAAGCTGGAGTAGTCAAAAATGAAAGTTTATTATACTGAGCTAATTCAACAGAAAGTTCATCTTTAACGTTTGATTTTGAAGGTTCTGATGATGAACTACGTAATTGAGCAAATAGACCAAAAGATTCGTCAGTTCGAGGTTTTTTCAATGGTGGTTGTTGAGCGATCTACAAATTCGCTCGAAACATATAATCACAGAAAAGTTTGCTTCTACTTACCGTATTATCAATGAGATCCGTTCGTTCGTTTTCGATATCATTTGCCACATAAGGAGTAGAGCATCTTTTATCGATTTTAATTGAGTAGTTCGATAGAAACTGTCGGCGACAAACGAAAGGACGGGTCCAAAAATGTTGCTGTCCAATGAATTTGCAATGACACTTTGATTGGATCTAAATATCATAATCAAAATTTTGCCAAAGAATAATCACACATAACATACTTTTCATCGAACGTAGTCTGTAAAGGTAACAGTGCAGAATGTCGTTTAGAAAATGTCCTTTTTCTTTTCGTCCGAGGACATTTTCCAAAGGACATTCTCGCCTGTATTCATTTTACCTCCATCAACAGATTTAACTTCAGCTTCTTTCAACTTTTTAAACCTAGATGGAGAAGTTTACTTTTTTCGAGAAGCGCGTTGTTCTAAATGTTTGATACAGGACATGAGAACATGATTTTCCCTTTTCCTTTATCATTGATTTTCGTATAAACACGAAATACAACACAACAATATCGGCAAATAGCCTATCCGACTAACAGTGTCTCTGAATCTTTAGCATCCGCAATAGAACGAAGATCGGACCACTTCGATATTCGATCTTTTGTATTGATAATCATTAACAATTCGACATTTTTCAACTTCTCTTTCATCATACAATCGTCCAGTAAATCGAGATTCATACTGATCGTTACCCAATACAACCGATTAAAAACAAAGAAATCTTGAATTGTTTATTAAGACAAGGCATATGCTCAAAATGTTTTGTATAATTCGTTGTTAGAAAGTCCCATTGAAATTTCACTAGGAAACTTTCATGCAGTTATAACTAAGACAAATAACAACGCTCGACGCGTCTTTATGATAAAAGTTGGACAAGGGAGAACTTGGACTGGTAAAAAGCCCGGCACCGGTTCCATCTATGCTCCATTCTATAATACATTACCGGACGAACATTCTTTTACTTCAACGGAATCGATATTTTCATCTGGTGTCGCCGACAGAAATACGGTTAGAACAATGATTATCGATGAATAAATTACTTTGGAGAAAATGTAGTTATGTCATGTTGTTTTCTCTCGATCGGAATGTCTGACGATCAATCGTTCGATCTGCGCTATTAGCATATAAGAGTAGCACATGTCATTTGTCTTCTCTGGGCATTTCTAAACAGTGGAAAGGTTTGCTACACTCAACGAAGAATTTATCCGTTAGCTGCACGTCTTTATGTTTTCTTTTTCAATAAATTAGTGGCTTCTGTGACAAGCCAAAATGAAAGAATTATATCACTAAATCGGACAAAAGTTCGGTGATAGTTTTAATGAAATATTATTCATTAGATTCGTTTCTCTACACTTAAAAGCCCGTCGTAATGCGCAAGGTGAAATCAATTGATTCACTGCTGGAATCACGAAACCTCACAATTGTATATGAAAAATATTCGATGTGATGTCATGTCACATGATTCAAAGAACGTAATAAGTGAACCTGTGTCAATTTTCTGATGACCACCATTTAATCTTAGATGAAGATAAACTTCAAATCGATTCGGTCACTCTGACCTTCTCGAAAGAATATAGTCAATCTAATGCAATGGTATTCCCGAGCAAAGTTTCGTCGGAATGGTATTAGTCAGATTTATTTATTGGACTTTCGAATGAAATTCTGTAATAAACAAATTTGACGATTAGAACAAAGGAAAATTTACTCGTCGGAGCATGTCTTGACATCCATGGGAAATTCATATTCTGATTCGGAAATTTCCCCTAAATTCCAATTCACAAATACATCTGAAAACTCAAATTTAGTCTCGTGGGTTTTTGCGTCGTACAATATTCGATCTTTTTTGATTGGTCTCATATTTGCTTTTCGAACAAACAATCGTTTGTAGACATTTATTCCTAACAGTTGACTAATGTATTCTTTTGACCATATCAAACATTCGCCATTACAATCGTCATCCACAACAATTTCTCCATATTTTTGATTTTCTCCACCATGAGATTTCACTATTTGCGACCAATAATCAATGGAATCAAATGGCGAATCTTCACTTGTTGTGCATTTGGGTGTAAACCCTTCAAAGTCAAATTTGTATGTTCGGTTATGATCTGGATGATAAATTTCTTGATGAACAAGTTTTCGTTGATTATTTTTGAGTTTGTACAATTTCGATGACCCTTTTTTCAGAATTCGGTCAATCGAAAGTTCGCGTTCGTCGAAACCATCGTTTTCTTTAATAGTAATTTGATATCGTTGAGGATTTGGAATTTGACTTGTTATGAAACAGAAGGAAGAGCAAAAGAACAACAAAATCAAAAGATTCTTCATTATTTTCGTTATTTTAATATTGTTCTTCTCGTTTCACCGACATATATATTTGTTCGAAACGAGGATTAGAGCACGCGTCTTTTCTTCCATATCGAATTACAAATGGACGTTATTATGACTGACTGAAGCGAGGGAATAATAGTCAACTAATCCCAACGAAAAACCTCGAAATTTCTATTCGATCCGATAGATAATGACGAAAATCAAGAAATGATTTCATCGTTGAGAAAGATCTGAAGTTAGGAAAAACATTTTGAGTATAAGTGAAGAGTGATCGTCTATGACTGGTTTTTAATTAACATCTTTGAATCAGCATTTCCAACTGAACTTATAGCGTCTACTGCTCACACCATCACCCTCACCCTCAAGAAGCAAGAGTGAAAATTTCGTTTGAGCAAAAACAATCTGTATCAACTGCTTAATGCAAATCAAATTCTTCTTCAGTTTATCAGTGAAATTGAAAAGTATTTCAAAAATATTGTTGTTAATTTTTATGATTATCTTTGCATAAANCGGTAACTGCTACCATAATAAACAAGACCAATATGTACTATGCCAGACCAAGGATAAATACGATGGTATAATAAAAGTTCTTTCATTATTGTCATCGTTCTACTTGTTTCAGGGACAAAAAGTGACGCATTCTCGCGTTCACATTTGTTTTTTGCTTTATTCCAAATTGTTTCATGAGAATCGACTCTATAACAATAGTCTTCTATTAAATGATACTCATTATCATTCCCGCATGTGTAATCAATTAATGTATCGATCGATATAGTCGATGGGGAACCATATTTCATGCGGCGAACGGTACGTTCTAGATGTTTCATGACACAAACCGGTGTCGCCGATTGCGATGGACATTCATCTGATTCAGTTAAACAATGTTCATAACCAATTTGGTCATTAATCCGAACTTGTTCAAAACGAAGAACAACACAATATGGATCAGCAGAGCTCGATCTGTGAGTACATCTTCGAATAGCACGATTCGTAGTTGTGTAATTTGATACTCGATCAATCCAGAAAAATTTTTTCGTCTCTAGTAAACTGGCAGAATCCGTACGATCTGAGGAATCGAAGAACTTAGTATCTAATGCATCTTGAATCTCGACAACATCGCCCACTTTGGCAAGTCTTGCACCCATAGATTTACAATGAGATTGAGCATCGGGAAAGTCAAAAGTCTTTTGAAAAGTGTCACTATATATACATCGTTTTTTGCCTTCGTGTAGCGTAAAGCCTGAAATGCATTTTCTGTCGAATGACTAGTCGTCGATCTTTGTTCATTTGCTTACCCTGTGGACAGTGTAATCTCATGTGATACACAGAATAGATAGATGCGTTGTTCACAGCACCGCAAGTATAAAAATAATTCGCTGAACATTCTCTGTTACAAGAAAAATCTTGTGATATAAATGTGTCAGACGTTTTTCTTCTTTGTGGTAAATGATTTGTGCATAAACATTTATTTCCGTTAAGAAGAGCGTAGGCTTGATGGTAATGATTGCACAATTCCAAACAATGACGTGGATGGATATCAGTGATAGATTTCATATTGAATTGATATGTAGTTAATAAATTTATTGGATGTAAATAGACACAACCGTCATAAGTGAAATCAGGATGTGGTTCGCTTCTTGAAATCGATTCATATGATGCTTTATTCTGAGTGAAATTGTAAACAACAATTGTATTTTCATCGCCACATTGTTCATATTTATTACCTAATGTTTGGATCGTTTCAGTCAAAATTGTTAGGACCAAAAAACGTCTTACCTGGACATGGAAGTCCACAGTGTTCTTTTTTATACCTCGAATAGTTTCTTGGAGTTTCGTATAGCCATATGACACCAGCATTTAAACAGTAACATCTGTGTTTTTGAAGAATAGCTACCTTCGATCCGAAATGTTGACATGTAGATGAACATAATTTAAATGTTAAATGACTTGATATGATGGCTGGTAAACCAAGTGTCAATGGTTTTTGAAAACAACCGATTAGAGACCTGTAGCCGAGAAATCTTTTCCTCATACATAAGGCATATCTGGGAGTAGAACAATTCCCGAGTGATGTTTCCGTGAGAGAAATCGTTTCAATATTGTCGATAACTGGGCGTGTAAAAATTATACAAGATTTATTATTATCCACATTCATCATTTGAAAATCGCTGATCGGTGAATGTACAACGGTGTCATCGAATTCCAGTGGTTGTGCATCTTTACCATTTGTTATATCTAAGAGAAGAATATTCTATAAAACGACACGACTTCAAATCTAACTCAACACTTTACTTGTATGAAGTAAGAAAAATCCGAGACGACCTTGCCATTGTGAAGAGTATCGAACAATTTCACCTCTATCAAATTTGCTGAGATAGTCAACGTTTCCAAGATATGCTTGTTTCCAAGCATAAGAATGATAGAAATCACCATTGGCATTATAATACATAGCTTCGTCAGATTCTTCCTGCAGATTCGATTCTGATACAGAAATACAACTGCTTTCGGCTTCTTCTAATGTTCTTCGTATATCTGATATTCGATAACAATAATTATTTACATCCAACCAATTCTTTGGACATTCATAAAATACTTGTTTTCGGTAACTGCTACCATAATAAGGTAAATACTGTTGTTCATAAGCTAAGTTCTGACTTGGTCGTTTAGTTATAGACAATTTTAACGCTGAATAGAATGCATCTGGATACATCATTTCGCTCAAGCAGCCATTGTACAATGTATACCACATTTCCTCTTTACCAGTACTACTTGAATAATTTGTTGTGCATTTCCATGAAGAATCAATACTCATATTATATCCAAAATTCATTTGAATCATCGACTTTGTTAAATTCATACTATCAATAATTTCCAGAAAACCATTCCAAGTTAGTTGTCCATCGAAAATATACATTCTTGTTGATGATGAACATGAGTGAGAAGTTTCATCATCATCATCACACACCCATGAATTCTCTCAATTCTTTCACGTAAATAAAGCCACTCGGGCACTTGTTTAGGTTGTGTAATTCATAAACAGCCCAAACGTGTGAATCATTCGTTGACCCACATTTAAATGTATGTTTCATATAAGAATCATCAAGTGTACTGTCACAATAAAGATTACAAGTCTCATCAGATACAACGGTTACGTTAAACGTTCGACTACTATTGACATCGAGTTTCTTCTGTTCTATGCACGAACATTGATTGTTATCGCTGCTAAAAGCTACAAGAAAAGTTTTACTTAGATGATATTTTCTTTCATCAACGAAAACTACTAATCTATGTGTTGAAAGGATTACACTGACGAGGGAAGGTCCCCAAGTGTTCAAGCCGTTTAGATTCCATCTTTTGGCCATAAGTAGACCTCAGTGACGTATGTTAGATCTGAAAAGAATTCATTCCCTCGTGCTTTAGTTCCTGAGATATTCAATTTCCAAGATATCATATGAAAAAATAAGAATGAAAATTTCTATAACTATTTTTTGAGAAAAGTGAAACATCAATGACTGAAGCTTTTCCTTGGATACTATTCGTTTTTTGTGCAATGTAATTGGATATGAGAGCTGGGTGTAATCCTCTATACAACGACTTCGTTCGTTATTCATGATTTGAAATGACACAAATTCTTTTGATGCTCTTAATATCATTCCAAAACATAGTGAGTCTTAATGGATGGGTGATGATGTATTATCAGCGATGTTACTTTTTTCTTTCTTTCTCGACATACCAGCTCGTTTGTGTATGGAATGTTATACGTCCAGATGCATCGTTTGATGTTCTTCTAATAAAAGTTTCCTTCTGTTTCCTTTCGCACGTGTATCTACGATATAAACACCCTTCTCTTGCTTTTATTTTTTATAATAAGTGAGTGCGGTGCAAAAAAATTGAGTTGAATTCTGTCATAGCAGTCCCTGTTTCGAAATGATTAACCCATCAAACGTCATAAAAATTCTTACTGATCGAGTTTCGAGCCGGCAGTCTTCTGTTTCCTCGACTAGCTCGACATCCACCGTCTCATTTACAAATCGTGAATGTGAAGTCGCTGATCAGCTATGGAGTATACTTGAATCGATTGTCGACAGTCATTCGCATACTTTCGAAATCGACGATACTCTTGATCATGGATTAGAAGACAGCGAGCCGATCGATCAAGTGGAAGATGAAAATGCAGAAGATAAAGAATTACTCACTCCTGAATATTCTGCAGAAAAGACGAGGATAAAATATTGCTGAAGCACTTTTCGCTCGAATACATGGCGCGTGCGGTCGATTTTTACGATGAGGTTAATCCGAAAACTGGTCAACGAAAGCGACGGTGGTCAACAGTGAAACATAACTTTTATCGCGTTCAACATCATAACTATATTGCTCGTTTCCGTCGATATCTCGAAAGACACGGCAGGAAAAAGCAGAAAATTGACCAGGTTGATGATTATGTGTTTGACATGTTCGAAAAGGCTCGTGGAAATGCTCTTTCCGTGCATGATATTGATCTTCGTCGATGGGCGTTGAAGAAAGCTATGGATGAATCATTACACAATTTCACGGCTTCTCATCATTGGTTGCTTACATTCAAGCATAAACATAATATTGTATCACGCAAGGTGACAAAGGTAAAAAGATTCGTAATCAGTTTTGACAAATCTGTGAAATGTTCGTTTTTGGACAACTAGAGGAAATCCGAAGAAAAGTCATCTAGCGAGTTGTTTATATCTATCTTTCACGTGAACTTTAGTTTTCCTCAGTAGTATTTGATGATAAAACTTGATAAAAATATGTTTTTCACAGGTTGTAACGAAACGTGCAACGCAAAGTAAAGAGACAATTAAAACTTCGGCTGACCTTTTTATAGCTGACGTTCGTAAACGTTTGCCAAATTATGAAAAAAGCGAAGTCATCAATACCGATCAAAGTGGAATCGAACTCGAGATACGCTCTACTCGAACGTTGAGCTACAAAGGTGAAAAAATAACTGTTGGTGCTGTTCGTTCTACAAACGCCAATACCCACAGCTATACCGTGCAACCGGCCATCACGCTAGATGGCAATCTCCTCTCGCCAATTTACCTCTGTTTGAAAGAGCCCACTGGACGTATTAGTGAAAATATTCGATCGCATCTTTTCAAGACCTCGAACGTAATCGTCACGTGCAGCAGCTCTGGAAAGCTTACGACATCGTTAGTTGAATATTGGCGTGACCAAGTTCTTCTTCCTTCAATCGGACAACGGAAACAGTTTCTACTTATCTCGGATTGTTGGGGAGGACAAACATATGGAAAAGGATTATATGATCACATTCCGGGCTGCACGAGACTTGAGATACCAAGGAGTACGACTAGTCAAATCCAACCCTTGGACGTTTTTTTCAATAGACAGATGAAAGTGATTCCCCGTCGAATCTACGATCGTGTGATGCTCGATGAACTCGATATTAACATGAGCGATCGCAATAATATTATCCGTCTGACTTCCCTCAATCATAATCAATTATTATCCGAAAGATTTCGCCGAATGATTCAATATGCGTGGTATGCTAGCGGATACACGGACACTCATCCAGGACCTTTTGAAACAGTGGCTGACGTCTGCTTCTCTCTTGATGTTGCGACCTGTGTTGTTCCGACTTGTGATGCAGGACCTTTTATCTGCTGCAGCTAGTGCCGTAAAGCCTTATGTTTTACTCATTTCTTTTTGAGCTATCATTTCCACTAGCTTCCTACAGTGAGGTCGTCTTGCTTGAAAAGCATTGTATTAAGAGCATCATAAGAATTTGTGTCATTTCAAATCATGAATAACGAACGAAGTCGTTGTATAGAGGATTACACCCAGCTCTCATATCCAATTACATTGCACAAAAAACGAATAGTATCCAAGGAAAAGCTTCAGTCATTGATGTTTCACTTTTCTCAAAAAATAGTTATAGAAATTTTCATTCTTATTTTTTCATATGATATCTTGGAAATTGAATATCTCAGGAACTAAAGCACGAGGGAATGAATTCTTTTCAGATCTAACATACGTCACTGAGGTCTACTTATGGCCAAAAGATGGAATCTAAACGGCTTGAACACTTGGGGACCTTCCCTCGTGAGTATTAAATTCGTACCTATGGATTGCACCTTTCTATATTGATCAAGACATGCAGCTGCGCATCGTTCTAATTTATTCGATGATGGTTTGTCTGATAATTCGTCAATTTCAATTGGTAACGGGTTCAAATTTGAAGAAGTATTCCACAACTCACATGATCTAAACTTAAGTTGAAAATCCAATAAATGACCATGTTTAAGATAGAATTGATTTTCAGCGAAAGCTGAATAAGTTTTCTCTCCACCGCATGAACCGTTTGTATCAGATTCATAATAACCTGACCTCCAACAATGTGTTTGACAATGAGAATCTGATGTTTTACTTTGATCCATAAGATCACTCCATGAACATCGACAGATGGACTTTTGTATGTAAATTATTGGTGTCCCACATAAAAGAAAACATAGTTTTGGATCCATATACAAACTTACAAAATAACCATCAAAAGATACTTGTTCGTAACAGCCTATGTAAGTATAGAAACTATCGGCAGAATATGCGAAAGCAAACAGGAGCAGAGCGAACAAAGTCCTTGAATAAAGCATAGTATAGTGAAAACAAATACGAAATGTATGGAAGCTTTTCCAATCAATGACGAGATAGAGCATCTTTAGTTTTATATAATGAAAATTTGATATGTAACTGATAAGCTGCGAAGGTTATGAGAATAATTCAAATGTATAAAATACATTCGAAAAAAAAAGTAATCCTCTCACTCAAAGGTAAACATGACATTGCTGTTCTTTCCAATCCATAGGGGTCTTTATTTGAATACTTTACATGAACAGCAAAGTAGATTCCATTGCCAATCAGACCGCCTGGACAATAACTATGATGAAATCCTTGATATGCAACTAGTTTTTGTTGTGCTGGGAAAGCTACTCCGTGAAAAAGACATGTTCATATTGAAACATAGGCCCAAATCGAATATTTCGAATTCTAGTGATTGAATAAATATGACTACCGCTAAAGATTTGACCAATGAAATCGAAGTTCAATTTGGTGGAAATGTGTCAGAATAAGATGTCAACACATTTCCGATAATTTTATCGTACATTGAATTTGCGATCATCAGTTTTGCATCATTCCACGATGCGTTATAAATTCTTATTGAAGATCATCCAAATAAGCAATATTGATACTGAAAAGTTTTGTCGCGTACATAATTTTATTTTTCTACATATACGAATGATTGAAAAAGAGGAGGAAAACAGTTACAATGGATAAAAAATATGGAAGAACGAGAAAAACAAAGTATTATGTATTCATAAGCTTGATTGTAATGTAATTGCAAAAGTAAATGATAAGCGACGAAGAAATGGCAAACATTTTCTTGTGATGTTTTAGGAAAATTCTTTGATTAAATTTCAATCTGATCGATCATATCCAGTTTTCTAATAGATCCGATATAATTGTAAATGTTTCTCAATCAATCGATCGTATTGAAAGTTAAACTATTTTTTTGAACAGTTTATCAAAAGACAATTTCACAAGTCGTAACAATGACATCAGCATTTATTTTACCCCATTTGTTATTGCATCGTTTATAAGGCAGTATGACATCTCTTTTTTTTTTCATGCAATATGTGAAATTACTTGTGCGAAACATTATTCATTAGCAGTGAACATATTTTCTACTTGATATGATTATTAGGAAAACTTTTCTTTACATTTATCATCTGTCTATGTTGTTTACATTCGAAGCATGATTTAAGAAGAAAATTATGCAGCGAGTTAATATATTAAAAAGTTCCTACTTTACTTCACTTTTAAAATGGATATTATTCGAAGGACTACAGTTGACCTTTGTCATGTTCTTAAGAGACTAAATCTTTTCAATACATATTCAACAAATGCAAAACAGATCCAACATGAGATTCTCACTACTCGTATCTATCTTATTCTACTCCCAATGGTTCTAACCATTTTTATCGTTTATTCAGCACAAATGAAGTTGTATTACACTGTTCAAGTGAGTAACCCAACGCTCAGTACTTATCGACAGTTACTTGATCTTTATCCTGATACTCTTTCCTGTCCTTGTTCACAACTTTCCTTATCGTATTCAACTTTTGTCACTTTAACACATCACCTTCATCCAATATGTTTGAGTGACTTTATAAAGGAGTCGTGGTTTTCTTATCTTTACTATGACAACTCGAGTTCATACAAGCCGATTGATATTCGATCGGTTGGAAATGCGCAATTTCAACTTCTACGCACTCTTTGTGAATTTTCAGAGCGTGTCATTGAAGATGCCTTCAAAACAACATTTGTTGCATCAGTTTTTACTAATAATGATGGGCTGTTGTTGAAATTAGATGTCCTTCGTGTTCAAGTCGATGCATTTGCGAATAGCTTTATTGGCAACATTATTAGTGAACAACGACGTCAACGAGCTTTGTTCACCATAGCTTTCGATCGCAATTTTCTTGTTTCTGCATTGGAAACATCGGCAATACCTATCATTGATTCTAAACTCAAACTACAAATGAAAATACCTCACTACATGTCGGCTTTTATCGGTACGATAGTTCAAACTCAAACTGTGTGCCAATGTGACTCAGTATATACATGTGTATCACCACTTGGCATTGTTGATAATTCGATCAATGAGCCAGTGCCTTCGCAATCGGTTACTTTAGTTACGCAATCAAGCAGTCTTTTAGCGACTGTGAATGGATTTCAATCTGGTTGTTTACCTCTCAATTCATTGCTTCTGTCAACACTTGAATGTTATAATAATCAAAGTTGTTTAAGCAATTTTATGGATTATTTACCGGCCATTAACGTTTCGTTTCATATTCTCGATAGAAGTATGTTAAATCAATCCACTCCGACGACGCTTATCAATACAATAGCTGATCAACTCATGGTGGAACAATGGTCGACGGAAATGAATTATTCTCGATATTTCGATGAATGCCATCCGATATTTTGTTCTTATATCTACATGGAAAGGTTTAGTATTACCTATGTTTTTACAACAGTTGTAGGTCTTCTCGGAGGAATCATCAGCATTCTTCGGCTTCTTTGCCCATGGTTGACCCGTATTTTGTACAAGACACGAAGTTTTGTTCTTTCCAAGAAAAAAAGTCGTCCTATGGGCCCTCTACAAACAGGTAAAATAATAGGAATGAATCTTTCAGAACAACGTCAGCCATTAAAAGCACGAATCCATGAACTATTTGCAAAAACGTACAAGAAAGTATATACGTTGAATCTTTTCACACGTCGAAACAGTTCTGCTTCTGACATTCGAGAACAAATCATCAGCACACGATTCTATATTGCTTGTTTAATCATGTTTACCTTAGTTCTCACATCCGTGACTACACTTGAACAGCGAATGACAACAAATAGTGTCTTAAACCCAACTATAACCGAATTCGAGAATCTCTATCGAAGTGGAAAGTTGACTCATTCATGCTCATGCTCTCGAATCGCTATTCCACGCTCAGAATTTATCTCTCTTACACAAACTTTCCATCAAGTGTGTTTCAGTCAATTACTTACACCCGATTGGCTAGATCGTTTAAGTTATACAACAAATACTCGATCGGCATATTATTACTTAGACATTCGTTCGTATGGGCTGGATATGTTCCGAACAATTCTCTCATTTTGCTCATTGGTCAATGAAACCATCCTTGATGCGTCCAAGGACTTTCTTACTACTGATTGGATTAGCACTCAAGTATTGTCTCGTCAACAATTTTATGAACAAGTGGAAACAGTGATTGCTGATTTTGAACTTGAAGTGAAGAATACGTTTAAACGATCATTTATCATCGTACGTGAAATCCATCAAGCTGATCAAGTCCTTAGTAGTCGAGTTTCGAATTTCTTCTTCAATGGAATCTTCGATAATAGCAGTCATCTAGTCGATGTGAAAACTTATACCGGAACGTTGTCATCGGTTACTGACGTGTTGCCAACATGCTCCTGTGTATTCAATACATGTAATCAACAATTAGGTTTCTATCAGACGAAGCGTGGCGGGCAAACATATGCATTGATTGTCAATGTTCCCGGCATGTTTAGTGCATGTTATCCAGTAGATGGTGTTCGAATGTCGACGTTCGAATGTTGGTTTAATGAAACTTGTATTGCATTAGTTTTATCGAATCTTGCGCCTTTTCCCGTGAAAGAATATTTTGATCCACTACAAACTAGCAAGTTGATTCGCTTTTCTCCAAACACGAGAATCGGTGACATTATTGATGAACTCATGGTTGAATCATGGACTAATATTACCAGTTACGAAAGTTATTACAACAGTTGTAAACCATTGATATGTTCGTACACAACTTATCATCGATTTAATTGGTTTTATACTATTACAATATTGGCATCTGTTTTTGGAGGCTTATCTTTGTCTCTTCGAATAATCTGTCAGTTTACAATAAAATTTTATTTCAAATGGCGACAAAGACGAACGACAACAATGCCAGGTAAGTAGTTGAGTGTTTAGCTTGTAGCATGTTCAATTTCGTATGTAAAGGTCAACTAGCAACAGTGAGTGTTAATCTTATGTCCAGAGTAATTACTCAAGTGCGGTATACTTT